TATTCAACAAGTCTTTGAATATTGATGGATGGTATTAGTACTACATTAGACCATTAACCAAAAGTGATAGATACATGCAAGGATCCTTACTTAAATATGCATGCATATGTAAAATATTTTCTTGAAAGATAGCAAAAAAGTATATTGAAATCAAATGTTTTTAATCAGTATAAAAAAATAGAAAAATGTATTAATAAATGGACTAATTGTTACCACAAAGTGAAATAAAGTAAATGTAAGAATTCGATGGAGTCCTGAAAATGGGGATTAAAACAGGAGAAGAAAGAGCAGAAACAGAAAATATGCGGGAGACACGAAAGCAGAGAGAGAGTGCCTAGTCAGCATATGGTGACGTGGCATATAGCTCTCGTGTGTCTCTACAAACTCTAAAGAAACGGCTTATAAGTGGAAGCGTTTGAAGAGGTCACGTGATCTGCACAAGATTTTCATTTTCATGCGATTAATAGTTACGCCTCTCCCGTAACGCATCATTTTTTTTGTTTATTACCTTAATTAATTCATTACTCTCACGCGCGACGCTCTCTTTTGACGCGTGGAGTTTTGCCTAAAAACATGCATGATTTATCGTATTCTTTTTTGTACAAGGGAAAAAAACGTGTTCTTCTAAACAAAGAGAGAAGTTTGATCAGGAGATGTGAATGGGTTTTTTTCTTCTTTCTATTTTTGATTAATCATTAAAAATACCACAACTTTCAAGAAAACGGCGTCTATTTTCTGCATATAGATACTTTTACCTATAAATTGCATTGGCTTAACCTTAGTCATCATCTCTAGATTTCTAGCTGTTATAGATCCTTAATATACATAAAACCTATCCTAAGTGTCTCATTTACGTAATCGCTTTTTATAAAAAGAATACAGACAAAACAATTCATTGTAAGCAAACTTAAAATTAATTAGGCTACTATTAATCCTAAAGTCATTGTAAACCAGGTCTATATCAATTGTATTCATTAAAAATAATAGGTGTGAAACTTTTGAATCGTCTAAACTCATATGTAAATTAAAAAGAAAAGATGATGAAAGACATGCAATATACAAATCGCATTGTTATCTAATGATGATTTCCTTTATGTGTTGGTTGATGTTGGGTAGACTTTTGGTCACCATGATATTCATCTATCGTCTATAGAGTGCAAACTTCTAAAGGAATTAATCTGAATTTTGAAAGCTAGTTTAAGGAGGAGGCGTGAAGAAAATGAAATTGTGGAAAGAGGACGTAAAGCCACGCGCGTTTGAGATGCGAGTTGGGAGTAAAAGGAGTGTAGTTTAGTGAATGATAAAATGCAACGCTACCTACTAATTTCTCCACTTGTCATGCAACCAGGCTGAGTTCGTTTTCCCTTTTCCATTCTTATTTTTTTGTTTTTTTCTACTCAACACGTTACACGCTTCAAATAACTAAAAATTAAATTAAAAAATATTTTGACTACAATGGTTATTTTGGAGCTATATATAAACCACCTGAGGCACATTAGTTTCCTCCATGAAATAAAGAGAACCATATTGAAGAGAGAGAGAAAGAAAGAGAGAGGGGGAGATATAGAAAGCTTTAGGGTTTCAAAAAACTGATACCCTTTAGAAATCTCCGTACGGGAAAAGCTTATTCTCAATATATATAGAAATGGGCATCATGATCGATCACCATTTGCTCGCTATCATCTTCGGCGTCTTAGGTAATGTTTTAATGATATATCTTTTTTTTTTACTTGTTCATATATTTTCTTAACTAGTCGTACCAGTTATTAAAACATGGATATATAATAAAGAAGTTGCAGCAGCAACAATAATGTTGCAACTTCGTATCTAAGGTACTATATTTAAAAATATCATAAACTATATGTACGCCTGTACGGTTCCATTGTATTGGTAAGATCACGTGACTTGAATAAAACGAAGTACTAACAATTGAAATTAGAAAACTTTATATAAAAAAATCAAATGAATTAAAATTATGGCAAGTTCTTCATGAACCACCTACCAATAGATATACATATATATACATATAGTTCTTAGATTTTTCTAGTTTTTTTTCTTCATATACTAGACGAACCATTTGGGAATTGGAATCATTAATTAATGATGTTCTAATTCTGTAATAAAATCACAAAGTACCAAAAAAAAAATCAATACGAAAGCTTTACAAATTGAAATCGTCACGCATTGTTGCACATATACATACTCTCGGTACGTGTAGTGCGGTTAATGCAGCAATTTAATTCCCCGTTGAGGTTGGTTAGAGAACTCGGGTAGATTCATTTATGTCTCCGCGAAACTAGAAGCCTTTTAATTATACAACTCATTTCTTTTTGTTAATATTTTTTTTCTTCATGATTCATGATATTACAGGAAACGCAATATCCTTCCTTGTATTCCTCGCCCCATTGTAAGTACATACAAATTCTTGTTATTATTTTTTACCGGAAACGAGATTGAATGATTAGGTAATAAACTTTTCTCTAATTTTTGTTTTAAAATTTTCAGGCCAACGTTTTATAGAATATATAAGAAAAAATCGACGGAAAGTTTCCAGTCTCTACCGTACCAAGTGTCGCTATTTAGCTGCATGCTATGGCTCTACTACGCATTGATTAAGCAAGGCGCTTTTCTCCTAATTACAATCAACTCCTTCGGCTGCGTCGTGGAGACCATCTACATCGCCATGTTCTTAGCTTTCGCCACCAGGGATAAAAGGGTAAATTGCTTAGCTTATGTAATTAAGCATGGATAATCATTATTACAAGTATGGCTCTAATTTTTTGCTGTTCTCTCTTATGCGTTGCAGATCTCGGCTATGAAGTTGTTCTTAACGATGAACGTTGCTTTCTTCTCGTTGATTCTAATGGTTACACATTTTGTGGTTAAAACGCCTAGCCTCCAAGTCTCTGTCATCGGCTGGATTTGCGTTGCCATTTCTGTTTCTGTTTTCGCTGCCCCTCTAATGATCGTGGTAACTAACCTTCTATATTATATTCAATTTAATTTGCAAACTTGTTATAATTTTTAGAATAATTATTTTCTTGGCTAATTAAAATTGTGGAACTCTTTGTTGTAAATTTTAAAAGGCGCGTGTGATAAAAACAAAGAGTGTGGAATTCATGCCCTTCACGCTTTCTTTCTGCCTCACCATAAGCGCCGTTATGTGGTTCGCTTATGGCTTATTCCTCCACGACATATGCATCGCTGTAAGCATTTAACTTTCATCTCTAAAATAAATCACATTTTTTTGGAAAAAGGTAATTAATTAAAAGAGGTTAATTAATGAGATTTTTTAATATATATATATATATATATATATAATGATTTTGTAGATTCCAAACGTGCTGGGATTCATACTAGGGATGGTGCAAATGGCTCTGTACGGAGTTTACAGAAACTCAGGGGAGAAATTAGATATTGAAAAAAAGATTAATTCATCAGAACAACAACTTAAGAGTGTTGTCGTGATGAGTCCGTTAGGTGTGTCGGAAGTGTACCCAACTGACGTCACGGTGACTAAATCGGTGGACCCACTCCCTGACACCGTTCATCATGAAGATCCATCCAAAGTTACTAAACAGGAGGAGCCGTCAGTTGAAGACGGAAAGTGCCACGTGGAGGCTGCCCGTCGTGAATCTGTTTGAACTGTCAATAGATTCCAAATAACAAAAACCAAAATCTCTCTCTCTTTCTCTCTCTCTCTCTCTCTCTCATTCTCTCTGCTCGTCGGCAGGCCAAAGGAAGAAATGATATCGGTGGTTTGTTTCCATTTTTGTTTCGTACCTTATTTATTGTTGATGTACTTTGCATAAAGTTTTGTGTTTTCAAAGTTATCTTTTTCTTTTTTTATACTGAATATATTATCTTTGTGTAAGTTATAACTATAGTGCTGTTCAAAATTTGATATATATACACCGCATCTTAGATTACGTCTACCAGATTAGCTTTTCGACCACCTTTTTTTATGATTAATTACATTTGTCCGTCAATTCGAAAACGAATGGTTTTCTACCATGCATTGCCAACGATTTTGAGAATTAAGAACTTTATAGAATCATTTGAACGAAAAAAAGAACTTTATAGAATCTTTTTATTTTTGTCAACATAAAGTAAAGTCAAGCCATGTATCATTATTTAGAGAAATAACGTCCTAATTAGCCGCAAGTATATACAAGTAATCCAACTAAAATTTAATTTACGAGTTTTTTTTTTTTTTTTGACGTCAGAACTTACATTCCAATGTTTTGACGAAAGCTGACTGCTAGTGCCGGCTTGCTTATATGTAATTTATGTAAACGATGTAACGTTTGTGCAATGCCAAGCTGAATTACATCATCAATAACTCAATAAGAGACAATCAATCTAACGTTTTATTTGCTCACTAAAAATAAGTTTTTAGGATTATAAGAGTCAACTATCAGTAATTTAAAATTTATATATATATATATATATATATCAACTATAAGTAAATGACTCATTTATTTGCAAAAAGAAATGACATGAATATTGTTAATTAGTTTATATTTTAAACGGCAACACGACAATATCCGACAAATTAACATATTTTTGACAAATTTTGACAAATGAATGCTTGCGATTTATGACAAATTATAACTATAATTTCTAAAGATTCGTAATCTATAATAAATTTAGACTGATTTTTTTCTTTTCTTATAATCTTACTAAAAAATCTGAACTTCAAAATGTTCGAGTAAAAGATGAACCCTCCGAATACTTTAGAGGTCATAATAAGTCAGCGAAAAAAAACCATATTGGAAAATAAGAAATATCCATTTCAATAGAGTACACTGTCAAAACTCAAAAGTAATTAAAAAAAATCCCGACAAAAACTTGATAAGACCAACCATACTCCTACAATCTCAATAGCTATCCTTAAAATAATTGTCAGATTGCGAGGGCATGTGACCCACGTTGTCCGAAACTACGCAAGTGTGGACATTAGCCACACCACAGAAACACAGAAGAACAGAGTCTAGAAACACTAATCTTGGATCTGTGCTATTCAATCATCGATCAGACGTCAACATAAGTCACATGTGACACATCAAAACACAATCTGTCAAAAAATCAAACAAAAATTTACAAGAACATCAACTCTCCAGAATCTTCAATTAGAGTTTGGTTATTAAAAAGAGTCCCCCTTTTTTCCCCATATTGCAACATCAACATCGCATATATAATGTACAGCAACTCTGTCCCAAATATGTTCTCTTTTTTTTTTGTTCCTTTTTGTTTTTCTTTCTATGTTTCAGAATAAATGAGAGTTTGAGAAATAAGAACAAAAAAGGGTCAAGACCCAAACCGGTTCTACCCGGTGCTGTTGCTCTCAGAAGTTCCTTGCTCGCTCTGTCTTCGTTTCTCCCTCAAACTCTCTCCCCACATCTTAGCCTCCGCAACCGCACGCTCCCTATTGATATCTCGGTTCAAAATCCGAGTTGTCTCTCTCGGCGAGTCTTCCTTCTCGGAACCTTCTAGATCGAATTTACTTCCCGAACCACCTCCTTCATCGTTCTTTGTTATTAACTTCCCCCCTCTTTCATCTCGGTTTCTCCTGCCGTCATCTTTGTTTGGATCATAAGCTTGGTTCGCAAGATAGGAGAGCGCAGTGACCACATCTGCTATGAGTGGACGTGTAGCCGCCTGCTCTTGGATGCACATTGACGCCACAGCTAATGCTTGATAGAGTGCCCGCGTCGGAAACCGACCCTTTAACTTAGGATCCGCCAGCTTTATGAACTTTCGTCTGTCGTTGAACAATGGGCGAGCCTGTTAACACCATCAATTTTTTTTTGCATAAGGAAATGAGAAACAGAGTGTAAAAACAAGTGGATGATGGAGTTTTATTTACCCAAGCCACTAGATTCTGCTCTCCATGAGGCATCTCACTATCTATTGCTTTACGACCAGTGATGAGCTCGAGGAAAACCACACCAAAACTGTAGACATCTGATTTTACAGTCAACTGTCCGGTCATTGCGTACTCGGGAGCACAGTATCCATAAGTGCCCATGACTCTAGTGGAGACATGAGACTTGTCTCCTGTTGGTCCGAGTTTCGCAAGGCCAAAATCAGAAAGCTTCGGGTGGAAACCCTCGTCAAGCAAAATGTTCGATGACTTGAAATCTCTATAGATAACCGGAGGGTTTGCCTTATCATGTAGAAATTCCAAACCTTTGGCCGCACCAGCAGCTATCTTCATTCTCATGTTCCAATCTAAGGCCTCCTTATCCGGTGGAAGATCTGGTGCCAAATATTATACATTTATTTGTTAAGAGTCTGCCAAAATAAAATAAAAACTACTACTTCTCAACTTAAGTCTACATGTACAGTTTATAGGTGCTAATAAATAAACAAAAGAATTAAAGAATCTGCTAAAGTTAGAGGGTTGACATTGACTAAGATAAGAAAGAATCTTTGAGTTGATGATATTGACTAAAGATCACAGAGAATCTCTCGGGTCTAAAATGGTGAAAAGTTAGAAAAGCGAGGGAGGATTTACCGTGGAGGTGATCTTCCAGTGACCCCAAGGGCATAAACTCGTAGACCAAGAGTCGTTGATCTCCATCAGCACAGTAACCGATAAGGTTGACTAAGTTGGGATGATGAAGAAGGCTGAGCATAAGAACCTCTACCAGAAATTCTCTGTTACCTTGTAGACCATTCCTGTCCAATTGTTTAACAGCAACAACCTGACAAAGATCAAGAAGAACAGATCAGAGGTACATCACAACTAATGCATACAAAACCATCAAAGCTACTTCATCGAGTTTGCAGAATTCAAATTAACATATATGTACCTGACCGGTGCTGTCAAGGCGTCCTTTGTAGACGCGTCCAAATCCACCTTCGCCTAAGAAAGTGTCGGGATGAAAGTTCATAGTAGCAGCAGCGAGCTCACGGAAAGCAAATGTATGAGCAGCAATTTGTCCGAACCCTTCCCTTGGAAGCATTAGCTCCCTTTTTGACCCTCCATTGCTCTTTAAGCTAAGCTTCTCCCCACCTGCAACATCATCATCATCAATACCCATCAATTTACCAAACGCTTCCACAAATCACACCCCTAAAGACATAAATCTTGTATCCATGTCTTCAGGGCACAACCCCACAAAATAAACAAATCCAAGATCCTGATCCTGATCCTTGACAAGTCCCAATTCAATTTTCAAGACACAAACTTTACACTGAGGACGAGCTTGGGGCTTCCCCAATCAGATCAAAACAAGTGAAACTGAAGGCAAAGGATCATCATGATTCTCATTCATCATTGGACAAGGAATTCAATTACAGTTGAATCAGGACATGCCCCATAAGACTAAAACATTTAAACAGCTTGTAATAAACAGTGATTGAGATCAAGTCCCTTTTGGCCTAGCCAGGATCGGATTGCCAGATCTTGAGAGCATGTAACCATAACGGATGACGAATAAAACAAATGAGAAGTAACGATTCTAATCAAAAACCTGAAGGGAGTCCAGAAATGTTATTGGATACTGTCGGTTGGGATTGTCTCTGGGCCTTGGATTCCTCCACTGGATTCAGCTTCTCGTCGTCACTCGAATCGAAACACGAGAAACAACCCATCTCCACTCAATTTTACCGAGGGAAGGAAACAGCAATCAAAACTACAAAAACCCTTGAAAATCCGTATTTGAGAAATCCAATGAACAGAAACGAGTGGGGAAGTCGAAAAAGAAAAAATCCGGAAAATTTTGATATACCCGGAAAGAAAGGAGGAGAATTGAGATTCCGGGTACCAAAGAGGAAGAACAAACTTTTGTTCAGATTCGAACTGGAAAAAACGAATTGGAGTTTAGAGAGAGAGAGAGAGAGAGAGAGAGAGAGTTGAAGCAGCTTCTTTTGTCGTCCACGAGTGTTCACACTATTACCATTGGCAAATTAACAATGACGCGTTGCGGAAACTCAGTAAATCTTTTTTTCTCGTTGACGATAATCTTACAATTCAAGCAAATAAAATTCTTTTCTTTTTGTTAATTCAAAGCAGATGGAGTAAATACACTTCTTTCTTTAGTTAACCAAAAAAAAGAAGATATTTCTTTACAATTAAATTTTCTAATTGCAATTATTTATTTGGGTCAATAAAAAAAAGCAAAATATCTTTGCTCTTAGATTTCTTTCTTTTTGTTTCTTTTTTATCCAAAGTGATAAAAAGTAGAAGATCAAAATTCTTTTACACTTTTTTTGGTGTCATTGTTAGATGTGATTGAAAAACTTGTTATCACACCGACAAAAAAAATAAAATATACCCATTTTTATTGTTATTAATTATTGAAAAGGAAAGAAAATGTTACAAAGTAGCAAAGACGGCAATCAATTGTTACTTGTTAGAGGTGATTGTATAACAAATTATAACTTCTTCGTGTGTTCCTATTTTCTATATGTGGCAAACATCTATATCCATTAATATAATTAGATTTGTTTCATCCGTGTGATACATATCTGCACAAATTTTACGATAATCGATAGTATCTATACATATGTATCAATTAAAAAACAAAACTAGTTTAATTATTTTTTTTGTTGAAAAGAACATATTATGTTATATATGATAATATGAATAAGTATGACTACTATTGTATAGAACATGGTCTGATAGCGTTATAGTCTAAATCCTGAAAGCAAAATGGCTTCGACGAGTATGCAATATACACATGATATTCTATAGTCTAACGGTGCTTTTGTTATAGTTAATGTATTTGGTTGTTTATCATATATCCTTTTCTTTTGTCAGAGTATTACATATTTTTTTGATGTTCGTCCACGATTAGATTGGTGATTGATCATATATCTCATGTTCGTTAAATGTACGATTGGTTTAGCTTAGGCTTTTAGACTCATGATCGGCTAAATTGCAAAATCATACAAGAATGAAGAATCAATTAGAGAGTAGAGATATTTTTGTAATTTTTGACATAACAAGAAAGCGTATAATGATAATATCAAAGATTATGTTTTAGTACCAGGTTGAGGATTGCATTGAGTTCGGCCCATTGCTAAAGCATGGACTTTAAGCCTGATACTGTCATTAGGATTTGGGGGCCATTTTGTGAAGGAATATAGTCTATACAAACATAAAAAGCTACAGATTTTAAATAGTTGAAAAACAAAACAAAAGCCACTTTCTTTTAGTCTTAGGCTTTTCGGGAGCCCTGGATCACACACACTATCTTCAAATGAAAATAACTAATCAGCCCAAATGTAGTTGATGATATCACAATGTATATTATCATCACATTAAAAACCTTTACGTTTGATTATAATACAAGGGCTCTCTTAATACAACAATTTGAAAGTACAAAAAGAAAAGAATAAAGAGAGATCGTGAGACGCATAACCTTTCCCCTCTCGGTCAACGGACAATGAATACCCCGAAAAAACGAGCCTCAGAAATAAAGGAAAAATATATAACAAAGAAAAAAGGATAAAATTAAATCAGAGAAGAAAAAAAAATCATAATTAGTGTCGTCGAAGAAACTCTAATAATGGATTAATAAGGTAATCCTCACACTAATTCCGTCCGATCTTCTCATTTTCCCCCGTCTTATTTTCCCCAAAAAGCGAAAAAAACCACAAAAAAAAAAAACAGAAAACGAGAAAAAAGGAAAATTCAGTTAGATAGGGTTTATATTTTTCCCGGCGAAATGGAGAAAGCTGGAAATCACGCAACGGAATCCGAAATTCACAAATCCGACGATCGCGAGAATACGCAGCATTCCGATGAGTCCGAGCAACAACGGCCTGACAGCATGGCGACGGCGACGGAGACGCCGGAATCAGAATCCTCCCAGCTCAGCCTTAACCAGGTAATGGAGGCCGTCGACGATTTCATCCAGTCAATTTCCTCTGTCGCGGCTGAGAAGGATCCGTTACGGGAGATTCCTCCAGCGGTGGAGCCATTCCCGGAGACGGTGGACTCATTGGTGTCGAAGATGGAATCATCTGGGCTTGGGCGGGACGAATCAGAGGACTCTGCATTTATCGACGCCGTTAACCGTATTTCGAAATCGGTTATGAGATTGAGGGAGCTGCACTTAGATTCAACGCCGGTTTCTTCGTGGTTAAACCGGGCCAGTTCGGTTCAGCACCGTGCTGTATCGCTTCTCGACGAAGAGTTTCGTCATCTTCTAGATCGTTCCAGAGAGGAGAAGAAGAAGAAGAACAGCGACGGAAACAATGCCAATCACAACAATCAGAAACCTTCTTCTTTCAATTCAACGCACGACTCGGATCGATGCGTCTTACAGGGCAATGATCCATCCCAGGAGGAAGAGGAAGAAAGTTTCCCGGATTTTCCGCCGGAATCAATCTTGACGTTGAAGAAGATCGCCGGAGCGATGATCTCCGCCGGTTACGAAGCGGAGTGTTGTATGTCTTACGAGATGTCTAGACGGCACGCGTTCAAGGAGGAGCTGAGCGAGGTTGGATTCGAAGGGATCAATGTAGAAGACGTGCAGAAGATATCTTGGGAGTCTCTCGAAGGAGAAATCGCTTCCTGGATCTCAATCGTTCGCCGTTTCTCCACCGTGCTTTTCCCCGGCGAGCTATCCCTATGCAACACAATCTTCTCCGATCAAGATCACGCCCCGATTCGTAAACGCCTCTTCACCGGCTTGGTCTCCGCCGTGACAATCCGGTTCCTAGACTTCTCCGGCGCGGTGGTGCTCACGAAACGGTCGTCGGAGAAACTTTTCAAGTTCCTCGATATGTACGAGACGCTCCGCGACTTAATCCCGGCGGTTGAGCAATCGGATTCAGATCTGATTCACGAGATCAAACTGGCTCAGACGAGGCTAGGAGAAGCAGCGGTGACCATATTCGGAGAGCTAGAGAACTCGATCAAGAGCGATAATGGAAGAACACCGGTCCCAAGCGGGGCGGTCCACCCATTAACCCGTTACACCATGAACTACCTCAAATACGCTTGCGAGTACAAAGACACACTAGACCAAGTGTTCCAGCACTACGAGCAGGCTCAATCGGATCAGACAGAGACCAGACCTGAACCAGAGACCAAGAGAAGCCAACGAGAAGACGACGAGGAGTACAAAACGTCAGCTTTTGCTAGACAAATGATAAGAGTGATGGAACTGCTTGACGCAAATCTTGAGATTAAATCGAAACTGTACCGAGACCAGTCACTGCGATCTATATTCCTTATGAACAACGGGAGATACATCCTGCAGAAAATTAAAGGGTCAATAGAGATAAGGGATTTGATGGGCCAATCATGGACAAGGAAAAGATCTACGGAGCTTAGACAGTACCATAAGAGTTACCAGAGAGAAACTTGGGGGAAAGTGTTGCAATGTATGAACCAAGAAGGATTACAGGTGAACGGGAAAGTGTCGAAGCCGGTTTTGAAAGAGAGGTTCAAGATTTTCAATAATATGTTCGATGAGATTCACAAGACGCAGAGCACGTGGATCGTGAGTGATGAGCAGATGCAATCGGAGCTAAGAGTGTCGATCTCGGCGCTGGTGATTCCGGCTTATAGGTCTTTCTTTGGGAGGTATAAGCAACATCTTGATTCTGGGAAGCAGACGGATAAGTATGTCAAGTATCAGCCTGAAGATATTGAGTCTTTCATTGATGACTTGTTTGATGGGAATCCAACATCCATGGTACGGAAGAGAAATTGAAAACTATGAGACTGTGACAAATGATCGGCTTCCTTTTGCTTCTTCTTTTATTCTCTTGAATCCTTCTTCTATGATTATTTTTCATTACCTTCATGTTTATAGAACCCTTCTCGATCTGAGACTACCGCGAAAACTTTTTATTACTTTTACTCATTGTTTTTTTTTTCCATTGTTAAAACCTTATGTTTTTAAATTTCCTGTTCTAACAGGTTGTGAGCAGAAATTGTTTATATAATGGGTTAAGGCACGAAATTATCTTTAAAATGTATTCGAATATTTGTGTGTTTAAATGATGATTTTAGTTTATGATAAAGTTGATCTTGTGACTAATTTAGAAGTTATGTTATAGAGGTCTCTTTATAGCAGCAATTAGCCCAATTTTAAGCGATGTTATTGAAAAAACTTGATGATCTGATCGTAACCAATACCCCACAAATGTGTAAGGTGAAATGTATGTCGTCGTGAATGCATGGATGTCATGTCAAAAAGAATGCGAATCGAGTTAGCAAATCTATGATACGTGAAGAGGAGGCATACAATATAGAGTATTAATAGTATTTTTTAAAATATGAAAGTTAAGTCGCCGACTGTGGGGATCGAACCCACGGCCACGGGATTAAAAGTCACGCGCTCTACCACTGAGCTAAGTCGGCTTACACGAATGTGAAACGTGAAGAGGTATCTAAAATAGAGTATTTTTGTAAACATAAAAACATAATCGCCGACTGTGGGATCGAACCCACGGCCACGTGATTAAAAGTCACGCGCTCTACCACTGAGCTAAGTCGGCTACAACGTATGGAAAACGTGAAGACAGATATATAATATAAATTCATGAGAGACTATGTGAGAACCTTGCAATGCAAATGGTTTAAAACCATCTGCATTGGTGAAAGACTCACATAAGTCTCTCATCAATTTAATAATATTAATTTTAATATAATTAAATTATATTAATTAATTTTAAAATAAAGTTTAAATCAATCATATAAAGAGAATACATAAGATGAGTCTCTTATAGACTTTCATTTGAGAGACTCTCTCTATTTTCTCTTTTTTTTAAAAAATTTATTAATTTTTTATTTTGAGAAACTTAGTAAAAAACTACCAATACAAATGGTCTAAGTAGGCTTCTATAATTAGAATTCTTAAAAGTTTAGATGAAATAAAGTTCATATTAGGAAGCAAATTTTTTTAAAAAGGTATTAGGTAGACGGTGGCCTTAATGAAGCCACACATAACCCACAAGTTTCAGAGAGTTATAGAAGCAAAGTATGTATATAATTGGGCCTTGTCAGAACTTGAGGGCTCCCTGAGAGTGGAAGATTTGCAGACTTGGATCACAAGAAAGCAATAAAACCCTTTTGTCAACGGAGATAACTGGCATTGTTTTAAAAAAAGTATAGAAAAGAACATATAAAGAAGTAATTGGGGGTTTTGGCTCTGGATCTGTAGGATTAGATCTGTATAATTAAAAAAATTACAAAATTTTGGAGGTTTTTTGGGTGAAGGACACAGAATAAATCTCTTCTTCATGAGTGATTTGACATTGTAACACCAGAATGAGCCAAAAAAGGCGCTTCACATGTCTTTGTTTGGTAGTGGATAGAAAAAGGAATTTTAGTTAAACAGTTGTTGGGGTCAAAATAATAGATCACGGGTTGAATATATTGCAATCACACACACACACACACTTACATTATCATCAAAAAGAACAATAGATAGTGAGAGAAATTAGCCACAATGTATCTTCCTCTCCTTTGTCTTCTGCTTCTAGCTTCTTGCTTGACACATCAAGCTTTTGGCCGTGGACATGGCCGGCCACCACCGGACGGAATCTCAGACCCTTCTTCTCGCATCACAGTCGTCGGAGTTGTCTACTGCGACACGTGTTCAATCAACACTTTCTCAAGACAGAGCTATTTCTTAAAAGGTCAGGGATCTTTGATTTAAACATTACTTGAGCTGTCCTTAGACTTCAAGGTATATCTGGTAATCTAGGATTGGTTAACCAAATTTTCAATTGAAAAGTTCGAGATTTTCTCGGTTTATGAACATGAAACATACTTAATACTATTTGGTTTCTATCAACATTTTCTCAAGACAGAGCAATATCTTACAGTAAAAGGCAAGGATCTAGATTTTAGCATGAACTGTGTCCTTAGACTTGGAGTTATTTAGGACTTGACTTTGATCGGTTTCTCAAATTGTTATTTCGGTTTAATTCGGTTCGGTTAAACCAGTCTCTCTTCTCTTTCACAGGTGTGGAAGTTCATGTGAGCTGTAGATTCAAAGCGAGTTCACCAAAAACAGCAGAGGAAGTGAACATTTCAGTGAACAGAACAACAAACAGAAACGGCGTTTACAAGCTCGAGATTCCTCACGTCGACGGGATCGATTGCGGCGACGGAATCGCCATAGCTTCCCAGTGCAGCGCCAAGCTAATCAAAACCTCCGACGACAATGTCGGCTGCAACATCCCCGTTTTCCAAACAGCAACCAACGAAGTATCCGTCAAATCGAAGCAAGATCGGGTCTGTATCTACAGCTTAAGCGCACTCAGCTACAAACCTTCCCACAGAAACGCCACACTGTGCGGCGGCGGCGGGAAGAGACATCACCGGCGAGAGAGAGAGGAGGAGGAGAAGTCGGATAAGAAACTGAGGGATTCGAAATTCTTCTGGCCTTATCTGCCACCGTACTGGTTCCCTTGGCCGTACCCGACTCTACCGCCGTTGCCGACTCTACCGCCGCTTCCGTCTTTCCCTTTCCCTTTTATTCCGTTCGGAAACCCTAATCCGGCATTGCCGGCGTTCGACTGGAGAGATCCCACCACTTGGATACCTTATCTTCCTCGATTTCCTCCCGTCGATCACAATCCTTAGGAATATATCAGACTCTCTTTTACCTCCAGATTTGGCTTTTGCGCCTTCTTTCTTTTCTCCGTTTTTGTTATGTTTTGGTTGATTTACTTTCTTGTGGTTTGATTGTGTGTTTGTGTGGTTGATTTTTACTTATCAATGTGTAATTATTCTTCAATTATAGAAGATACAGATTTGTTTTGAGGAGGAAAGTTTTGATGCACACAATTGCTAATTCAGATTTGCACTGCCATGACAATATATATCTTTTCTTTCACCTCATAACACTATATTTACTTGTAGACAACTTTACAGACTTTGGTTCCATTTGGTTTTAAATACCAAACTGGATCAGTTGTAAATTGTAATAGAAAATATCAATATGATGATTCAGTTTAGAAGAAATATTAAATAAGAGTTTAATGGTTCAGTCAGGAAGTAGTCTCAAAGGGAAAAACCACCGCATGCTTAAAATCTAAACCAGTAGGCTCCTTGAGTCTAGTGAATGTACATTATGCTAACTTGATGTACAACGCTCAAAACCTAGAAACGAGTTTTGTAAGCTGTGCTTAGTGCATATGCATGTGTACCTTTTTACAATATGCTTTTTCCGCTTCAAGATTATTCACTTTCATTGTCAGCGTATCAATGTCATCAAAAGCTCCCTATTGCATTACCAAATCATGTGAGTATTCATGGAAATAATTAAAAAAGAACAGATTTTATTTTTGTAATTAAGAAAGGACTAACCCGTAGTTCCTTCCTCAAGGCATCCTCAGTCACATCTCTGCGAGCTCTTTCGTCTTGGAAGATATCCATCACTGACTTCTCAAAGTCTTGGTTCCTCGCACGTAACACCTTGAGCTGGTTCATATTAAACAATTGAATCTTTTATTGCCAACACGGCAAAAGTTTATATAAAGGACGAAACTGATTTAGAAAGAAAAAAAGAGTTTTTACTTGCGTCTCAAGCTGTTCATTCTGTTTCTGCAGCTCAGCCACCAGCTTTACTGATTCATCGTTCACCTTCAGTGAAATCTCCAAATCGTGGATCTTAACATTTGAATCCTTAAGCTGGTTGATATTAAACAATGAAACCCTATTAATTACGGAAAAAAGACCAAAAAAGCACGGAATTTTGTAAGAAAAAAAGAATATTACTTGCGTCTCAAGCAGCGTTTTCTGTCCCTCTAACTCGTCCACCTGATTTGCTAATTCATCTTTCGCCTTCTGCAAATTCTCGGAGCCTTGGTTCTTATCTTTTGACCCCTTGTACTGGTTCATATTGAAAAGTGAAATCTATTAAAGAAAAAAAAAAAAAAAAAAAAAAAAAAAAAAAAAAAAAACCAAAAGACACATTTTATAAGGAAAAAGAGCCATCTGTTTTGCTGATTCATGAAACCTGTTATAGAAAGATTAAAAAAAAAGCTTTACCATGGATACAAGCAGTTGTTTCTGCATTTGCAGCTCAGCCGCCTGTTTTGCTGCTTCATCTTTTACCTTTTGAGATTTCTCCAAATCATGATGGTTCTTAGCTTTAGCCTCTTTGAGCTGGTTCGTATTTGACAATGAAATCTTTTTTAGGAAAAAAATCCCAACAAAGAGATAAAACATTGCAAGACAAAAAAAGGGCTCCTACTTGCGATTCAAGCAGTGCGTTCTGTCTCTGTAACTCAGCCATCCGTTTGGCTGATTCATCTTTCACCTTCTGCAACTCGGCTGCGTGATCAACTGATCTTGTTTCCTTGGAACTAAAGAAGAAGAGAAAAATTCAATTGAAACAGTACTGGTAACATGTATGTACTATATATTATCTTATAGATCCAAGGGAGAAACATCAGAGAGAAAAGAAAAAAAAAACCTTATCCCATTCCCATTCCCAGGGTTCACGTTGTTAAGCCAGATGTCAGGGTTTCTGCCAGCAACACTTGATTGTGTAACACCCTACGTACGTTGCAGAGAGATTTATCAGAACCGATGAATCTTATTTATCGTAAGAAAAAAAAAAGAAGAATATCAAACTATACCTCATGAGAGTTTCGGTTTCCACCAGATGTATCAACATTTAGCCTGGATCGAGCTGGTGCTGGATTAGAAAAAGATCCCTTATCATGATTTTTGTTGGGAGTTACTCCGGATTTCTGTTCTCGCTGTGGAGTAGTTTCTGTGGCGACACTTGCATGTTTATTTTGCTTCCGCCTTATAGCATAACCAATCTCGTGGCACCTTGAAAACCTATCCAACAAAAAAAAAAAAAAGGCCTAAGAAACAGTCCAAAAACTCAAAATGATATGTGGTCGTTCTAATAGCTAGTAGTAGTTGTGAATATATTTATACGATACATACCAATAGTTCTTCTGATATGTTATGAGTCGGTTTTCAAGTTTAGCAAGAACAGCGGTTCGCTCAAACCCTTGCTTATTGTGAGCTGGTTGTATGAAATTAGCTTCTAATATACCAATTACACCTCGTCCATCGCTTCCAGCAGCATTCCAAACCCTCCAAAATGGCTGAAGAATGCAAGCACATAGGTTACAATGCAGTGAATAAATCATCTGTGAATTATACAAGTTGTTGATTATGTATATATATATAGCAAGTCACCTTGATGAGCCGGTTCTTGTGGTAAACGTTGAACCCTTGTATGTCGTTGTGACGATGAGCAGCGTCTTTCACAAATCCAATCTTTAGAGTAGCAACCAACTGAAAGTGTTGTGAAAACACAGAGGTTTTAAAGATTGTTTTAGGTACAAACTATGAAAAGGGAAGACTTTAATTATTACGTACGTCGTCTTCTTGTGAGCATTCCGGAGATCGCACAGGTCTGTATGTTATGTCATCGGTCATCATCATGTCGTCTAATAAGCTGTGATGCTCGACATCTTTGCCACGAAGAATGATTTTGAAGTTTGGCGGAAGCCTGAGATACAGAATCGATGCATAACTCTGCATTTAGCAAAAACAAAAAATTGGTTGGTATAATGAACATTTGAAGAATAAATATTAAACGAATTGTGTTAAGAAACATGAAACCACTTACACGTAGCGAGTGTCGATACGTTAGAAAATGCCTCGAGTTAGGATAAGTTTTCGCCATGTCTATGTTCTTCTCATCTCTGTTCGCACCTCTCAGTTGAATATCCTGTAGATAATTCACACATCGTTTTTTACATATTATATATATATATATATTTATATAGCCCAAAAATTGACTATATTGAAAAATCTTGCTGGAGAAATTACATGAGGATCAGTATCAAAATCAAGTTCCAACTTCCTCTCGTCGTCTTCCCATAAGTTATAAATCACGATACGAGTACCTTGCTCTTTGAGGGAATCAAACTGTAACATTTGACAAGAATGAGATACAATAAAAAAATTATAGCTTCATGAAGAAAGAAGATGATAGAAAAAAAAAGAAAATAATATAACTAAAAACCTGGTTGAATAAATCTTGTTGGGATAAATAAGGAGACCACTTCTCTATAGTATCAATATTATCAAGCCACTCATCTGTGGAGTTATAGGTTATCGGCTTCCATTCGTTACCTACAAACTCAAAATCAACCTACACCAAGAAAAAGAAAAAAATTATTATGACTCAAATGTTTTGAGAAGAAGAGTAATATAATTATATAAATAAGATAGAAAAACGAATGAATTTTGTTTTGTACCGTGGGGACAACGGCTTCGCATTTTCTCGTCTCGTAGAGATACGTATATGACAACATACCAACGCTCTGTGTCGCACTGAAATAGATATAAGAATAAGATACCGTTAAATTTGAAATTGAAAAAACAAATAAAGTAAAATACCTAATGATGGTGAAACGACTTACTTATTTCCATTGGTTCCTCGACAACGAGAGAAGACAATTGCATCAGCACCAAGCCTCATAGTACTAGTTTTGAATCCATTCCCATCTTCATTGTTTGTTTTGCAAATTTAAAGATTGCATCAACGTTAGTCAATGTCAAGAGCAATGCTGAAACTTGTAAAAGATAAATTAAAATAAAAATAAAAAAAAATCGAGCAGGCTTACATTGACCAACTGTATTAGCCATATTACGTTTTCTTGAATAACCCAAAGAAAGGCACTCTCTAAACCTATTTGGATTCATCCCACCACCATTATCTGCAATGTAAAACCGCCGGATTAGTTAGAGGTCTTTCATAACTTTGTTTTAAAGAGAGAACTAAGTAGGATAATTAGCAAAAGTTCAACCTTCCACTATGAGAATACTGCTCTTCCCGTCTTTGTCATTTGTTGTTGAATCAACATGAACATATGTAGCCCCATTACAGACCTATTTTACAAACACAAGTTAAGCATAAAACCAAAAAAAAAAAAAACACAAGTTAAGCTACTAAATATCACATATGTGATTAATGCACCCAATGAAAGCCAAACTGATTAAGAAAGACTATTTTAGGTCTTTTAATTATTAGTAATATGCCTAATTCATACCTAAAAACTAGCTAGATGCTTTACACTATTTATATTGACCGTAAATCTCCCAAACTTGATGTGAGACAATCTCTCAAACTTGATGTAAGTGGAGGCCACAATCAGTGGAGGTATAACCTGGACTCTGATACCATATTAGTAATAAGCATAACTCATAGCTGGATAAATAATAGATAAATAATTCTAAATCTACCTAATAATTGCAAATATACAAATTAAAAATTATTATAAGAACCCCAAAAAAATATTATTTGGGTTCAGATCAGAATGTCTGCTTCAGGTACATATCCTAGTTTCATCCCGACAAATTCGGATGGATGTATGTAGCCGGGTGCAGGTCTAAAAGTCTTGCATCCAGATTAGGATGTATGTATTGCAATGGAGGTCCCATCCAGATAGGTCTAAAGACTTGCATCTATGATAAGTTGAATCTAAACATATCTATATCAGGATGCAAGTTTATTTTGACAAATTTGATCCAACCTTCATCCTAACAGTTGGATGTAACCTTCATCCTGATAGGTTAGATCCAACCTTCATCCCGGCAACTTAATAGGTTAGATCTAACCTTCATCCTGGCAACCTAATAGGTAGATCCAACCTGCATTTAAACAGGTCGGATCCATTCTCAATAAATTAGATCTAATCTACATCCTAATAGGTATGTTGGCAAGTCAGATCCAACCTACATCCCAATAGGTATGATCCAGATGCAAATCATAATCTTTAAATCTAAGTATCTGAATACAAGTCCAAAAATCTAGTGGATCATATTTTTGAGATCTGAATTTGGTTATCCTACCGTTTGTATGGTATAAAATAAAATAAAAAGAATAAGGAAAATCATAAAGACATATACCTCATCTAGAGAATTGTCTAGAAGTTCTGCTAAAGCTCCCAGTGCCCACTTGTGACTAGTGGCGTTGGCATGGAGAAATTGAGGATGAACCCTAACAGCCGCATCATTGCTACCTATTGAGTCAAAACAATCACACACAATTAAAATATTCGAACCGCTAGATCTCATACTATCTGTTGTACATTAACCAAAAGGAAGCGTCAAAATTACAATAATGAGGCACAGGCTCGTCTTCTATGTCATCTCCTGCTTTCCAAAACTGTCTAGAAAGTTTTGGAGTTTGCGGTTCCACAATCGCCAACGGTCTGACATCCAAAGGAACGATTGTTTTACCGTCCTGAGAGTCAACCATAGTCCTCGCTTTCTTGCTAGACAAGCTATTATCATCACCGTTATCGTGATTTTTGGAATCTCTCTTGAGTCCCGGCTTGGAGAAGCCAGCGGAAGTCGAACCAGAGACACCGTAGGGTTTAGGGTTAGCACTTGCAGAATTGGTCGGACCTCCGACCACTAGCAGCGATTTCTTAGGCTTGGTTTGAGAAGAAGAATCCATGGTTACAGAAGCAAACTTGGAAGTTGGAAGAGGGGAGAGATTTTCGAGACGTGAGACACGATTTTCTAAGTTATGGAGGAATCCGAGAATTTATGGGGAGAAGTGAGTGCCGCAACTTCAAATAACCGTCAAACTTCTCGAACTTAGTTCCGCCGTCAAAGACTCGTAACTCACGGGGCCTATTTAACTTTCCTATATAACTCTTCAATTAAAGCCTTCTTCGTTATTTTTGTAAACACCAATATACTTTCTCGAGGGATTTCTGGCTTTTAATAGAAGTTATTAAGGTAAGTAACCTCTTATGGTTAATAATAAATGGAAATTCAATCAATCCATTCAATTACAAAGGTATTCTCCTAAATTAAATTACAGAAATGTAAATAATAATATCTTTACCTTTTTTTATTATTATCATAATTGACAAAAAGTACACATAAAGTTAAATTTCTTAAATTAAAATAATCAGAAATATCAATTAAATCCAAAAAAATTTACATGAAAAAATTTACAGATATCAATAAAGTCAGTTTTCCTAAATTTTAATTAAGATATTTGCAAATATCGATAAAATCAAATTTACATAGGTAAGATATTCACAAATATTGATAATCTTTTACTATATAATCTAAATTAGCTGTAACAATCGTTTGATCCTAGTCCATCTTTAGATATTGATCTCATATTCTCAGCTAATCTCCTAATATGTTTATAAATATATTTTTAAGACATTATCAGAAAATTGTATTGTAATAACTTTTTAGCATATTGTGAAGATATCTATGAACACTTATATATTTTTTTTATTTTTTGAAAAACTTTTATTCATCTTCTTTATTGTTAGCATTGTATCTAAGTTATCTAACCCTAAATACGAATTCGAAACATCTCTTAGACCATCCAAATTATTAAAAAATTAAAAATATTTTTATTTTGTGAAATTTCAAAGACTTTTTGCTTGACTTTCATCCTACTTAACCTGGCCATCACTTCAAAATTCTAAACTCAAATACTAAAATATAAACTTAAATTAACATCATACACATTGCTAAAAAAAAAAAAACTAACATCATAAACCCCAAATTTTAAGATCTAAACCTTAAAGAAAAAAAAAATAAGTAAAGAGCATAACAAGAAAAATTCGGTTGGAGAAAAAAATAAGAAAATACCTTTTTGGCGATTGTTTCAATAACTACTGCACTGGTATGCATTTTTGTACTGTATATTTTACATCTTTAAGTTTTTTTAGTATTCGTGATTACTGATTAGTACTTCTTCTGTTACAGAAAGAGTGTTATTTTGACACTTTTCACATATATTAAAAAACTTAATAAAAAGTCTTTTATGTCTTTCATAAATACACTATAGTTTTTCTCTTTTTAATTAATATACTAAAATAACATGGTTAGAATTTGATTTTTAATTAAAAATTTGCATTGAAAATACAAAACGATACTTTTGTGAAACAAAAATAAAACTGTAAAAGGACACTCTCTTTATGAAACGGATGGAGTAGTAATTAGTCTCTTATGATTAAGATTAGGACCATATGGTTGTTGTTTTTTGCAAAGGCTAATCCCAATGTATAGTCTCCTGGTACAAATTTAATAAATGACAAGACTGGTTTACGTACCTTTGATTCGTTTCATAGGATCGTGACCTGACCCACCACCACCCATTGACTAGTTTCGAGTCCACGTCACTGGGCAGTGTGGCAAAACTGTAATTTCTCTGGACTTTTAATATTCTTAACAGATTATTTCTGCTTCTCATCAGACTCATTCGTCTATCACTCATCACCTACCAAAACAGCGAGGGCAAGAGGTTTGAGGGTTTGAGCTCCCATGGCGGCTTTCTCGATGACTCTGGTGCGTTTCCTTTTTCTTATTCATCCGAGCTTTCTTTTCTTTTTGTTCACCTTACCAATTCTTCTCATTCTCCTCTTTTTGGAATCATCCTTAGTCAAATCCGAAGTCGTTCTCAGCTGCTCCACGAAGACTTTCCCAGATCAGTACCTCCGCTCTCACATCTACCGCTTTCCAATTGCGGACCAGATCTTCCTTCGATTCCATTTCGCTTTCGTCTTCGACTGCCTTCTCCGCCTCATCGCTCATCCTTCTTTCATCTTCCACCAAAAGAAACCACCGCTGCTTCTCCGTTCAGTCGAATGCTGAGGTTAGGGATCCTCTCAACTCATAATCGTGTAAAGAAAATTTTATGTGGGAAGAGCCGCTGATGTCAATTGATGAAGTTGGAATCCTTAGGGGCGATTGATACTTTGTTCAGCTTGCTTCAGCGTTTTCAATAGATTTGATTGCTGATTTCGTATTACAGGCTTTAACTGAACCACAGTCGAAAATAACACAAAAGGTGTATTTGGATATAAGTGTTGGAAATCCAGTTGGAAAATTAGCTGGGAGGATTGTTATTGGATTGTATGGCGATGATGTTCCCAAAACTGTGGAGAACTTCCGTGCTCTATGCACAGGTTGGTCCATATTATCGTATATTTATATGGAATGTTCATTTGCACAAGCTATTTTGTGTAATATGTCTTAGTCCTGTGATTGATCTTGCTCAGGTGAGAAAGGATTTGGCTACAAGGGTTCTACATTCCACCGTGTCATCAAAGATTTCATGATTCAGGGAGGAGACTTTGAGAAGGGCAATGTGAGTTTTCTCGCTGAATCCTTGACACAGCATGGTTCTCTGTTTATTTTTTTAATTTTTTGGGTATAATTGCCTCTCTCAAAATGATAAGGAGAAAATTCTCCACCCACAAATCTCTGTGCTGACTTTTGTGGAGTTTCTTGAATCCTGCCACTCATATGTTAATATAAATAGTTGTTAGAATGTAGTTTCTGCTAAGTCTCGATAGTACAAGGATTTAAGCTTGACTCATACCAGGATGTATACTAGTTTCCTGGATTTGATACAAGTTCCAAGTCAGATCTTGCTTTTGTAAGGAAGGATACTTGAGTTCTTAATTGTGCTGATTTAGAGTTGGTCTTAAACACACGTTTGGGGTACATTAGCAGCAAACAGCCTGACCTTTCTAGTGCTTTCTACAGACTCTATTTCCATTAACTGGCTCTTTGATTCGGAGATCAATGGCTTTAGAATTTTGCCCCTTCCATTTTTAAGACTATATAAGTAAATACCTGTACCGGATATTATTATAGTTTCGCTATATACCTGTTCTTGGTTATGGCATCTAGCTGTGGCTCTTTTCTTCTGCTTCTGGACATCTCAGTCCTTCTAGTAACTGGTAGCATAATTCCTTTAGAATGATACATAAGTCTAACTGTTGAGCAGGGAACTGGAGGTAAAAGTGTGTATGGCCCCAAATTCAAGGATGAGAACTTTAAGTGTAAGTCTATCTCTGATCTCTTGTGTAATCTAGCAATCGAAACTTGTCAGTTGTAATGCATTTCCGCATTCTGTTTGATTGAGATGAGTATATACACTGCAGTGTCCCATGTTGGACCAGGAGTTCTGAGTATGGCAAATGCTGGCCCTAATACTAATGGAAGTCAGTTCTTCATCTGCACTGTTAAGGTAAAACTTGCATATATTCACCCTCTGGTTAAGGCATACTGTTGAAATCAGAAGTTGTATCGTATAAGTACACAAGAATACAATCCATAAGAAGCCGCGTAGACCGTAGAACCCAATTATACAACCTAGAGATGGAAACTGGATTTAGATTGAAATGAAGAACCATCCAAGTTGTGTTGTGTATCAAACTAATACGCGAAACGATGTGGACAGACGACATGGTTGGACGGAAGGCATGTGGTGTTCGGGCAAGTGATAGAAGGAATGGATGTGGTGAAGCTGATAGAGGAACAAGAGACAGACAGAGGAGACCGTCCCAGAAAGAAAGTGGTGATCGCTGACTGTGGTCAACTTCCAATGTCTGAAGCTTAATTAACATCTAAAACCCCAAAAACCTTGTGACAATTAGATGGAGCTATTATGTTGTTTGCATTTTACACGCTTTCTTTTCCCTTTTATAATACATCAATTTCTTCTTTGTGGTTCTTTGCTTATGATAAAACCAGAAGCTACAGAACAAATCAATGAATCCAGAATAGTTTCATAACTCAAAGGCAGACCTGACCCTTAAATAATGTAATTAACATGAAACAGAGCTTCATTGTGCTAAGCCAAGAATGGTGGATATCACTGAACCGGCTTGACCCACAACATAGAAAACGACATATTCATAGAAACCTTTTTGATTTTTATTTATTTTATTAATGGTACAGAACCAAATGCCCAATTCTTCAGAGGCAAAGCTGTAAAAAGAGACGTAGAAAAAGCTTTGATTCCTACATAAAACTATATGACAACACAAACAAATCTTTGATTCACTCAAACTCATTTCCAAAAGTGGGTTTACTGGTCAAGGCTGACGTCACCCCACTGGACCTTGTGCTTAGCAGCTAGGTAATGAGCACCGACTGGACCACGACTCCCATAAGGATAGTACTCAGGGATTCGCTTCTTCTCTTCAATCTCTTTAAGCAATGGGGTGAATAGTGACCAAGCTGCATCAAGCTCGTCACTTCTTATGAACAACCTCCTTTCTCCTTCTATCGCATCCAGCAGAAGCCTCTCATATGCATCTGGTATCTCCTTTGAATACCTGACCCAATAAAGAGTTTATAGAATTAACCTTACAGATAGTGCTGGATGGAGAAAGATTTCATTTTTCTTTTCTCTTATATACTCACTCACGTACCTTGCGGAATATAGAAGATTCAAGTTACTGCGATCCAATCTCATTCCTAAACCAGGGACCTTGTTGTTTATTTTCAAATATATGGCTTCATCCGGCTGGACACGGATCACTAGCTCATTTGTAGCTCGATCAAGATCACAACCAGTGTTCCGGTTATACAAATTCCCCGGTACATGCCTGAACTGCACCCTTATCTCTGCCCTGTCATTTGTAATTTTACTTATCAATAAGAGTCCATATGCAAAATTTCAACAAGGTTGAGGTTTACATAGGCACACCAACCTCCTGGTGTGTAGTGCTTTGCCAGCTTTCATTAGAAAAGGCACACCATCCCATCTTGCATTGTCGATGAAAAGAGCAGCAGCTGCAAATGTCGGAGTCAGGCTATCTTCGGCACAGTTTTATCGTCGGTGTAGCCAGGATATGTGACTCCTCCCTTTGTGTGGCTCTTGTACTGTCCTATTACCACATCTTCAACTTGAACTGGCCTCATCGAACGTAGCACCTTAACCTGAACCGGGCACAAAGGCTTTTCACGATATGCTTTCTTGGACCAAACCCAACTTGTAAAAAGAGGAGGGGTTATCAAATAAAAAGTCAAACCTTTTCATTTCTGATATCCTCTGCATCCAAACTAACAGGTGTTTCCATGGCAAAGAGTGCTAAGATTTGAAGCAGATGGTTCTGCATTATATCTCTTATTATCCCGTAGTGGTCAAAGTACCCTCCACGTCCTTCAGTGCCGAAATCCTCAGAAAATATCAACTGCACGTTCCTTATGTACTGTCTTGACCATAGCGGCTCGAATATAAGGTTTGAGAATCGAAGAACAGATAAGTTCTCGACTAGCTCCTTTCCTAGGTAATGGTCTATCCTGCGAGAACCCAATTTAAATATCATATCAGCCACGCATCCAGAGAAGCATCAACATTACATAACCACGAAGCTATAAGTGCAAATATATCTCCTACCGAAAAATTTGATCTTCTTCCAAATACTGCTTGAGGGATTTGGTTAAAGCAGCCGAGGTTGCAGAGTCTCGACCAAAAGGCTTCTCAACGATGACTCTGGTCCATCCATTGACAGATGAAGCCGAAGAGCTTGCACATTTCACAGCATCTACAAATATATTTGGAGGGATAGACAAATAAAAGAGGCGGTTCGAGATTCTTCCAGCCTGCAGGAAAGATATTAAAAAAAAAGATAAGTACACATCTAAACAGACAAGAAGAAGTGCAAGTGGGACACAAACAATACCTCATGCTCCTTGAGCTTCTTGTCCAATTCAGTAAAGTGTTCCTGAGAATCATACTGACCAGAATGGTAATAACATCTCTTGAGAAATTCTTCCATCTTCTCACCACAGTTTGCCCTGAGATCCAGACGGAACAATGGCATAACGATCGGAGTTAATGATCTTCACTAAGAAAAACGGAAACTTTGAGGAGCGTACAATTGCTCACCTCTTATCAATCCTGCAGGTCAGGGTTTTGCTGACCATGTTTCTAAGCTCAACATCTGTCATCTTACTCCTAGAATAACCGAATATCGTAAAATGCTGCAAAAACAACAAAATTCAAATTGTCAAAAATTAGTCTTTCGTATGCAAGCTCACAGATAGCGACAGATAACATTACCTCGGGAAGACAGTCTTCATAGTAAAGGGCGAAAAGGGCCGGGAAGATCTTCTTCTTGGCAAGGTCACCGGAGGCTCCAACCACCGTGATACTAACAGTTGACTGATTTTGACCATCAGAGTCTGCTGCAACCTTAAGAACTGATAACACCTCGTCTTTCAATCCCTTAAGAGAAGATTCACTCTCTATTGAATTTGAATTGGTGACTATTGCACCTACAAGCCCAATGTAAAATGTCAGAGAAAATCCGTCTTTTACTGATATAGTGTGTATAATAAAATGTTGAAATTTACACTTTTACAGATACAACTAATGATTCCATGAGTAATTGATCAAATCCAATCCAATCCGAAAATAGTATGAACAGAGAAGGACGAAGCGAATATCGAAACTAACCATCTTGCATAAAGACAGAAGCACGACCAGACTTCCTCTGGAATCTAACACAGAGCTCATGAGAATCCAACCGTCGAGGAGAAGCAGACAGGAACGAGAGTGATCGATGTCCGTTACCGTTAAACGGTGAGAAAGAAGCCCAACAACATCCGGAACGATAAGATCGGGAGGTGACGGAGGAAGACAAAGACGCCATCATCAAAACGTGCTACTACGGAGAGTAAGAAGGATTTAAGAAAAAGAGGAAATTTTCATATTATTTTTTAAAAAGTGAAGAACATAAGAAACATCGAAGAGGGGTTAAAGGGCATTTCTGCAAATAAGAACCTTTTGAGATCTACCAAAGGTTCACTACTGTGATGGTATGGGCTACGTGAAGGACGTTTGCAGGAAACAATAATAGTCAATTCAACCAAAACCCCAAGTGGACTTTTGCTTTCTCTTCCCTTTTTACTTTTAGCTTTGGTTTCAAATCTACGAATATACGTTTCTCTAAAAGATGCTTTCTTCTCTGATTTTTCTCCTTGATTGTGGACTCAACAACGTTCACGTGTGTTGCGACTTGCGAGCGACAGTTATCAACTTAGATGTGTAATTTGGTAAGTCAAAGTTAGCTGGAAGCTGAAAATTTTGCTCTCTTTTAGTTTTGGGAACTGTCATTTCAAAGAAGTCAAAACAAAATTGCTCATGAAAACATATGAGTTTACACTCCCCAATGAAAAAAAAAAAAAAAAAACAATACTCTCTCAAACACTACAATACAATGATACTCGTAGGCCGATAACCTCTCCCTAACACAAAAATAACTACCAAAAACTTGCGATTTTGAAAAGGCTCAAAATCATAGAACGAGGGCGACTTTCTCATGGGATATCATCGGAGATGGGTTCGCGATCAATGGCTCGTAGTGATCTGCTCCACCACCACACCAACCTGAAACGAGTAAAAGATTATTTTATCAACACAAATCCAGATAGAAGAAGTGAGAAAGATATTAAGAATTATCATCAAATGGTGTTTTAGTTTATATACCTGTCCCTTTCATGAATAGAAACACTGGGAATTCGATGACTTCACTTCTTGGTTTGTGAGGAAGGAAGAACACACAGTTCTCTTCCTCCACCATCCCATCTGATCCATGCGCTTGCACCTATTACAACACCCAAATTTCAAAACTTTACTCTCTTGTGATTTGGTACACAAAAACTTGATACATATAGTTTATATAGCAAAAGAGGATTCTTCTACTCACCACATAGATTTCTCGTTTGAATTCTGTGGCAAGACATTCAATTGCAATGTCATCCCCAAAAGCAGCAGCATGTCCTTCTCGGTTCTCATCTACAGATAACAAACCATCTTCGGTATACTGCAAAGTGATGATGTCATGCTCATCTTCTGATGACCCTGAGATCGACATGTACTTGGCCCAACTAAGTCCATCGTTCACCGGTAGACACCTCTCTCTGTAGATCGACTCTGCAGCTGTTTCTCTGCAATGCGGGAAAAACAGGAAATTGGTCACTAACCAAGACAATCCCAAGACAAATGCTTACGTTTACCAAACTAAAAATGATAACTTTCAACATCCGTCCTTATTCTTGGATTTCTCGGATCCATTCAGAAAAATGTATCCTTTCATGCACCTAGATCCATGCATTTGTGAAGAAGAAACAGAACACAGATCTGAATCCGAAGTGAGAAACAATAAGAATGTGGAAAGTACCTCTGCATCCCAATCTGCATGAGCTCTTCAATGGCGGAATCTAGACTCTCGCGCTCGTCTTTTTTGGCGAGCAACTTCTCTTCCTGGACGATATGAATCCCCCACCCGCTCTTCAGATCCGGCGAGTACATGTGCCTAATCGCATCCGTGATAACCTCCTTCTCCCCGTCGCTCGCGGATCTGAAATCCTCCAGGAACCTCCGCACCGTGCGCCGCCGTAGGTCTCGCGCGTCGATTGCACGCGCCTCCATGGCCTTCTGGGAAGCGGTGAAGAGGCAGTTCCCGTCGGAGGAGACCTCTCCGCCGTGCGAGAGGCGGAAAACGACCGGCGGCGCGGAGGATTCCTCTTTCCCGGGATGCTTCCACAAGACACCCCTCGCGTGCAGCCGCTGAAGGTGCCGCCTTTGCTGCTCCTCCAGACCGAATACGTCGTCCCATGCAGTAGCGGTGGCGGCGGCCATCGTCTTCTCGACGGCCTCCACCGCCGCAGCCGCCGTGGATTGGTCAACAAGATCTACATCATCAAGAGAAACGGCAGCTGTCGGCGGCTCTCTCCACGGAACGGTAGGTGATGGAGATTGAAAAGTCGCCGTCGAATCACACAGAAGCTTTCCCATTTTTAAAAGATTATTAGTAATCGCAGAAAGACGCAAACCACAAATCCTATTCCCTGCAGATTTCGCTTTTCTTCTTCAAACGAAACTGCAAGGAGAGAGAGAGAAAGAGGAGAGAGAGAGAGAGAGAGAAAGAAATACTGTTTTGGCTCAACGGCTAGATATGGGATGTGAGAGAAGGCGACTGTTGGAGTTAACGGTCAGATCTGGTGAACACTAGAACGCGGGAGAGGAAAGTAATACACGTGGCGTAATCCTAGTGGGTATCCTTAAGCCCTCTGACTAACGAATGGCTGAGGCTTGACCGTACCAAGGTGGACCACGCCACTCAGAAAAAACATCAACCTATTACTACATTTTAATTTAAAATATTATTTTTTCATTTTTAAATCCTTCTCTCGTTTAATACCTTATTTGTTATTTGTCACCAACTAGCTGTCGATTTGCTGGCGCATCCTCTGACGTGCACATGGTGTCGCCTTTTTGGTAGATTTCCAATTATAGTCAGACACATCAGCTTTTTCGTAAGCGATTTGACCAATCCGAGAGCTTTCTCACACGTATGAGTTGTGTCAGGAATCGGGCTATATCGAACGAGCTGCTCCACATGTGCGGACTTGTCTTGGACGGCGTAAACAACGTCGTGAATCGCGCGTTAGAATTAACGGAAGTTTCACTAGTAACGGCTAGTAAAAGATAAATACTTTTGCTCCTTTCATTAACCTCTTAGTAAAGAACCTTGGCTTAAGGCTAAATATCGATTAGGGCATAAAACGAGATAAGTTTTTCTGCGGTTGGGACTTTGGAACAAATATCGGTTTATTAGGTATTTTCCGCGTCTTCTTTAGTGATTCTGTTTCTCAACATGCCACTGTTCATATCACCAAATCAATAATATTCAATGTTAATGTATAACAATACTTAATTATGACAAAGTAAATAAAATGTATCATGACATTTTTGTGGGCATGTATTTTTATCCAATGACCAGCTTTTTAGCGGGAGCGAACCAGCAAGCATATCGCAAAAACAATTCACTAACATTATTTTATACTATTGATCGTTTTATCCAGAACAAGTTTTCTTACGATCACATCATTGCAGACTTTGCATGCTTGAATTTCCATGAGTCACATGGACCATGGCTTCCTCACTGTTTATGCTCATATCTAGACTATTTTTTCCGAACTTTTTCCTTTATTTTTTGTTTATTTTTTTTCATATTGATCTTGCTATATTTTTCAATTAATAACCATCACACGCAGTCTACTCATATTAACTTCCGATGGTATTAGTATTAGGTAAATAAATCACTATACTACTAGCTCCTAAACATTTGGTTTTGCTTTTTTGTCATTTTGTATATTTCTTTTCTTTTGTTAATAAGTTGATAACTTTCTCATCTTATAATGGTTAAAAGATCTGTAAAACGTTGATTTATACCCTCTAAACCGTTAAGGAACCGATTAGTTTTAAGTTTTATATATTTTAGTTTCTTATATAACGATGCATTATATAAACGGCTTAATTAACTATAGTTTGCTAATCGGCGATTTAAATGCCGCTTAAACCTAAGAATGGTTGACTTTTCAGTTAACCCTTTTTTCGATTCAGTCAATCAAAGTTTTAGGATAGTCTCTGCTTGCTTACACAACACTCCTAAACCGTCTAGACACCAGATTTTAGAACCTTGTCATATTATATTAAGTGTTAACACATATGTTGGATGCCATTGCAGTTCAATAGGCTTGAATGATGGATCAGTGTTCACGATTCAGAATATGATGAAGTTATGTTTGAAAGCCCATATACATACATGGGCCTGCCTGTCCAGATCGTCCAGGTAGTAAAACTCAAATCCGTCCGAATCTTAAAAGTGTAAAGGTGCATCTGCAAAGAGGACATGCTAATCATTAGCAGTAATGTATTATTAAGAATCTTGGTAAAGTAAAGCAAAAATATTTTACAGATTTATTAGTAAGAAACGAAGAACTCGTAACTACCATATCAACTTATTAACATCAGTCTATATATATATATATATAGAGAGAGATAATCAGATCATAATATATACGCATACTCTATCATTGACCGATATAACAAGACAAAAGCAGACAATATGTAACTAATTTATTAATACGTATTTATCAAGTATATGTATTAAGCACATTTTTTCTTCAGAAGTATTTTTAAAGTACCCATGAATATAAGAAAATAGGAAACTACTTTTAGTTTTCAACATCTGTTCCTCTAGAGTAACTTTCATTAATGATAATCTGTTAAAACATCATGATCCTCATGCGAGGAATTTTGCCAAATGCTAAGAAAATAGCCTGAATTATTAAGTTGTCACTTTTCCAGAACATCCGCATTTTGATTTGTATAAATTTGTATTCACTCATACACACAGTATGTATTAAAGTTATATACTATAAAAAACCAAAAATAAAGAATTCGATAGAAAAGAAATAGCGCGCTTGAGTTTGTAAACTATATTGCCAAAACGTATATGTTTATCAAAAACAAAAGCTGAGTATAAAAATAGCAAACTTACATACGCTGGAACCATTTGAACAGTTGTATTACAAAAAAGAGAAACAGTAATGTAGTAAGTTTAATTTATTTTTCAGCTGTATAGTGAGTGAATACAGAGAATACGACGAATCACACAAAAAAAGTATCGAAAGAATAAAAAGCAAAAACTTGCATGGTTATTGAAAAAAAGATAGGTGAGGTGGGCCGTATAATTGGAGTCTAGTTTTACTAAAATAAACTTCAAAAATAAAATAGTTTTCTCTGTCTCCTCCTTATCTTAAAAATAAAATAAAAAAACCAATAAGAAAACAAAATAAACCTCTCTCCACTGACATTGGTAAAGGCAGAGAAGAAAAAAAAACTGTTCATCGTCGTCTCCCCCAAGAAAAAATCAGCCATGAAAATGAAGAAGAAAGGAAAAGTTTACCCATCTCCTCCTCCATCATCATCGTCGTTTTCTTCTTCTTCTTCTTCGTCTCACTATCTCAACGAAGACGACTGCCTCTCTTTCTTGAGGCTTCTTCCGGCGACGATTCTGGTTCTAGTTTCAGCTCTCTCAGCGGAAGATCGGGAAGTTCTTGCTTACTTGATAACAAGAGGAACCATCATTTCCGCTAGAGGAAACTGCGGAAGAAGCTCTTCATCTGCTGATTCGAAGACGAAGAAGAAGAACAAATCTAGCAAAAATCACAAGCCTCCTGTTTTCGATTGTGAGTGTTTCGACTGTTACACTAACTACTGGTTCCGATGGGATTCCTCGCCGAACCGCGAGCTAATCCACGAAATCATCGAGGCGTTTGAGAATCACCATCTCACTATCGGCGGCGAAAACTCGGCTTCCCGGAACAAATCCAAGAGAGGTAAGAAGAAGGAGAAATCAAGTCGTAGGGTCGGTGATAAGGACAATAAACCCGTCGTCGAGGTCGAGTTGCCGTCCGAAACCACAGTTTCCGAGAGCCACGTGTCGTCACCAGATAACTCGCCGGGGAGATTGAGTGAAGCTGAGGTGGCGGAACGAGAGCCGCAGGACGAGGAGGAGGTTATCGAAGAAGAAGAAGAAGAATCGACGGTGGTTTTCCCGGCGGCAGCTGCGACTGGGCACAAGGGACTGGCCAGGAAGGTACTACCGGACGTGATGGGTCTTTTCAATTCCAATTTTTGGAGACTTTGGAATCCGAACGCGTAAAAGCATCGACCAAAAGTTATGCTTTTCCTTTCTTTTTTTTGTTGCTGTTTTCTGGAAAAATAATTCAATTTCTCCATGCTTTATTAATTTTTTCTTCCTTCTCAACAAATATATCACTATGTCGTTATGTTTGAAAAAAAAAAAAATGCAGGCAATTAGATCTATTCTTATCCACTGTTTCTGGTCATGCAATTCTCTAAAATGTTCAAACCATATAGCTCAAGTCTTGTGTGATTGTGATTCAAAAATATTCTGGGTTTGTGCAATGTAGCCATTTTTTTGTTGTTTAAACAGATTTCAAGCTCTTTGGTTTGGTGGTGAGACTAGAGTCTCTCTCTTGGCGCAGTACAGCGATTTTGTTTTGTGTTTATTAAAAGATTTTGCTTAGGAGCAAAGTTTGTGGATTAGGTAGACTGTTTCAAAGGGTGGGCCAACAAATATCTTCCTTTTGATTAAGGCATCCTCATAGTGAGAGTGTGTGTCTCATTCCTTTTATCTATATATGGATATCGCTATTTAGCAATTAATTTATGCTGTTTATATCCTTATAAGTAAAATAAGTTAGCTTAGGTCTCTGATCGAACTCAAGCACAAAGATTTTGTCAACCGGAATCATTTCCCAATCCAGTGAGGTACGAGAAATTGTTTTAGTTTTCTGTAATGTTACTTTTTTTAGAAATGCAACTACTGCTGCCGAAAAGTTGCAAAGTAAATCTATCCTTTGATTGTTAGATAACCGTCTTCTTACAAATTCATTATATCACATGGTTTCGTTTCAAAATTGGAAACGAAGTTAAACCGACTCTAAACCAAGAATTGAACAATCCTTTAATCGGCTCCAACTGAGTCAATGTAGCTCACCAAGCGTACCGTATTCACAACCAGAAAAACAAACCTTACTAGTTACTAGTTACTAGTTACTACTACCAACGGCTTTAGCATGCTCTGCTCCCCTAGGCCTCAACTTTCTTCTTCTGCTTGTCAAGCCCAACAGCAGCAGTTGGCCCACATAACAGGCCCAAATCTTACACCAACCGTAATTATGAATCCCCCATTAAGTTTGTATTAATAATCTTCAAAGCCTATATAATTTTTATTTTAGAAAAACTCTAATCCAAAATTTCAAAAACTCATGCTTCATGCGAGTCTTGTAATAAAAAAAAAAAAAAAACTCTTGTAAAAGAGAACACGTGCGTCTCCCAAGAATTTTCTGGACACTTATAAGATTCAAACATCTGCCCTCTTAATAATTGTCCCTCTTTTTCTTTTTGCACTTTGAATGGTCAAATAAACATGGACTAGCAACAGCAAATGGTGAGCTACCTTTATATATATTTTATTAATTTCAAACGAATTAATAATTGGTAAATGGTCTAAAGTTCAAACCTCGGGAGATAATTATCAACCACGTCTGCGCCAAGTAAAAATCTTATTTCTCTTCCACAAAGGTTTTCAACTTTGACCAATATTTACTGACGTCAAAAAACCAACCCGTGGATTATTGACTTTTCATTATTTTGCGAAAAGGAAACAGAAAACGTACCACACACATCACAAGTTAATTCACGGTATTTATACAATACACACACAAAAAAATCGGTTTTATTCGTCATGCAACAGAGCATCAACCATGTACATCAAATCTTTTATTTATCACTTGTTGCATGGAATGAGGAAGCGATTCAAATTACTTATCCTTTTGCCACGTGCAATTAGTCAATAAAATTAACTCGCATATTCAAAAATTCGAAAAGAGCTAATCTATCAATTTAATAATTAGTAAGGAAATTGTTTTTATATATGTAGATTCAAACATGCGAGACTTTTATTGATCAATTTAATAGAGAGAGTAATATATTTATTATGCAATCGGATAACGATTACAGTGACGTACGAAAAAACGAAAAACGGAAACACATTATGACGTTCGACTAAAAGAAAACCGTGTAATTCTATGACGTCATTAGAGAAAATATCGACGAGTCTCGTTCGTTCTTAATGATCTTCCACAATCCATTAGTAAAAGAAATCTATGTTCGTACGTGCATGCATCTTGTGAAAAGCAGAATATTAGTCAGACTCACAAGAGGTCTTTTCTTCCCTTTGCAATAATTATTTAATTAGATATGTGTATGTTTAGTAAAGCACAATTTTAAAGCACCCTGAATCTTGAGTTTCTTGAATAGATAATATAGATCCATATACCATATATATATATTTATTTCTTTGTATTCTGGTTAAATAAATCATCGGAAAAAATTGTCGTATATCATGAGCTGGTTGCGTTTAGATCTGTAAGTATACCTTTCGAGAAATGATAAGACTAATGGGTTCATATAATATCATTAACTAATGTTCATAAAATGTAGTTATATGTAAATGCTTAATTCTTACGTGTCGTCTACGACACTGCCCCTTCTAGTTCTGCTTTTACGATTAGCACCGGGCCGCCTCCTCGTCTTTGACTTCGCACTCTGTCATAATTAATGTCTATATAATATTGACAAAACTATACTATGTTTTTTCACAAAATATCTAACAACCAATAATAATACCAAACAAAGAACAAAAACTATTTCTTCTTTTGGAAATTTGGAGTTTAGGTCGATCGGTCCGTGTTCTTATAAGATTCATTCCACAACTAGTTAGGAATATGGAGGGATTTGACAATGGATCGTTGTATGCCCCGTTTCTGTCGCTGAAATCGCATCAAAACCTTCCTAAATCGGAGTTTGCTCAAGGCGAAGAAGAGACATCAAAAGCTAGAGAAGGTTCTTCGAGAAGCCTGGAGTCGAAAAAGAAGGGGAAGAAACAAAGGTTTGCGTTTCAGACAAGGAGCCAAGTGGATATTCTTGATGATGGTTACCGATGGAGAAAATATGGCCAAAAGGCCGTCAAGAACAACAAGTTCCCTAGGTTCGTGTTTCTCCCTTCTTAATTCTCCTTTTTAATATACGAATGCTTTTGTATTCCTCGTTTTTCTGTTATAGAAAATAAAATAAGAGTTAACATTTATATCAAGACGCGATCTCATGTTCTCAAATTTTTATGTGTGTATGTCGAGTCTAGATCTTGAATTCAACTAGTTTTGCATAAATATAAGGTTTGATTAATATATTTTCTTTATCTACGTACTATTGCAAGATCGCAATGGTCAATTATTAAAATAAAGTCTTTTAGTGAAAAATCTTGATAAATGTGCATTTGGACACAAATTTACGATCATTACTCTTCGTAAAGACTGATGAATGTATCATTCACATCAAGGTTTGAGTGATCTTAGATAGCATGCATATTGATTTTAATAAGTTATCTTCTTTATCTTAATAGTCTATCGAATAATCATGCTATAATGAAAGTCTTTGGTGAAAACTTCTTTATAATATGCATTTGGGAACAGAATTGAAGGTTAACTATTCTTAGAGTCTCGAACTAGTAGAGTAGTTCTTTTTCACATATAGAGAATAAAGTGTTTTATTAAAAGAAGAATGGTTTGTTTATATGTGCAGGAGTTACTATAGGTGCACATATGGAGGATGCAACGTGAAGAAGCAAGTGCAAAGATTAACAGTAGACCAAGAAGTCGTCGTCACAACCTACGAAGGAGTGCATTCGCATCCCATCGAAAAATCCACCGAAAATTTCGAGCATATTCTCACCCAAATGCAAATCTACTCTTCTTTTAATTAGTCTCTCAATCTTTTAATACCTCTGGAGCGTATATTTCTGAGGGCTCATGTTGTAAATTATGTTACATTTTAAGCTTGTTGAACAAAAGAAATATGGTCAAGTGGATTTTTGTATCCTATAATAATTGTAACAACACATTCATTAGTTTCTTAAACTTAGTGCTTAGGCACTAGATATTTCATAATTTCTAACTCTATGTACCGAAAGTTGTAAGTAATCTACATGAAATGTGAAAATGAGAGAGTTTGTAAATGAAATTTTACAAGAAGATAAAAAACCAAGTGAGAAAACGACATAAAAATATGTAAAATAAAATTAAATCAGTAAAATTAAAATACACTATTTATATATTTTTTGAACTTGGTTCAGTTATTATCAGTGGGGAAAGTATTTGGCGTGCATTTAAAACAAGTGACAAGGTGATAGGCTGACAAGACTGTGTTCTGCAGTGAATTAAATAACCGTCGCATCAGTTCTTAGTGTAATCCGTTGTCTCTTTACTCCTTTTTTTTTGTTTTGTTATAAGTTAAAACAGCTTATTATCATGATTTTTGTTAAAATCTCTTTTCAATTTCATTTTCAGCGCTAATAATTTAGTTTTAAAATTAAAATATAAAATAGCATCAAATCCGCTCAGACCCGACTGGAGCAGCCAGGTAGAGCCACTGGAATGCATCGGTCTGGATTAAGATTCAAAATTGGACAGAAAGCTTCTCAACTCAACATTCAGTTGCTAACACAAACAAGATAAGTAGCTGAAAAAAAAAAAACAGTAGCTTGATCTAGACTGTTTCATGGATTTATTATAACCATGGCTCCAAAACGTACCAAAGATACTGGAATCTAAAAAGCTTGGCATCTTTTAGATTGGAGCGGATTCTGCTTCCATATACTTACAAATCCTCTCCATAACCTCTCGGCCTTTGACGCTATTCTGCATGAATTTCTCGGCGCACTTCTGCTCAACTTTCTCAGCCATCGAGGCCAGAGCTGACAAGGGTTTGATCCGAATGCTCGTCTCCTGGCTACAAACCGTCCAGGCCGTCGGATTCTCTGGATGCGGATCATATCTTATCCTCTCCTCCACTTCAATGAACTTTTTGAGACTAATGTTCTTTGTTGTAAGCTGGATTACAACCATTCCCACAAAAAAGAGAGAGAATGAAAACGAAATAGTTATGTCCCTTTGTTCTGATGTTTTACCAGCTCGATGCTACTAATCCAATCACCCCCTTGTTGTTTATGCCTTCTAACTACACACAACTACTTCATGCCAATCAAGTTTCAATCAAACAGATCACAGCAAATTAGGCCTATTTTTTTTTAGAGTTGATACTTTGACCAAATGTTTCACTAGCACTACTGCAATATAAGCTAATCTTAAACACTCATCTATGGTTGTTTATGGCTTGTACTAATAATAAAGAGTTCATCCCAATCAAGCTTCCTCATTTGAAAATTACACAATCTGCGGAACAAGCATAGAGAAGCCGATGATGATGATACCTGCATAGAACGTGATTTGCCATCCACAACTGTTGATTCAACACAGTGACAGATGTCCTGGCCAACGATCCGGTGAAGGAACCATGGCCCCGGAGCATGGATGGTGAGGGCTCGTGTGGTGTGGAGTTTCCCGGTCTCAGTGTCAAGTTTCCGGTTCAAGGTGTCGACTTCGAGGATGTGCGAAAGGATGCGTTTGTTTTCAGGATCTGCAAACTTCCTCCACGAGGCGGCACTCACCCGCTCCCACGGATGCTTGTACACATGCTCTTGTTTATATGCTTTTACCATCAAGACTCTATAAACCACACAATACATAGATCGAAGTATGAATACGCAGAACAATGTAGTAAGATTTACCAAAAACTAAACAAAGCTCAAATCATGAATGCTTTTGTATCCATACATCAAAGTTTAAATTCAAACAGAAACACCCAGTAAAGTTAGATTCAAATGGTGAGAAACTGAAGAATGGGATCCAATTGTTGTAGTTTCAACAAGATAATCTAGCTGATAACAGATCAAAATTCCCGAACCCTAAGAGCGAGAGAGGTTATATAAAACGAATAAAGGATTACACTTCACTGTGGGTAAGATAAACAAGGAGCTTACATAGAATGGTACAGATCAAACAGAATAGTTTGGTTCACATAAGATCAGCTTTTAAGCTTATGAGGAAAATATAACAATCAATAGACAAAGATGAACACCTCTACGAATGGGAGAATTCGGACATTGATATATCGTAGATGAACAATCGAATCCAGGAAATTTTAATTCTAAATTGAGCTATTTATCCTTCAACGAAACCCACATCGGAGTCAAATCGAGATATCAAAGCGCATGTTTTGAACAAAAGAAGAAATGAGCTGACAAAATCACAGGAAACAGATGAAGGATTCTACGTACTTACAGTTGACTCGGTGCTAATCGATTGAAAAGGAAATTGAGAAGCTGGAAAGAAGAATAATTACCTAAAGAGAGAGAGAGAGAGGTAGACAATTGAAGATCTTGGTGAGCGTAGAAGAAGTTATAACCCAAAATTGGAGAACGTGACGAGAGGTAATAGAGGAAGCAAAGCAATGGCGGTGTAGAGACGACGAGACTCGCGGCTTATGTTTACGAACCACAATTGACCATGGTTCTGTCTCCTAGGAAGCACAACTTTTGTGGGCCTTAAAAAAAGCCCAATGTAGATTTTTTCTTTTTACTGTGTTGAGCAAGATAAAAATACTAATAGTATTTTGAGTATGACAGTCACAGTCATCCACTACATATTATTTGAAAAGTAACATTATTGAAAATAGCTTACTCGTCAACATTACAGTCAAAGTTAGTGCTTTTAATTGATGACATGTAAATGTGACATGTCAAACTTCCTAAAATAAACGAAATGTTTTGATTGGTTAAATTAAAATTATAGTTATAAAATTAAAACATAAATAAACTAGATTATATTTATAACACTAAAATTAACAAATTTAAATTAACAGAAAATAAAAGTTATTATAATTATAGTTTTTTACAGATATTCGAAATTTCATAAAATATAATTACGAATTTTTTTTAACAACATATATATATATTATAATTTCACATAAAAACAAAAAAATAACACTAAATAATCTAATAGAATAATAAAAATTATATTTATTAATAATACTTGAAGTATGATATATTTTTATATCGGAAAGTTATTAATTTACAAAATATATTAATAACATCTAAACAAGTTCTAAAAAAAATTATTAAATAATACAATTTTAAATAAAATACAATCATGATAAAAATAATTTAAAGAATAAAATGTTAAAATAATAAAATAATTAACTTTTATTGAAATGATTTTAAAAAACATAATTTTAAATAATTTTATTTTCAAACCGATATTTACTAATTGAATAATTATAATTTTTTACATATATTCATAATTTCATAAAATATAATTATGAATTTTTTTAACAATATATAGATATATATATATATATATTATAATTTCACATAAAAACAAAAAAAATAATACTAAATGATCTAATAGAATAGTAAAAATTATATTTATTAATAATACTTGAAGTATGATATATTTTTATACCAGAAAGTTATTATTTTACAAAATATATTAAAAACATCTAAACAAGTTCTAAATAAAAAAATTATTAAATAATACAATTTTAAATAAAATACAATCATGATAAAAATAATTTAAAGAATAAAATATTAAAAATAATAAAATAATTAACTTTTATTGAAATGGTTTAAAAAAACATAATTTTAAATAATTTTATATTCAAACGATATTTACTAATTGAATAAAATATATACTAATTATTATTTTATAATATTAATAGGATCATATATTTTTCTATAACTTTTATCATCTTTTTATTGTTGTTTTCTAAAATGTACATAACTTATGTTATCATCTCTTCTTATCTCTTATCATATTTTAAATAAAAATAATAGCATATGCATATATATATAAATTTATTTTCATTGTATACAAAAATTTTGAGATAGTAAATAAAACAAAAAATAACCGAACGAAAAAAATAAATTATAATAAGATGAAACAATATGAATCATAAATAAAAAATAAAAGTATATAAAAATAAATATCTCGCACTTTGTTTTACAAAGTCACTTAAAAACTTTTTAAGACGTAAGAGTCATATTTTAATTTTTTACAAATACGCGTACATACATATATATTAATTGTACATTAGTTGAAGTCACATGCGAACTTTTCTGTGCATGTATTTTGTTAAGATTGATTACAGTCTAATTTTTATTTTAATTATTATACAATTTATATTTTTAAATTTTTTTTATCTATTCTAAGTGTAGTGAAGTGGTTGGTATACTCGCACATGCGTGCCAATTATCTATCCGCTCTTAGGAATAAGTAAAAATGGTAAAAACTATTTCAGTTTAATTTGCAATAAATCAAGAAAAATATATACTTAAATATATTATATGTATTTGCAAATTCATATTATGTAAGACGCAAAAAAACATATCGTAGATTGTGTAAGGAGAAATAAAACATATTATAGAAATATTTTAAAAAATATTATAAGAATTTTTAATTATTATTTAACATAACTTTTATATTTGTGATTATAAATTATTACAAGCATTATAAATATAAAAATTTTTAAAATACATTCGTTTCAGAAAGAAGTTTGTGAAATATTAAAACAATATATATACAAACATACCAATATTTAAAAAAACTAAACAACATTTAAATATTACAATTAACTATATATATCAAAAAAATTATAACTGCACATATGTGCGGGCCAACCTCTTAGTATTCATTACATAGCTATTAAAGGATTGGTTTGATAAAATTTTAAAATATATAATATGTTGATTTATTCAGTACAGTTACAAAGTTCATCGAAAATATTAATTTCAATCGATTTACAGCCTATTTTAAGCCATCTTATTTAAGTACTTTGATTTTCTGAGCTATTTGTAAAAGTCATTTAGAAAGAAAACCGTACCCAAAAAAAAGAAACTAACTTTGAGGGCCTCTTTATATAATCGAGTTGTGCACATAGCAGTTTCAAAATAGAGACAACGCTTATCTAACAAAAATAAAAGAATTGAGTTAAATGTTTTATACAGTAGTTGGGCTAGCTTCGACTGGCCGTGTAAGAATTTCAGTGATGTAACTCCGGATTTCAGGTATAATTTTCGAGACGAACATGGGAAACCTGCGTTAGATAACAAACAAAACCTGATTTGAGTATATAAATGATAAAGTCAAATTTCCAAAAAAAAAAGTAATGATTTTTTTTTTTGACATACCATTTTTCAGAGGTGAGCTTAGTGTAGTGTTCAAGAACGAAGAGCGTGCAAGCTCGTCTTAAGGCTGAAGCATTGAATGTATCTACTAAGTCGTACATGAATGGTATGTTATCCACACGGATGTCCTGCAGCAACATTTGTAAAGTCCATTTAGTTATACACAGAGATATAATAAGTCACTCACGTCGAGAAAAAACATTAAGACCTAGCTTTTGTGTTTTTTTACCTGTGCGATTGTGTACTCACAGAGGCGTTTGAGTCCTTCGAGAAGATACTGGTCAGCTGCTACAAGCAGATCTTGAGCCAAATGTTTGTCCATCTCAACACTTCCTGTGTATATGAATCTGCACATTGTGTTTCATGCTTAAGACTCTTCTTACCTTAATATGGAAATATACGAATGTTGAAATGTTTGAATTTACAGAACTTTACCTCATCATAAGCTCAAACACTTCCCAACTGATGTTTGGGATCTCCACATTTTGGGCGTTGCGTTCCTAAAACCAACTCTCACGTTACTTGATTGATAATATGATGAGACAAGTTACCAAAATCGTAATTCAAGAGCTTACCTTGTATACGCCATCAAACATTGCACGAAATATATCAGAGGAAGCTACCAAGCAAATCTTGTGAGCATAGAAATGTTTACCTAAATGCCATGAAAATACTGAGTTAAAAAAGTGTTATCACAGGTAGATTTAATAGAAACATAAATGGGATTAAATGTTATACCATCAATTAGGAAGGTGACATCTGACAAAGTGGGGTTGTTCACAAATTCCTCACCCAAACACACCTTCAGTTACAATCAATAACATGTCAAGACCTCAAATCAGAAATAATGTTGTTACTTAAAATAAGAAATGAAGATTTTTTTACCCGTTGGGTTGGTGAGGAAGGTGCTGAATCCTCTGGTGCAAAAGATGTAGCTTTTCTAGCTAATTCGAATAAAGCCTTTGAGCTATATCTCTGCTGCTTCATGCTTGAGAAGTATAGAAGCTCCAACAAAAACTCTACTCCTGCATTAGTAATAATACGTCTATTGATCAGGAACAGTCAATTAACAAAATTAAGTCCCTTTTCAACAAAATTCTGAATTGAGGTTATTACCGTTGTTATCAATGAAAATTAATTTTCCATCCTTAGGGTTACAGAGATGTGCAAGAGCCAGAGCAATCCGCATTTGTATAGTCTTCTCAGTAGTTCTCATTAGATATAATAATTGGTTTAGTACCTGAAAGAAGGGTTTGGCATTAGGGACTACAACCAAGGCTATACTCAACTAAGAATCAGAAGGTCTTACAGAAAATAGGTACTCACAGGTCCATGAATCTTGTTCTCAAGCCTCTTCAATGTTCTCACCACACAATCCCTTGTAGGCTGCAAGTAGAAGAATTGCAATTAGCATTTGAAAATTCTAAAGATTGGTTTTGCAAACATGAGCAGTCAAATGCATACTTGAACGGTGAAGTTGTCGTCTTGAAGTTTTTGAATACCTCCAGTCTTTATGAAATCCGCTACGTTTTCCTATTTACAGAGAAAAAAAAGAGTTAAGTACTTGTGGTCTGGCAAAAAGAGCAAGAAGTATAGCTGTATATAACACAATTTATTTAGAGTTTGGTTTACCTCGTTATCTGCAAGGCCATACAAAGCAAAGGCAGCATTGTGCTGCACAGATCCAGTTTTCACATCAAGAAGATTTAGTAGTGAGATGATGCCTTCTCTTTGTCCAATGCCAGCTTGATTGTGTATGTCCTGCAACATTCAGAACATTGAGAATATACAATTAAGCAACACTTTTTTTTACAATTTGTGTTCTCATCACATGAAAGGTCTGATAAAACAATCATCTATAAAGAGCCAGATTCCAGAAAATACAAAAACATTCACATGCTAATTAAAAAAATAACTACCTGAGCCAAACGACCAAGAGCAAAAGCTGACATTTCCATAACCTGCTCATCTGATGATTGAAGCATCTTAATTAATGGTGTAATGGCACCTCTCTGGGCAATATGCACCTGCATGATCATGTTGCCAGTTATGGTTAATATGTTCTCTCTAGTTCGAAGCCATCATTTTATATCGTCAAAATAAACTGAGTTTGAGTGAGCTCATACCTTGCAGTCTGAATCAGGCGCAGCAAATTGACCTATTAACAAAGCCGCTTCTCTCTGTGTCTCCAAACAAGCGGAGCTGTAGCAGTTATCATAGCAAAAAGTTACAAAACATGTTTCAAATATTTCAGGAGTAAACATCTAATGTCAGCAGTAGCAGAAAAGCAGAATGAAGAAAAATAAGCATACCTAAGTAGACCGATTACTGGTTGTAAGGCACCAGCGCGGATAACCTCTTTCTTGATGTCGGGAGATGAATGCACAAGATTCCCAATTGCTCCAATCTGATAAAAAAAAAAGAGTCCATAACATGTTAGAACTAGAAGGAAATAAACAAAGCAAACCAACTGCAACAATCTAAAGCAGGACAAGAACAAACCGATTCGCCATGCACAGAAGGATCTTCTGATTGAAGCATCAATACAAGCGTGGGCAAAGCATTCAACTCCACAATCTACACATTTTTGCATTTTTTATGTAAGACACATGTTTCTCAAAAGCTCAAACACAAAAAAAAGAGCATATACCATCATAGCAAAAAAACATACTTGGTTCTTGTTCTCATCGTTTCTGAACGAAACTGTCCGCAAGGCCCCTGCAGCAGCTCTATGTACTTTAACATCCGGAAAATCTAGAAGCTCAACAAGTGGTGGAATGCCACCTTCAACCCTGAAAAATAATTTTTAAAAGGTGTCAAGTGAATATACAATAGTCAAGACAAAAAAAAACCATAAAGATCATCAGATAAAACTCGTACCTTATATTTGTTTTAATCCTTGGATTGTCATGAGCAATGTTAGTGATAATATCAGCTGCTCTCCTAATAACAGCATTAGCATCCGTGCACCCACAACGACTCCCTCGTCTCTTCAACAGCTTCACGGTGGGGACTATGGCCCCAGCATCCACAATGAGCTGCTGGTAATCAGGCTGTGTAACAGAGAAAGTCAAGAATTAGTAAAAATTAGTGCAAGATTGTCGCATTCAACAGAAATTTCGATGAAAATATCTGGCAAGCTGCATCTAAGATTTGTTGAAACTTACAATAAGAATTGAAAATTGAGGAGAAATTGATGTTTGGGTTACCTGATTAGCAGCAATAAATCCGAGGGCAAGAGCACAGTCTTTCTCTAGATTGTGATCGCAAGATTTGGGAACATTGCCGCCGATTGACAAAGACCACGGTGATTCCAAATATCTAACCAAAGCAGGGATAGCTCCATTTTCCACGATCATCTCCACATTTTCGTCTATACAAATAGGTACGAAAATTAAAAGTAAGCACAAATCCACTTTCCAGATCTAGCCTATTATGAGCTTGAAACAAAACAATTGTCAAGTAGAATCCAAAATCTGCATTGATTCAAACAGCAGTAATTCAAAAAATGAGCAACCCAACGAGCCGAATTAACCATTCCAAAATTAAGGATTAGCAACGAGAAAGATGGGAGCTGAAGTTCAATAGAATCGAAGAATAGAGGAGAAATTAAGGACTACGGTACCAATTTTAGCCAGGGAGGAGATAGCAGCAGCAGCTTCTTTGACAGCTTTGCGATCGGATTCTGCATCTGAGAAGCTGGAGTTCAGAACCTCGACGTGGTGGCGGATCGCGACGGCGAGATCTGTTTGTTCGTCGTCGACCTCCGGAAACTGACTGACGATCGGCACCATAGCTGTGTCCCCGCAGAGCTTTCGCTTCGTGTTTCTTCCGGCGAGCCGTGTTGTTCGCTGGCGCTTAGGATGGGTCTCCATCGGCGGATGGTCTGAGATAACTGGCGGAGGACGACTGAGTAGAGGATGTGACGGCGAGCTTGAGCGGTGGAGGACTCTGAACGATTTTGAGATTTTCATTGAAGATGGGAGATCCTCTTTCTTTATAATACCAAAAGCTTGCAGGCGGTCTTTTGCCAAAAAATGTTTTTAGTTTGGAGCCAAAAAAATGTTCCCTCGGGAGGGAAATGTTTTTGTTTCGAATTTGGCGTTTTTTTGTGTGTTTGTTTGTTTAACCATTTTTACTTAAACGTTTGTCAAAAACAGATTGCTAAACGGGCTGGGCCACTAATATTAGAAGCCTAATGGGTATATAAGGCTTAGCAAATGGACATTTGGTTAACTTATCCGGTCCACCTTTTAATTCTGGTTTGGAATCTCCATACCAATTTTTAATTTCAAATCAACAAGGAGAAGAAGAACACTGTTTTCCAGCGAAGCCTTGTAAATGATTGGAGCTCGCGTCTTTTGTATCACGACTTCACTACAAAGATCATCATCATCAATCTTCTTCTTCCCTAAGATCCCAACCCGACCCGTTTACAGTTGCTTATCACCCGCAACTAGATCCATCAGCGCCATGAGCACCACCAGCAAAACCCAAGAGGAGCTCGATTCCATTTTCAAGCAGAAACGGGTCGTGCGTTCCACTGTCCGCAAAACCCTCAAAGCCATGGATCCTTCCCTCCAAACCCAGCAAGGTTCGACCTTTTTTTTTTCCGCTCGTTCGTTCCCCTGTTTCTTCCCCGAAACAGATATTGATTACCGGTTTTATTGATTGATTTTAGATGATGCCATTCAAAGCACCGTTCTTGAAGCTCCTTGGTTCAAATCATGTCGGAGATTGTGTGCTTACATTAGCTGCAAGTCTCTCAACGAAGTCGACACTTGTAAAATCCTCTCTCAGGCTCTGCAACATCCTGGTACTACTGCCCTTTTATCCCAATTCCTTTTCTTCAGTACTATTCAGAATTTCATTGTCATGACATTTACGAGAATGTTGAGCTCTCATTTGTACCAATCAGAATTGAAATAAGGAAACTCTTTACACATCAATGACTAATTGCGATTAGTGATTGTTTTTTATGGCATTTTTTTGGATTTCCCATTAGAACAAATGAGATTGCATCTCTGTGTATGTTACTGATTACCACTTTCTATGCAAGTATCTTAGTTTCCTCTATGCAAATTGCTCGTATCTCTAGCTCAGGAGGATGTTAGTAAGTTTCACAAACCAAGAACAAACCCAAATAACCTTCAAAGTAACACTAGGGATGAATTTCTCTACTTAGGCTAATCCAAGAATCTAATCTTCTTTATTCAAGACTTGCTGTAATGTCAGATTTTCCAACACAATGACTTCTGTAATCTATCAAGACTTGCTGTAATGTCAGCTTTCTGAGTTTCCTCTGCATTTTTTTTTTCATATATAGATCCAAATACAATGGCACAGAAAAAGCTATATGTCCCTTGGGTGGAGGATAAGAACAGTAACATGCGTATGCTGCACATATCTCATATGGATGACCTCATTGCAAACTCGATGAACATTTTGGAACCAGCTCCAGTTGATGCCCAAGGGAATGAGCGTGAAGATGGTAGGTGTCCTTTTTCTCTTTGTTGCCTATAAGCGTGAGTATAACTGTATAAGCCCGCCTCTTGAGTTTAAATTTTTGTTTTCTATTGACAGTGATGCAAGCAGATGAACCCATCGATCTATTCATCTTGCCAGGTATGGGGAAAGTGTTTCATTTGCGAAATTGTTTTCCTTATCTCTGTATCTTATCAACTGTTATATTCAAATCCTTGTGGTCAGGTCTTGCGTTTGACAGATGTGGGAGACGTTTAGGTCGTGGGGGTGGGTAAGTTTGCATTGACCCCAAGTTTTCTTTTCATCATAGTGCTATAGGTTCGAAGGGTAATGCTTAAGATCTAGAAGCATTTTCATATCCCAGTTTTCACTTCTTCGAGCTAATGAAATGAAGCTTTCGTTAAGATTTTCTTACCGTTTTATTACTTTGTTAAGACAAAATACTAAATTTCACTACCTCTCTTACCCTTTTGCCACAACACGAAATCTTGCCATCCCCAAAAATACTTTTTCATGCTCTAAGCCTCTTATCTGACACATCCTACTTGTTTATATGGATAACGAATCTGCGGAAATAGGTACTACGACACTTTCTTGAAGCGATACCAGGACCGTGCAAAGGAGAAGGATTGGAGTAATCCACTGATGGGTATAGACCACAATCAAACTGATAGTACGGAATGTTTTCAATGGGAAGATAAAAGCTAATCACTGTTGTTCTTCCTATTGCAGTTGCATTGTCATACTCGCCTCAGATTCTTGAGGACGGAAGTATTCCTGTAACGCCGAATGATGTTCTGATCGACGCCCTTGTGACACCTTCTGGTGTGGTTCCCATTACCCCTCGTGCTATCGAGAGGTACGACGACACGAACTGTTTCTAGCTTTTCTCTGAGATATTCTGTTTATGCTTTGACTATGTTGTGTGGTTCTCTCTGTGTTTCTAGAATGTGAGCTCAGGAACTTGTGTGAAGCTCAGATGACTTTGTTGGCTGATTTCACTAGATCAGCATCTGCTTCTTCATTTTTTACTAAACTCGATTCGAGTCTTGTACTTAAATGATGAGATATGAAAGAAGTTTATCCAAGATTGTTTAATGGTCTCTCACCCGTTCATTTCATATCAAGTTTCTGTATAAGAACAAATCAAAATCTCACTGAATTAAACAAGAAGTATAGAAGCTCCAACAAAAACTCTACTCCTGCATTAGTAATTGGTTAAGTGCCTGAAAGAAGGGTTTGGCATCAAGGGGACTAAAACCAAGGCCATATTTTTCCAAAACCAGAAAGAGGCCATTGTTGGGCTAGTCTTTGAAGGCTGAAACGGGCCATGCTACTATCGGAAATCATTTCAACGTTATTGCCACCTGATTACTTTAAGTTGGACAGCGAACCGGTAAGCAAGGAGAGAGCCAGAGCTATACGCAGGGCTGGAAAGGAGAGAGCTTTAGCAAGGATGACATCAAACCTCACTTTATGATTCATCATTTGTACCACTCTGTTACTGGCTTTGCGATAATAATAATAAAAAAAATACATAATTAAGGGAGTGTTAAGAATGTATTTTAAAAACCATTATCCACAACTCTTATACTAGCTCTTTTTTTGTTTCAGTCACTTCGGTCTCCGCTCATGGATGCTTTTTATATGTACTCAAAACTTTATTCAACGCGAAAACAAAGTAGAGAAAAAACCAAAGGTTTTCTTTGTCACTTCAATGCATTACAATGATACATACTGTATATAAGAGTGTTTTACTTTATCCTCTTCCTTTGTATACTGGCAAAACGAAAGTAGGAAGGAGAACTAGGAGGAGCAAGAGAGCATGCAGACGCCTGGCCTGTAAGCCCATGCTGGAGGCAGCCGAGCATATTTCTCCATCCCGGGCTGATCCTCGTAAGGCCGTTTCATTAGACGGATCAAGTTGTTAACCTCTGAGAAATCGCCCTGTTCAGCTGCATCTATCGCGCTTTGGCACAGATAATTCCTCAGAATGTACTTTGGGTTCACTGCATCCATTCTTGCTTTTCTTTCTTCATCTGATATCTCACCACCACCCACCTGCAGTTTCCAAATCAGGTTTTTGCATCAGCTAGGAAGATGCAGAGATATAGTTTGTGACTTTGTGGAAAGTTAACATTAAGAGGTTAGAGAAAAGAGTTTTGGTACCTCCTGTATATAGCCTCGCACCCATTTGATCCATGCTTCTTTCCTTTCCTTCCCAATGTCCAAGAGCGCAGCCTTCAAAGGTTTCAACAACTCATCTTCGGGCGTGTTGGGGTTTGCTTTGACATTTGAAAGAAGCCGGAAGAAGTTTGTGTAATCGACTTTATCAACAGCCATGTTGTTCAGAAGTTTGCTAATGATCTCCTTGTTGTACTTGGAAAGACCAAGCTTCTTTGACATTATGGCTTGATACTCGTCCATGAACTTATCACCATACCTGAATCACGAGTGTTGGGATCCTTTTAGCTATAGCATAGAATCAAGAATCAATAGTGGAAAAACAAGAGAGACAAAGTTACCTCTCCATGGCGTAATCCGCCTCCTTTTGATTTATCAGCTGAGCAACTGAGAGAGTCTTGGCAAACTGAGCAATATTCCAGAGGCCGATGTCAGGCTGATTCGAGAAACAGTATCTTCTTCCCGGGAGATCTGTCGTGTTTGGGGTGTAGCTCGGGTCAAAAGCATCCAAGAACCCAAATGGGCCATAGTCAATGGTTTGACCCAAAATGCTCATATTGTCAGTGTTGAGCACGCCATGTGTGAAGCCTACGCCTTGCCATCTTGCAAACAAAGTAGCTGTACGCTCCGCAATTTCAACAACCCATGCTAATATATTTTAAAAAGGACACACGAGTTAGTTCAATATTCGCCATTCATACAACTGTTGGCGATGTTGATGAGCACTTGAAGTAGGAGATTACCTGCATACTTGTTCGATGTCAGATCCACAACCGAATCATCTTCATCGCCGGTTTTGAAAGATAAGCTATCGCTTCTGTCCATGCTCTCTATATGTGGGAAGTGATGACTAATGGCATAATCTGCCAACTTCCGAACAATTTCAAGATCCTCTTTTCCTCGAGAAGCATGTATTTGGTACGAGCCGAACCGGAGAAACGACTGAGAAACCCTGCAAACGATTGCGCCAGGTTCTTCCTTAGAGTTGCCACTGCAAACGCACAATTTCAGAAAAAAAATTAGCTCTATTCGAAGGTCCAATGGAGCAAAATCAAGACAGGAGGAACAGAAAAACGCCTAAATCAAGTTACCCTTATACTAGGCGGTGACATGGAACTTTTAATACAGAGAAGGAACAAGTTAGACAGGGTGTGGAAGTTTTTGGACATACTCATAAAACATGTCGCGAGTGACATCTTGACCTGTGGTGAGAAGACAAAGGGCACGTGTGGTAGGGATTCCAAGGAAATGCATAGATTCACTGCAGAGGAACTCCCTGATGCTACTACGCAGCACTGCAAGCCCATCAGCAAAACGGCTATAAGGAGTCCTTCCCGCACCTTTGAGCTGAAGTTCCCATCTTTCGCCTTTGGAGTTCAAAACTTCTCCAAGCGTTATGGCTCGGCCATCACCTAGTTGTCCAGCCCACATGCCAAACTGGTGCCCTCCATAGCACTGAGCATAAGGCATTCTGCAGACAAAGAATGTTAGTAACAGCGGCTAAGAAAGTTTCGATTGAACCTAAAATCAGATTTGGGTAAGGATCACGTACGCTCCTGGCAAAGGCTTAGCACCAGACAGTAGGAGAGGGAAATCTGGCCTTTCAAATCTGAAAGTCCAGGAGAATACAGGATATTTTCAAGAGTTAAAAACAAGTCACAAGTATAATAATGTGTTTACTCAGACTTTAGTCTGACCATATACGTCAAGAATCAAACTCACTCTTTAGGATCTAAATCCAGTAGCTCTGCAACGGATTCAGACCATGCTACAAGCTGAGGATCATCTACTTGTACTGATGGGGAAACTTTTGTATAGCAAGCATGCAATACCTGGAAATTACAATAAACAATCAAAATCCGGATGGCAAATTGAATTAGCATAATGACATAATAATGAACAGCCTGAGACAATGGTCAGACTACGTAATATTCCGATGGTTTGGATCCAAAATCGTGGACACTAGTAAAGTAGATAATCCTCAATATAGCCTTTAAACAAGTATGCGCTATAAAAAAAAATGCACAGAACTTTCAGTTTAGTAGACTTCAAATGAGCAACAACGACTTCAAAAATAAAATCTTTTGCTTGTGTACAATCTACCAACCCAACAACTACAACTATCAACTTCATGATTCCATATTAAACCACATAAAACGAAGTATTGACAGACAAAGAGAAAACAAAACAGATAACAGATTTCTCCTATTATCTCTGCCCAAGATCGCAACCGAAAAAAACAACAACAAGTTATACCTCACGCGAGATAACATCGCTTCTCGGATCACCAGGCAATTCCTTAACAAAGGAGTGATCCCAGTTGAAATCTTCGAGCTTCCGCTTGATCTTAGCACCTTCATCAACGCCTCCAAGTGTTTGATTCTGCAGATCTTTCGCTAAGGAATCGGCGGCCGAAGCGGTTACCTGTGTCGGAGACGAAGACGAGGCCGGGAAAGATTCCATCCGACGGAAGGAAGAAGAAGATCGGGAAGGGCTTAATCGAAATTCTCGGCGTAGAGAGGGACAAAAACGGAAATTCGCAGAGGAACTGAAGAGATGAAGTGGTCGGAGGTAGAAGAAAGACGACGGACACACACGCAACAACATCTCTCCTTCTTTTCCCCTCTTCACATTTTTCTATTGCAAGTTTTGTTGAAATTCAATTTCGGACCGAACCGCCTTCCTTGGTTCCTCTGCTTCGGACCGGCTTCACAATGCGGAACACTTCCTTTTTGTCGTTTGTGTTTGTGGCCAAACCGATTCCTGTTTGTAATTAAAAACTGTATTTACGATTTTTTCAGATAAATTACTTGGAAAAAAATGATGGTTTTTTTATTTATTTACTTATAAAGAAAATCAATACGAATATTATTGGTCGGGTTTTCTGTAGTTGTGATGCAAAGTGCTGGTTTGAAAGCGTACCAAATTCATTAACAAAACCGGGTTTAAGACAGAACCAAAGTTGATACGAAGTGAGAGTGAAACGACAAATCTTGCCGTCGTTCGTGTAACTCAAACGAACCTATCAACTGGGAAAAAATTAGGGCACAATATTGTGGTTTCACGTCCGCGACTCATAGATCCCTCGGAAAATCCTTCACGGTTTGTCCAGTAATTCTGAATTCCGCGGCGTACTTTCACCTTCCTGGAGATCTAACGTTTTCTGAAATTGAATTGGGCGTGAAGAATTTTCTTCCTGTAATCTTCCTTGTTCCGATCTTCGGATTCGTAGATTTGTCGTCTGCTTTCTCTCAAATCTATGATCTCTTGTGAGTAATTTTCTCGATGGAAAATTTTGGCTGATCGAAGTTTTGGAGAATAGATCCAAAGAACAGTCTCGAAGAAGGTATTTGCTTTTTTGATCTTATCTGCGCAATTTGAGGTTTGTTCATCTTTAGAGCTATTGTTGGTGTGCCTGGTTCCGTCGGCAATTAGGGTTTATGAAAGTGTGGTTCTCGAATTGGGTATACTTTTTCAGAAATTTAGCAGAAAGTCGATTTCTTTAATGCGTATGGTTGCTTAAAACAAATTTTCTTGATTCTTGGGATATCTATTGTTCCAAACTCATCAATCTGCAGAAGGGAACATGTTTGTTTATTGAGCTAGAGCTTAAGAACTGTGAGCTTGTTTATTCTATGAGTTACTGCGTTTATGTGAACGTTTAATGGCTAACTTTTTTAACGAAAGTTAGTACTTTTCGAGGGTTCCTAGTTTTGACCTGAGAAGTGAAGGTTTTCGTTTGTTCTGTGAATAGTGAATGTTTTGGCTTTTTCCTCCGTTGAAGTTGTTTTCTTGGTTTTGCAGCTCGTGCTTTGGTGGAACAGGACAGGTCTCTCATACCACGTTTTGATTTCTAAGGTGCCCTGTGAAAAGGAGGCACAAATGGATTACCGACCTTCTGATAGTAGTGGTGAGTCTTGTCTTCTTTCAAAGATGTTCAATCTAGCCGCTTCGTAACTAACTTCTTGTTAGTTTGTGTACTGGATCCCTCTCTTTCTGCTGTCCACAATTCGATGTTCTTTTTAGTGTAATGAATAAATCTTTCTCAATGTTTACTTTATATGAATTCTCTTCTATTGTTCATAGTAGTTTACCGATTCCTTTTCCGGTATAGCTTTAAACTGTTTCACTATGGTTTGTGTGTATAACTGTGTTTGTTTTCTGCGGGAAACTCAGGTACAGATGATGACCTACCTCCATCACATCAAAGTAGATATCAAAGAAGCGGCAGACCTGCGGGTAATGGCAGGCCTTCAGTTCTCAATTCTGCACCTTTATCAAGGGTGCACAATGACATGGAAACTCAAATTCATCTCATTGAGCAAGAAGCGTATAGCTCCATACTTCGTGCATTTAAAGCCCAGTCTGATGCTATTACCTGGGTACTAACTTTACTTGTCTACTTACATTAACCAGTCCATGTTTATGTAACTTCACCATCTAAAACTAAACTTACGCTTTGTTCTTCTTCTTCTTTTGGTTGGAAAAAAAATATAAAATATTCAGGAGAAAGAAAGTTTGATCACTGAACTCAGAAAAGAACTCCGGGTGTCTGATGAGGAACACAGGGAGCTGCTTTCAAGGGTTAATGCTGATGAAATGATCAGGCGAATAAGGTCTGTTTTTATATGTGATCAATCGCTCATTTATCTCTTCAACGTATCAAAAGGCAACTTTCTAGCTAATGAGGTCTAATTTAAACAATGTCAGGGAATGGAGAAAGGCGAACAACCTTCAATCCAGTGTTCCTCAGCTGGTTCATGATACGGCTCCGAGTCCAGCTGTTTCAGGATCACGTAAGAAGCAAAAGACGTCACAATCAATCGCCTCGTTAGCAGCGATGGGCCCTCCATCTCCTGCTCTGCACCCATCGATGCAACCATCTTCATCTGCGCTAAGAAGGGGAGGTCCTCCACCAGGTCTAAAGGCCAAGAAGCCAAAGACAGTAAGTCATAACGCTTGTGGCTCTGTCATTTTTGTTACAATGATGAATCTTGTTCTTAAGTTCTTCCTGACTAAGATGTGAATTTTTTTCATTTTTTTTCCTGCTTTGATGAAGTCGATGCAGTTCCCAGCTGCAGGCATTGCTGGAAGGCCACAGGCGGGGGCATTAACAAATGAACCAGGTGAATCAGGATCATATGACCCGTTGATTGGAAAGAAAGTATGGACAAAGTGGCCTGAGGACAACCATTTCTATGAAGCTGTAATAACTGACTACAACCCCGCTGAGGTATCTTATCTTTCATTGCTATATATATATATATATATGTATTAGTGTTTTAGTGCCAAATCTCCATTTTCTGATCTCATATTATTTTCCTTCGTTCAACATTGACAAGGGGCGGCATGCTTTAGTGTATGACATTAACACTGCGAATGAAACTTGGGAATGGGTAAATCTTAAAGAGGTATAACAATTTCAGTTTTTCAACTCGTCTTTCTCACCTTTCACAGTAGTGCAGAAGATGAAGCTGCATCCTAATAAATATTAGGGGAGGCCATGAAATGTTGTCTTATTCTATTTGTGTACGATCTCGATGGTTCTATATTCGATATGCCTTGCACGTCAATGAGAGGCTCGTCAGTTTTTACACTATCAGGAATAAGAGAGAGATTAGTTTGACTTGTCTCATTCTTGGAGTCTGAATGGTTGTTTCTATAAATATCACAGATATCTCCGGGAGATATCAGATGGGAAGGTGAGGATGCTGGGGTTTCTCGTAAAGGAGGACATCCTGGGCAAGGCCGTGGAGTTACAAAGGCCATGGCTCGTGGTGGTCCCGCAGGCAACGCAGGTGGTAGGGGTAGGGGAAGCATGAAGACACAGCAACACAAGGCACAGAATGGCATCGGGAAGAAAGCTTTAGGCGATATCGAGATACTCCACACTGATACACTAATAAAAGAGGTATCATATATCATCCCAAGTTTTAGATTATGGGATTTGAATGAATGTTCACAGTTGTCATCGATCTGAGTATTAATATTCTGAAACAGGTAGAAAAAGTTTTTGGATCAGTTAACCCCAACCCGGCAGAGGTGGAGAAGGCAAAGAGAGTGTTGAGAGTAAGAACCATACTCTTTTATATTTTACTCCACAGTAGCATGAAAAGAGAAAGCTGACTATATTGGTTTTACTTGGAAATGGTAGGAGCATGAGTTAGCTCTTATGGATGCAATTGCAAAGCTTGAAGAAATATCAGACGGGGAAAGCGGAAATATTTAATAGGGCCCCTTGTAACTCTCCTCAGGTTCACATCTTTCATTACTGCTCTTTAGATTCTCTCATGCCTCTCTGTTGAATTGAAGTAGTAATGCGATATTTGGCTTAAACGCAGTGATGCAGTTAGGGCAATTGAACTGGCTAAAAGGTGTAGATGGGTGAAATGGACGAGGGAGATTTCGGAACTTGTATGGATAAGCAAACTGTATTTTGTTTAGGGAGAGGATTTTAATGACCTTTGTGTGCCACATAACTCAAGAGTAACTGGATTTGGAAGTTACGGTCTTATTAAGCATTGTAAAATCCATCAGACTTCATATAAATGTAGAATGTTGCAGAGACGGGATGATTTAGCAAATCTCAACTCTTTTTTAACAAGGATGACATGTAGGCTGTAGCAACTAAGGATCAGCAGCATGTACAACAGCATTATTTATATTCAGATTTTTACGAAAATGGAAAGAAAGATATGAAGGAATAATTAGATTTGACAGATATTTCAGATTAATATAGAAAATCTTTCCTTTTATGTTTAAATTTTGGAATGAAAGGAAGAGGAAGCGGATAGGGAGACAGAAAGTTGAAACTGAAAATGTTAAAACTCATAAGACGTTAGTAAACTAAATCACAATCAACGGAAAAACAAATTCCTATTACTAGACTCTAAGCAACGAGTAGCTTCTCATGCCCATCAAACTCTAACAAGCAGAAGTGCCTTTGCTATGACTAAAACAGATCATCATATAATCTTGGTGTTTCTGGTCACGTGTTCATTTTCAAGACAAATGTATGTATCTCAAATTGGAGAATTCAATCTTGAAAGATGATGTGCATTTCAAATAATCGGCAAGAACAAACTCAATCCAAGCTTGGAACACTTAGAGATTGTTCTCATTAAAAAATAACTGAACACAGACAGCCAGACACAAGGTGATTACAATTTGCTCTATTTTGGTAAAATATTGGCTACATAAGATTACAATGTTCACAGTCCAAACCTCTTGGGCCTGAGGTAAGTGGTGCCTTTTTTCATGCCAGGACCTGAGACCTGTTGCTGCTGCTTTTCCCTTTTCTTCTTTTCTCTCTCTTTGCTTCTCACCTCCGACGCCGCCTGATCTCTTCTCAGTTTCTCCATCTCTTCCTCCATCGCTGTTTTCTCTTCCTTCTGCTTCTTTTTATGCTCCAGCATTGACGTATCTGAGTCCTTCACCGAGAAGAACATAGGCCCCAACTCAGCCAGCCAATGTGGCTCCACGGATGTAGCACACTGCATGTACTCCTTGGTGGTCAAGATCAGTTCATGGTACACCACATAATCCGGTGTGTATCCCAGACCATACAGCGCACTGCTCGGGTGCAAATGGCAAGGCATCCCGGTTCTGCAGTTCACATACTCCCCAACACCTTTTAATCTCGCCGAGTTATGGAAATACGCTGAGCATATGGCTTTCCTCACAATATCCCAATCTGGTCCACACGACTTGAGTGGTATCTTCAGTTGCTTGAGGATATCCAGAAGCTGGGATCTTACTTCTCTAGCTTTTCTCAGGCCTTTGACTTGCAGGTAATGGTCATTGCACCAGTCTCCTCTATAGTCATGCTCTTTCCACTGCTGATACACATTCAGCAGCGTTAGATGGTCGGATTCCGGCACGAAAAACTTCTCCCTTGCTGCGTCGCTCTCTTCTGCTCTGTCTTTAGGTCTGAAGAACACTGAAGGTACTGAAAGCATTGACACGATCGTCAACACCTCGTTTATGCAATCAAGCCGTTCACCCATTAATAGCATCTTTGCAAGCGTTGGATCCAATGGGAACTCCACCATCTTCCACCCAAGATCCGTTAACCCTCCCACGTTGCTAAGAGCACCCAATACCCACAGCTGGTACATAGAGTTAAGGATGTTCTCTTGTGGAGGTGGATCCATAAAATCAAAATCTAGCAAGTTGTCTATCTTCAATGACTTCAGCAACAACACAACGTTACCCAGATTCGTCCGTTGAATCTCTGGCACGGGACTTGGCAACATCTCATTCAAATACGCACTCTCTGTATACAGCCTGTAACACGTTCCCGGCCCTGTCCTTCCAGCTCTTCCTGCACGCTGATCAGAGGCAGCACGACTTATGGGGAAAACCTGAAGGGCATCCATACCCATTCTAGGATTGAAAACCTTCATCTTTCCATACCCCGAGTCAATCACATAATATATTCCATCGACTGTTAATGATGTCTCAGCAATATTGGTGGCAACAATGCATTTACGGGCTCCATCTTCTGGTTTCTCGAATATTTTTGCTTGCAAGTCAGCGGGTAGCTGGGAGTATATTGGGAGAATCAGTAGGTTCGTGATTTCTCTACTGGAGGATGCAACAAGCTGTTCCATTCTCTCTTTAAGTGAAAAGCATGCCGCTTCAATCTCATCTTGCCCGGTCATAAATATGAGAATATCCCCAGGTGGGCTCGCTATGTGAATCGTCATTGCCTGTTTAACAGCAGCTTCAACATAATCTTCACAAGGACTTTTAGAGTAGAGAATATTGACAGGGAAAGTCCTTCCAGGAATGTTGAATATAGGAACACTGCATTACCAAAGCAAAAATACTGTCAGATGAGAAATTTAATCTTTAGATTCAAAACTGGTTTGTCTGAAATTACCTCCCGAAGAAATTGGAAAACTTTTGAGCATTAAGGGTTGCTGATGTGACTATCAGTTTGAAATCACGACGCCGAGCCACAACTTTTTTCAGTATTCCAAAAAGGACGTCTGTGTTGAGTGATCTTTCATGCGCTTCATCCATCACCACCACACTACACAGAGTCCACAATTAGGGTTAACACATCATTCTACTTAATTTAAAGAATGGTCAATCAGAGGTAAGGTTTATGTATACATACCGATACTTATCCAGGTCGGAATCTTTGAGTGTCTCTCTCAATAGCACTCCGTCAGTCATGTACTGTAATTTCAAAGAGAAATATGAAGTTTCAGAATAAATTTATCGTGTTTTAATAAAGTGCAGATGCTAAAAGCATGACAAGCCAAACTTTACGTGGCCAACTAAACCAGAAACATCACAAATAAGCAATAACGAGTTCATTACATGAAAACACATTACCTTGATAACAGTGTTTGGACCAGTTACGTCTTCAAAACGAATCGCATAACCCACTTTATCGCCCAATTCTGTTTCCATCTCTTCACTAACTCTCTTTGCTACACTCATGGCTGCTACACGCCTTGGTTGAGTGCAACCTATTATACCGTTCATAGTATACCCATCCTCGTGAAGATACTAACAAAAAAAGAAACAAAGTATAAGTTCAATGTTTTAGTTATCTATATCTATATATCTAAAACATGGAATTTCAAAGTAAAGGAGCAACCTGTGTAAGTTGAGTGGTCTTTCCCGAACCAGTTTCGCCAACCACCACTATCACCTGGTTTTCTCTTATTACCTAGAGAATGCATTCAAAAGCAGATTAGCTGACGATTACATATTCGACAAAAAGATAAAACTCGAAAAACAAACCCCCTGAGGCTAAATTCCTAACTATAAAGCGTATTATGAGTATATGACCCAACTATCAAGGCCCTCAAAAGGAAAGACTACCAACCTGCAATAACTCATCTCTAACAGAAAATATGGGGAGGTACTGTCGTTGCTCTGCCATGGTCTTTGACATGGCAAATTCACTCACAGCTTCTCCCTTCTTCATATGTTGTGCAAATTTAGCCTCTCCTTTAAAGTCTATTTCACCTTCGTCACCAACTACAGCAGTATCGGCATCAACCTACATGAAGATCACAAAGTCACAATACGTCCAACAACCAAAAGAAAAATTCAGTGAAAAGAACCAAAAGCCACGAGGTGCGTTACCTGCTCAGCTGATTTTTCAACACCAAGGATATTACCAAGATTAGAACCAGCAAGCTCCCAAAATCGCTGTCGTGATTTCTGCATACTTTGTTTCTCCCGAATTTCTCTGACAAGACCCGATCCTTTTCGTGAAATAATAGCCATGTCTGATGTGGGATCCTTTACAGGCATTACTGGCTCCGCTTGCTTTGTGTAAACGACTCTTCCATCAAGGAACGGAGGCTTCGTATCTGCAATTACCCAACAAATAGAATATTACCTACTATGTTACATATACTACTCTTTCAACCTTGTCGCTTTAAGGTTAACTTTGAGCTATTATAGTGGTGTACATACCGTGTACAAGAAGAATCGCTTTACGTTCTTCTTCGCTATCGAACTCAGTCTGCACTTCTGTGCCTCTAACAGCTCCAGATCTGAGAAGCTGACGGTCTTCCCACTGAGCATTATCTGCATTAAGCTGAGAGTACTTTTTACTCTGAGCGAGTGACATTTTGCTACCATCCCTTCTAACCTGCATTACAAAAATTATAACGCATTCAATATATGAAGTATAATATTTTTAAGCAAAAAATGTCAGAATACCAAGAAAAGAAGGTTTGTTGCATTGGACAGAGAGCTACATGATATATTGCTATTAAGCATACCTAGAATCTAAACTTGCATAATCAAAAGAACGTAATTTCGCTTAAGTAATCAAGAGTACTGAAATGAGATGAAAGATTAATGCTTCGATCAGAATGAATTAAACTAGATGCTTTATGCAAGAAGAACAAGGTGAGCAGATATAAGCAGTATCAATTAAAAAATCATAAAGAAAGGGTGTGTAGTTGGTATAGAGAAATACCAGTCTTTTTGCCAGCTCAGCTTCCTTCTTCTGTACAGAAGCATCATCTCCAAGAAAAAAGGATGCACTATCTGCATCAAACAGTGAGTTCCCTTCGTCCGTATCATACCTGTGTAATGACAATCATCTTGTTCATAAAGGCTTTACAAATTCTGGAACTGGTTTGATAATTATCATGACTCTCACTCATAAAACATTATTGATTTTCCAATACTTAATTTCCAGCATCTAAAGGAAAGTATATACTTACCATGCAAGGTCCGAGTGATATTCCATCTCCAAACGCATTTTTTCTGTGATCCCATGGTCATATTCTTCAGCTCCTTGCGATTTATCCTCGTCTGAATGCCCCTACAGAAGGCATAACAACAGGTGGCACACGTATTACTAAAACCAAACAATTTTCTCAATGCAAGAGAACCATAATTCTCATCAACATTTGCCAAGCAAGCCTAACAAGGACTTCTTACAACACGACCAACAAAACGGGAAATTCAGATCTATCTGATAAGAAGTGGCATAACATGGGTGCACAGTCCCAACTAAGAATGCATACCTCCATTGTCAGATCACCTTCTCTAGAGTGTACAAGTTGATTGGATCTTCCACCATGCCTAGAGCTTGAGGAGGAACCAGAAGCCCGGATTGGAACAGGAGAAGGTGCACCAATATCCCATGGAGAAGCAGAAGACACTGCATGTGAATAAGGACATGGTAATAAATCCCATTGTTAGTATTATTCGTGGACGCTGCTAAATAAAACAAGCTAGCAAATAATATAATTTCAAACACAGCATACTTGTTGAACGAGGTGTATAATCCATCCATGGGGAGGGTAAACGAGCATCGGGTGAAGCTGCAGCTAACATGGGTGACGGAGAAGGCTGATGTCGCTTGCTATAACTAGAGTCTCCATCTCTGCGTGGACTGTCTTCCCATTCCCAGTTTCCATCATCCCAGTCTGACCTACCTGCAAAATTATCTGTTAATAGCCGTTGAAAAGGTCCAATAAGAGTTGTGTTGGTGACATCAGGCTTCGGGAACAAAATTTTGAAAATAGACACAACAGTAACAAGATAAACAAAATTGACATTTATGCCAATAATAAATTTATGAGCTTCTACAGTCTATTGCATACCCGGAGTTCTCCTATCGCTGTATCTTCCACGCTTTTCTCCGTGGTAATCTCGGTTAGCTTGGTGGTAGGAGCCCCTCCCACCATAGGTGTTTCTATTCCTTGACCGCGGAGTTTCACTTCTGTCATACCTATGTTCATTTCGATGTCTAATGCTATCATCTCTCTCATATCTACCAGTGCTGGCTAAACTCCTTGGAGTCCTGGAAATCTTCATTTTAACAGGTGGAAGAAAGATCAGAATACAAAAAGTCAAGTTGCAAGTAGTAATAAAAATCGGGAAAGAGGCAAAACAACGATTTCATTATTTGGATGGACTTACATCTGAAGCTCCAGGAGTCTCTGTAGTCACGGTACTTTCTGCAATACAAAAAAAAAGTATCATAAGGCTAAGTTCTCTCGTTACCAAAAATTCTTCTAGTTGTATAATTTTTGTTTTCTTACATAAAAGGATCCTGAATGCATAACTATATCGGTCTAAAACCTTGGATTAACTAATCACTCTAGTCTAGAGCTTGACTGACTTCGAAAACTAAATAGTCATGAGAGAAAAAAATACCTTCTGTAGTCTCAGATCTTGATGATTTCTCTCTGTATCGTCTGCTGGAATGGTCATGTGGAGTGTTATTTGCTCCATTATCTGATCCTGATACATCAGATCTATCATCTTCGTCCATAGATGCTGTAACAGATATTGCTGGCTTCTTGGGGACCTTAAATCCCCCCTGGGTCTTGCCAATGGCATTCTCCCTTTTCTCCATCGCCCTAACATCCAAGCCTACAAAAATATACATATCCCGTGGGTTACAAAAACGATTAAGCTTAGTGCATTCAACAATTATATTGCAATTGTTATAGATTCATACCTAGACGGGACTTCCTCTCAGGAGCTGTAAAAGTCACTTTATCCATCACAGGAAGATCACCACCGGTCTCCTTCTCGGTTTCCGTGGTTTTGAATGGATCGACCTATATTAGAACAATACAATTAAGGCTTCTACACGGCAAGTTCCTCAAACGCAGAACAACCTAAACACGAAATTAGCGAAAACAACGAATCCAATCACTTGTAGAAACTTACTCCCATAACTCAGTGGACGAATCGCTCGGTTTCAGCTCCGAACCCCGTTAATCCCAACACCAAAACCGAATATTCTGTCCCGGAAATTAACCACAGACAGCTTCCTCGTGCGTTCTTCTCGGCGAGAGAAAATCGACTCTGGTGAGAATAATTACTCTGAGCGTGAGGTTGCGATTCCAGTAGCTTTTTTCTGAATCTCCGATTAGAGCAACGCGAACTCCTTCTTTGAGTTAATCGTATCTATATGGCTCCGAAGTCGGTCGTTCGGAGGCGTGGAGGAGAGGGATGATAAATTTGGGAACTGTGAAATTAGCAACCCGATCGGAACAAAGGATTACGAGCGATCACCGCCGGTTAGGTTACGCACGCTTAAACGCGATTCGGTAAGCGCGTGTGGTAATTATTATAACTTTTGTTTTGAACTGAGAACAATTTTTACATAATGGGCCGATTTTTGTTCTTATGGCCCTTTTAACATTAACGGGTCTTATGTGTTTTTGCTTATCGTCTTTTTTTTTTCACACGAGAACCAAAACTTTCCTATATGATCAATTAATCAATTTCAGCTTTTATTTACCCGTTAATTTACCCACGAGCCAACAACTGTGGTGTTTTATATATGCGAGCACTGCTTTGACATGAACATTTATGATTAAAAGACTAAGTATGTTAACTCACTACAACGAATCATAGAACATATGTTTAAGTTAATTTCTGGAAATGTATTATAGGCTGGGGAGTTTCTATTACTGAATGTAGAAAAAGTATGCAACTTTAGAGTGTTTGTAAAAGAGTATGACTGAAAATTGATATGGTTTAAGTAATTTCCGATATAAGTTAAGTCTTATAAGATGGATCCAAAGTCTCTTTCTTTATGTGTGTACTCAAGTCTACTCACCGAATGAGACAATTGACTGCAAAATTGACCGAATGGAGTATTTTTTAATTGCTTTCTCATTCGATCGAAATGGCTCAAAAAATTGGTCTAAGACATTGGTCTTTAATGCAATTTCGGCATTGAACACAATTAAAAATGAATCTAATATACACACAACAAATCCATCAGAGTTCATAAATCATAACCTTAACATCATTATCCCCAAAATCATTGTTAATGTAACATTTTAGTCAATTTTGATTTTTTTTAAAGAAATGAATAGTTAGCACACTTCGAGTCTGCGTCAAATCCTCAAATCTTGTTATTATCAAGAGAAAATCCTCAGATATTGTTTCAGAAACGAAAGAAACGGTAAAAATATTGTTGAAAAGAAACGGTAAAAATATTGAAAAGCATTGACGAGTCAAAACGAGGTCAAAAAAGCCATTCAAGTTTTTGGAAACGGCTAACTTTTTTTTTGTTTTGTTTATGGTAATCTCCACTTTTTTGAAATTCCAACTACCCTTACAAAACAACCCTTGCTTTTGAGAATTTTTTACATTTTTGTCTTGTCTCGATGAAAAATTGGAGGGACCTTCCTTTTTGCTTGCTCCTAGACAAATCCGAAAATACCCCACGAAACGAGATTTCAAACTTGTGGTATTACTGTAATTGAATGGTAGATAGAGCCTCTTTGTTGACACGAACTTCGAAAGTGTCCTTTTTCACATTTCTTTTAATTTTTTCCATTAAAGCGGTGCTACCAAAAAAAAAAAAGTAAAAGAAGAAAAACACAAAAAAACATTCACTCAGCCACACAGGATCTCTCTCTCTCTTTCTCTTTCTCTTTCTCTCTCTCACTTTGCGTACTTAGCAGCTAAGTAGCTAAAAGTTGTGCTGCTGCTTTGCTCCTCCATTGTTAGGGTTTCTGGATCTCTCCTGTCTCTCTTTCTGGTATGTTCATTTCAATGTCGCATCCCTCTGCTCATTGTTAACATAACCTTGTCTGTCTCTGTCGTCTAATGAGCTGTTTTGTCTCAAGGAGGCTTAGGAACATTTAATACTGCTTATCCTGGAGGTTTAGGGTAGAAAGTAATGTCTGCTACGAGAGGAGGTCCTGATCAAGGACCGTCCCAGCCTCAGCAGCGCCGGATCATACGGACTCAGACTGCTGGAAACCTCGGAGAGTCATTCGACAGTGAAGTTGTTCCGTCGTCGCTTGTTGAGATTGCTCCTATTCTCCGTGTTGCTAATGAGGTTGAATCTAGCAACCCTAGGGTTGCGTATCTCTGTAAGCATCTCTCCCCTACTGGTTTTAAGTTATTTAATTTTGGGTTTGTGATTTGTTCTACTGCTTCTTTGTTGTTAAATCTGATTCTGGGGGGGTTTTGTTCTTTTTTTGCTCTGTCTCCCTTAGGTCGGTTTTATGCATTCGAGAAAGCTCACAGGCTGGATCCCACCTCCAGTGGAAGAGGTGTTCGGCAGTTTAAGACTGCACTTCTACAGCGTCTTGAAAGAGTGAGTGTTCTTAGATATCCCCTGCATGTGACAGATTTGTGTAGGAACAAGTCTTGGTTTTAGTACTTCTGCTTTTTAACAAATGTGCTCTCTACTCTTTCTTTAACTTTTGCAGGAGCACGATCCAACACTGATGGGCAGGGTTAAGAAAAGCGATGCCCGTGAGATGCAGAGCTTTTATCAGCATTACTATAAGAAGTATATCCAAGCTTTGCAGAATGCCGCAGATAAGGCTGACCGGTTAGTCTAACCTACTATAAATGTCTTTGATTTTAATTTTTAAGACGCTGATTAGTGTCTTCTCAGTGTCTGAGAGCACCAAATTCATTAACTGATGCTTTTACATTCTGTCAAAAAAATTCAGTGCTCAGCTGACAAAGGCATACCAAACTGCCAATGTTTTGTTTGAGGTGTTGAAGGCTGTTAATCTGACACAGTCTATTGAGGTTGACCGGGAGGTAAGGCGTTGTGACTTTTTTTTAGTCATGTCTCTGTTTAGTATTTTTCATTGTATCATTTGTCTTTTTTTTTCATTCTTGTGAAACGTTGCAATGATGTTTGATGTTTCCAGATTTTGGAAGCTCAAGATAAGGTTGCAGAAAAGACACAGTTGTATGTCCCCTATAATATCCTGCCTCTCGACCCTGATAGTGCAAATCAAGCGATTATGAGATATCCTGAGGTGAGTCCCCTTGTTGTTCCACTGTGGGCACTGTTATATATTTGTAACATGTTGTCAGCGGGTAATGTGATATTTACTGCAGATCCAAGCTGCTGTTCTTGCTCTTCGCAACACTAGAGGTCTTCCTTGGCCAGAAGGTCACAAGAAAAAGAAAGATGAAGACATGCTTGATTGGCTTCAAGAAATGTTTGGATTTCAGGTAATTTTACTAGCTCGGCCAGATTCTCAATTTTCCATAAACTTCAGCTGAGGGTAATCTATAAATTCGTGAATGGTTTGTCAGAAAGACAATGCGGCTAAACTTCTCATCACTTGATGTTATTACCTGCTAAAATTCATTTTATATGTTATGGTTCTGCAGAAAGACAACGTGGCTAATCAAAGGGAGCACCTGATTCTACTACTTGCTAATGTGCATATAAGACAGTTTCCTAAGCCTGACCAGCAGCCAAAGGTTTGTACCTTAATTTTGTCATTTGTTGAAAGACGCCTCTTATCTCACTTTGCGTTTTCAAAACCGAGGAGTTTTCTTTGCATTGTGTTTTTATGTTTCCCCTTGGAAGATACTTTCAAGTTATCCATTGGTTTGTTCTCATAATGACAACCCATTGTCCTCCAACAGTTGGATGATCAAGCACTGACAGAAGTGATGAAGAAGCTCTTCAAGAACTATAAGAAATGGTGCAAATACCTTGGTCGAAAGAGTAGTCTTTGGTAAGGGAATCTTAGACACCTATACTTAATTCTATACAGTTTCTGCAGGAGTAGCTTAGAATGTGAACATGTAAAGGAAATTGCATTGGTACTGGTCGAAGTATTATTATTATTATTGAAGCAACAAGAAGCTTTTGTCTGTTCTTCATGAGCAGGGAATCAAATTTGTTGTTTGAGTCTAAATGTTTATGCAAACTCTGATGTTGAGAATCTTAAAATATTAAGCCTGTTTCAACGTGTTATCTGCTTGTAGGTTGCCAACTATACAGCAGGAAATGCAACAGCGCAAGCTATTGTATATGGCCCTGTATCTTCTAATCTGGGGTGAAGCAGCGAACTTGAGATTCATGCCAGAGTGTCTCTGCTACATTTATCATCATGTATGTTTCAACTTGCAAAGTCTTCTTCTGTAGTTTGTGTGTGATTCCTGTTTTTTCTTTTTTTTTTTGTACTCGTCCGTGAGTGACTATATTGTGCTTTACTGTCATTCTTTTATCTTCGGAAGTTTTATCTTTCGTCGTTTATTTTTCTGCCCTCATTGATACATTTCTGATGGTAAAGTACCAACTGATAGTTTTGTTTAGAAATTAGAATTTTGGTACAATACAGCGATGGGTATCATGCTTGCTTTTTATTATACACAGAATGTTTGCTGGTAGGAGTTCCCGAATGTGATATTTCTTACCTCTTGCTCTATTTCATGGTTTTGCAGATGGCATTTGAACTCTATGGTATGCTGGCTGGGAATGTTAGTCCTATGACTGGGGAAAATGTGAAGCCAGCTTATGGTGGCGAGGAAGATGCATTCTTGAGGAAAGTTGTGACTCCTATCTATGAAGTGATTGGCATGGTATGGCTTAAATTTTGAGTTTCCTTCTGCTTTCAGTATTTTTCTTGCTTGTTAATATTTTTACTTACGTAACCGTACCATTCACAGGAGGCTCAAAGGAGCAAGAAAGGGAAGTCCAAGCACTCCCAATGGAGGAACTATGATGATTTGAATGAATACTTTTGGTGATATATCTATCAACCTGCGTTCACACAATCGTAACAGTCTCCACAAGTGGTTTTTATGATTAGTAACATATGGTTTTTTATATCGCAGGTCAGTTGATTGTTTCCGATTAGGCTGGCCCATGCGAGCTGATGCTGATTTCTTTTATCCGCCTGTTGGTGAGCCCAATACAGAAAAAGATGGGGTACACAATGACTATACCTCTTCACTGTTCTTTTCTGCATTTTTTTGCTCTTTCTGGAATTTGCTACAGTTACAGTTTCCAGTTAGTTTAAATTTTTATTGTGGGAACTCTATTCTCTTGCCGCTGAATTTTAATAGCTACCCACTTATTACGTCCTTTTCCCCCTGTTTTTGTTATCATATATCACAGGATAACAGCAAGCCTGCTGTTGCCAGGGATAGATGGGTGGGGAAAGTTAATTTTGTTGAGATTCGTTCCTTCTGGCATGTCTTCAGAAGTTTCGATCGAATGTGGAGTTTCTATATTCTGTGCCTTCAGGTATTACTTTTTCCTATTTGTCACTGCCCTTCTTTATGCATAGTCTCTCAAGATATGACTCTGATGATAAATTTTGGTAGGCCATGATTATTATGGCTTGGGATGGTGGAGAACCAAGTTCTGTCTTTGGAGCTGATGTATTCAAGAAAGTTCTGAGTGTGTTTATCACAGCTGCAATAATGAAGCTTGGACAAGGTTGGTTAATATCATTGTCAAAACTTTTATAAGTTTACTTGAGCGACGAAACCTCATCTACTAAACCAATTTGTGCAGCTTCTCTTGATGTGATCCTCAGTTTTAAAGCTCATCGGAGCATGTCGCTACATGTTAAACTAAGATACATCCTGAAGGTGTTATCTGCTGCAGCATGGGTTATTATTCTGCCTGTTACATACGCTTACAGCTGGAAAGACCCTCCAGCATTTGCCGTAACTATCAAGAGTTGGTTTGGGAATGCCATGCACTCACCTTCACTGTTTATAATAGCTGTCGTTTTCTATCTGTCGCCTAATATGCTCGCGGGGGTGCTGTTTCTTTTCCCTCTGCTACGTCGGTTTCTTGAGAGGTCCAACTACAGAATTGTGATGCTAATGATGTGGTGGTCTCAGGTACTACTCTTAGTTTATGTATATTTGCATAAGTAATGGAAAGTAATCCTCAGCTCTTAGTGTGTATCATTGCTGACGTGACCATAAATAACCGTATTTTGTTCCACCTTGTAGCCCAGACTCTATGTTGGCAGAGGAATGCATGAGAGCGCATTTTCCCTCTTGAAGTAAGGATTCTGATTGTCACACATACATCATTGGCTTTTAGTTACTGGTGCAAGCCTGGGTTCTCAGTCCACTTATGTCTTTCTACCCTTTTCTTTCGTAGATATACCATGTTCTGGGTGTCGCTTATTGCAACAAAGCTGGCGTTCAGTTACTACATTGAGGTGCGTCTTTACTATATCTAGTTCTGGTAACCATTAACTGCATGCTGTGAGAAAAGTATCTTTATTGCCACAATTGTTGGAGTCTGACAAAATGACTTCGCTCACAGATCAAGCCTTTAGTTGCTCCAACACAAGCCATTATGAGAGCCCGTGTGACTGATTTTCAGTGGCATGAGTTCTTTCCTCGTGGTAATGCACTTTTCACATCAACTACATGATTACTTGAAAATATATATATATATATATATTTTGTTTTTTCTAACCCCATCTCTGTTTCATTTGTGCAGCCAAAAACAATATTGGTGTTGTTATCGCCCTCTGGGCCCCTATTATTCTGGTAAGCATGGGCATGTTGAACATGTCTCCACGTTTTCCCCTGCTTTGGTTTTTGCTAATTTTGATTCTGGGTCCATCCCGCTGTAGGTTTACTTTATGGATAGTCAGATTTGGTATGCTATATTTTCCACATTGTTTGGAGGAATATACGGTGCATTCCGCCGCCTTGGAGAGGTATGCTGTTTTAAGACAATCTGACTGAAGCCAAGTTATTTGAACTTTGAACTTGAGGTTTCCCTGTCAAGTGTCATTTACTGATCTCTAAATCCTTATCGTTTTTTTTCCACTGTTACAGATTCGTACATTGGGAATGCTTAGATCACGGTTTGAGTCACTGCCTGGCGCTTTTAATGACCGCTTAATTCCGGATGGAAAAAACCAGGAAAAGAAGAAGGGATTAAGGGCAACGTTATCTCATAACTTTACAGAGGATAAGGTTAGTTGAAGCGAGTGAACTGCTATCATGAATGGTTCTTCTCATGAATGCTTCTTATCATGAATGGTTCTTCTCATTATGTACTTCAGGTACCTGTTAACAAAGAGAAAGAGGCTGCAAGATTTGCACAGTTGTGGAACACAATAATTAGTAGTTTCAGAGAGGAAGATCTTATAAGTGATAGGTAAATATTGTATGCCACATACCTAGCTGAAAGAACTATTTGGAACTCAACATTTTGAACTTACATCTTTTATTTTGGACTTTCTTAGGGAGATGGATCTGTTGCTCGTTCCATATTGGGCTGACCGTGATTTGGATCTCATTCAGTGGCCTCCGTTCTTATTGGCTAGCAAGGTTTGTTCTCACATAAACGCATTAGAATTTTATCTTAAGGACTCTGTGATTTATTATATTTGGCCGTAGATTCCAATAGCTTTGGATATGGCAAAAGACAGTAATGGGAAAGACAGAGAGCTGAAGAAGAGGATTGAGAGTGACTCTTATATGAAATGTGCTGTCCGTGAATGCTATGCTTCATTCAAGAATATCATAAAATTTTTGGTTCAGGGAAATCGTGAAAAAGAGTAAGTTGGGTTAAAGTTGTTGGAACCATAACGTTGGAGTACTTGCTTTTGTTTCTTACATATCTGCTTTTAGTTTTGGTAATATTTTCTTATGGCCGCTTACATCTCAGGGTGATAGAGATTATATTTTCTGAGGTCGACAAACATATAGAATCAGGTGATTTGATTCAAGAGTACAAGATGAGTGCTCTTCCTAGCCTCTATGACCACTTTGTCAAGCTGATAAAATATTTGGTAATGTTCTTCCTATGGTACTGTTTGTTTTTTAGTTTGTCTTTTTTCTTCATTTATTTGACACTTGATTTAGTATCGTTGTTTTTTTATCCCATGTAGCTAGACAATAACGAGGATGATAGAGATCACGTTGTAATTCTCTTCCAAGACATGCTGGAAGTTGTAACAAGAGACATTATGATGGAGGATTACAATATATCGAGGTTAGCAAGTTATCCTATATATGAACATCAAAATCTAATATCTCGCCATATCTTGTCATATGAACATCAAAATCTTACATATCCAGTTGTCTCTGTAGCTTGGTAGATTCGAGTCATGGTGCCACTTGGCATGGGGGAATGATCCCTCTCGAACAACAATATCAGCTGTTTGCATCTTCAGGTGCCATTAGATTTCCTATTCAACCAGTAACAGAAGCTTGGAAAGAGAAGGTTGTGCCAGATTGGGTTGTATATAAGCTATACTCCTTTAATTTTCATATGATTTGTGCTCAAAATTTTAATGCCTGTATGTCCAGATCAAACGGCTGTATCTTTTGCTGACTACTAAAGAGTCTGCTATGGATGTCCCCTCTAACTTGGAAGCAAGAAGGCGGATCTCTTTCTTCTCAAATTCATTGTTCATGGACATGCCTACGGCACCTAAAGTTCGCAACATGCTATCATTTTCGTAAGCCTTTTCTACTCATTTTTAGATTTTAACCAGTCACCTCTGAATTTGTATGGTCACATATTGTTGGAATAGAATTGGTTCTTCTCCTAAATTTCCAGTTAAACAGTAGTGTGAAGTAACGAAGATTTGAAACTGTTTTATCATGATGTCTTTTGCTATTGGTTCATAATTCTAGTGTACATTGTAGTTTTTCGTAACTAAACTGGTCGGTTTGTAAGTTATTTGTATTTCGTTGCTTTTAATGAGGTTTTTCGTAACGATACTGGCTTGGTTTTTTGTCTTTGTTATGCTTATTGTAGTGTTTTGACTCCATATTACACTGAAGAGGTCCTCTTTTCCTTGCGGGACTTGGAAACACCAAATGAAGATGGTGTTTCGATCCTCTTTTACCTACAGAAGATTTTTCCAGGTAAATTGTGTTTATATTTTTTGTCAAGGCTGTAGTCTAAATTCTTGAACCACGTCTTGGACCTGACCTTTAATCTCTAGATGAATGGAACAATTTTCTTGAGCGGGTGAAGTGCGTAAGTGAAGAGGAACTTAAAGACTTAAACGATTTAGATTTAGAGGAAGAACTTCGGTTATGGGCTTCATACAGGGGGCAAACTTTGACTAGAACTGGTATGCTCTTTTTGTAAATTTCTATCTGGTGATAGATTATATGGACACAGAAGATATTTGTTGTTGATCTTTTGATATTTTTTGCAGTACGAGGAATGATGTACTATCGCAAAGCTTTGGAGCTTCAGGCATTCCTTGACATGGCCATGCACGAAGGTATTTTTCTCTGATTTATATTATCCGAAAAAGGGGCATTGATCAAAAGCCCACAATTAATTGTTGATGCTTACTCAGTCTGAAATTTGCCTCTCCAGATTTGATGGAAGGTTACAAGGCCGTAGAACTAAATTCAGAGAACAATTCAAGAGGCGAAAGATCACTCTGGGCACAGTGCCAAGCTGTTGCGGACATGAAGTTTACATATGTTGTATCATGTCAACAATATGGTATTCATAAACGATCCGGTGATCCTCGTGCGCAGGATATATTGAGGCTTATGACAAGGTGTGCAGAGTCATCCTATTTTGTTGTCTTTTTTTTTTTTTTAACTTGTCTGGAACTTATGGCTCTGCTTACAATTGGCAGATACCCTTCGCTCCGTGTTGCATATATTGATGAGGTCGAAGAACCAGTGAAAGACAAGCCAAAGAAAGGGAACCAGAAAGTGTATTATTCTGTGTTGGTAAAGGTCCCTAAGTCAACTGATCATTCCAGCCCAGCACAAAATCTAGACCAGGTAATGCAAAGCAGTCTAACATTTGTCTCAAGTTGTTGAATGTGCAATTTATTATATCGTTGAATTTATTCATGCACGTGTAAGGTAAACTTGTCCAGAAGGTGGTTGTTAGTGCTGAACTTTTCACTGTGGTTTTCTTAGCGTTAGTTCCAAACATTATGTCGTACTAGGATGAGCTAAATGGCAACCTAATGTCACACACCTGCGTTATTTTATACTTCTTTTCGCCAAATTTTCTTTATTTGCTTTTTACTGTTATATATGTGCTATCTTGTGTTGTTTACTTCTTGTTTTGACTTGACACTTACATGGATCAAATTATCTCTGCCTTTTAGGTTATCTATAGGATTAAGCTTCCTGGACCTGCTATTCTTGGAGAGGGAAAGCCAGAAAACCAAAATCATGCTATCATTTTTTCTCGAGGAGAAGGTTTACAGACAATCGATATGAATCAGGCATGCACTTGTTCTTTTTGCTCAGCCTTCTAGTTATCTCAATGCTTCAAGCTGATATTAAGTTTCCCATGATGCCCTTGTTTCAGGATAATTACATGGAGGAAGCCTTAAAGATGAGGAATTTGCTTCAAGAATTTCTTACAAAGCATGATGGTGTGAGGCATCCATCCATTCTTGGGCTCAGGGAACATATTTTTACTGGATCGTGAGTATTTCACCATTTCCAATTATTTTAGGGATTTGTGTCTCTTTTAACTAAGGAAGTTGGTTTTGGCATTTCGCAGCGTTTCCTCCCTGGCTTGGTTCATGTCAAATCAAGAGACTAGTTTTGTTACGATTGGTCAGAGATTACTGGCAAATCCTTTGAGGTAAGTGTGTTTGCTGAGATCGATTGTAGTGATAATTGCACATGATTTTCTTTGTTGTCATTCCCAAATCAATATTTTTCTCTTGCTCCTATGTAGGGTTCGTTTCCACTATGGTCATCCAGATGTGTTTGATAGACTGTTCCATCTAACGAGAGGTGGTGTTAGCAAAGCATCCAAGGTTATCAACCTCAGTGAAGACATATTTGCTGGTATATTCTACTCTTGTGGAGGATTATCTTTTTCTTTCATTGACTCTCAAATGGTGTCCTCGCTAATAAATTGCTGGTGGTGTCTATTGCGCAGGATTCAATTCTACACTTCGTGAAGGAAATGTTACCCATCATGAATACATACAAGTTGGTAAAGGAAGAGATGTTGGTCTAAATCAGATCTCTATGTTTGAGGCCAAGATTGCTAACGGGAATGGAGAGCAGACATTAAGTCGGGACATTTACAGGCTTGGACACCGTTTCGACTTTTTCCGTATGATGTCGTGTTACTTCACCACTGTCGGGTTTTACTTCAGCACCCTGGTACGGTGTCGTCCTGTTTTAATTAAACCAAGTATCACACAACTAGCTCCGGATCTAATTTTGTTGTCTACTGTTTTCGCAGATTACCGTTCTCACTGTCTACATCTTCCTCTATGGACGTCTCTATCTTGTTTTGAGTGGGCTCGAGCAAGGGTTGAGTACACAGAAAGGCATCCGAGACAATACACCTTTGCAAATAGCTCTTGCTTCACAGTCCTTTGTTCAGATTGGGTTCCTGATGGCTTTGCCTATGCTTATGGAAATTGGATTAGAGAGGGGTTTCAGGACTGCCTTGAGTGAATTTGTGCTGATGCAGCTTCAATTGGCGCCAGTGTTCTTTACGTTCTCCCTTGGAACAAAGACCCACTACTACGGAAGGACTTTGCTTCATGGCGGTGCCAAGTACAGGTCAACAGGCAGAGGGTTTGTCGTGTTTCATGCCAAATTCGCAGATAACTACAGACTCTATTCCCGGAGCCATTTTGTTAAAGGGCTGGAGATGATGCTGCTGCTTGTTGTGTATCAAATATTTGGAAGTGCTTACAGAGGCGTGCTTGCATATCTTTTGATCACCATATCTATGTGGTTCATGGTGGGAACTTGGCTTTTCGCTCCCTTCCTCTTCAATCCTTCCGGCTTTGAATGGCAGAAAATAGTTGATGACTGGACTGATTGGAATAAATGGATAAACAACATCGGTGGTATTGGTGTACCGGCGGAGAAAAGTTGGGAATCGTGGTGGGAGGAAGAGCAAGAGCATCTGCGATATTCTGGAAAGCGTGGTATAATTGTTGAGATTTTGTTATCCCTGCGGTTCTTTATCTATCAGTACGGGCTTGTTTATCATCTCACGATTACAGAGAAGACTAAAAACTTTCTGGTAATGCACCAAAAAAAGCCTCTCAACAGTTTCAGCTTTCTTTCTATAAGCTCTTAAAGTTGGTATCTTTGATTCAGTCACTAATTATCTTCTTGACTCAGGTTTATGGAGTATCATGGCTGGTGATTTTCTTGATATTGTTCGTAATGAAGGTGGGTTTACTTGATAGAATGATATATATCATTCTCTTGTTAATTCCCAGGGATTTCTCGTCGATAATAATATTATCTCTTTGTTGCTATCTCAGACTGTTTCGGTTGGAAGGAGGAAATTCAGCGCGAGTTTCCAGCTGATGTTCCGGTTGATAAAGGGGCTAATATTCATGACATTTATCGCAATTATTGTGATATTGATCACACTTGCTCACATGACGATACAAGACATAATTGTGTGCATCCTTGCATTTATGCCCACAGGCTGGGGTATGCTCTTGGTAAGTTAATCTTTCTAGCTGAAAAGTCTTGTTATTATGATGAAATGAAATGTTTTGTGTGGATGAAAGAAACGAAGGCAACAATTTGGTGTGTGTGTGTGTGTAGATTGCGCAAGCGTGTAAGCCGGTGGTTCATAGAGCAGGATTCTGGGGATCAGTGAGGACACTAGCTCGAGGGTATGAGATAGTAATGGGACTGTTGCTGTTCACGCCAGTGGCGTTCTTGGCTTGGTTCCCGTTCGTGTCGGAGTTCCAAACGCGTATGCTCTTCAATCAAGCTTTCAGTAGAGGTCTTCAGATCTCTCGTATCCTTGGAGGTCATAGGAAGGATCGCTCTTCAAGAAACAAGGAATGAGACTCCCTCCCTCTTCGTTGTTCATGCAGCAATGTCTCTACTTTATCATTTTGCTCATGTTGTATGGATTGACTAGTGTTAAAGATTATGTTCATCTAGTTTTTAGCTCATCTTAGAATTTACATAAAAGAAAAGTAAAAACACTTTAGTACGTGATCTATTTATTTAGTGACTGTTTAATCTCTCATAACCTGTTCATGTTTGACTCAACAACAATGGCAGTAGTTTCATACAAATCAGAACTTGCATCTTAGAGCACTCTTGGCACACCTCGCATCCACAGAGATACTCGAGAACTCCCAATCAATTTATTTTAAGACTTGCAAATAAAGGCCCAACTAGTGTACATAAATGGGGCTGACAAGAAAGCCCACAAGCCGCTTATTTTTTATTTCATTGAAAACACACTAAAAGACAAAAAGTTCCACCGGGGCATAAACAAGCAGCAACGTGGCGGCTGTCAACAGCCCCACGACATTTGTACGAGAATGATATTTGTCTGGCTCGTTCCAGCTGTTAACGGTAATCAGTGTCCGTACAGTTTAAAGCTCATCCCTATAAGAATAAGGAAAATGACGGATTTGTCCATCCAACCTGTAAAACGAGGGTAAAACCGGAACTTTCTCTTTATTAGACGACACCTCTCGACGCGAATCTCGTCGTCACTCGTCGTCTCTTCCCACAGAGAGAGGTTTTTGAAAATGGCGGCGATGAGATACAAAGGAAGCGTTTTTATCACAATCATCTTCTTCTCCTTTGTCCTTCTTCCGTGCCCTTTTGCTCACTCTTCTTCTACAAAATGTAAGTCGCTCTTAATAATCTTTTCATTTGCTTCACTTCCCATATATGACGTCTCCTTTACTTTTTCTTCTTCTTTTCATTGCTTCTTTTCTTTTGTAGCGTTCTTTTGGTTAGGAGAAACAGAAGCTATGAAAGCCATCGAAAAGGTAAATATTTACTCCTATTAATACCATTCTTCTTTTACCCCAAAAACACATGATGATTATTAAGCGACTCTTTTGAATGGAACGAAACATTAGTTTCCCTATTTTTTCACCCAAAAAGAATGAACTTTTTGTTTTTCTAGCTTTGTATTTTATCGGATGTGATATTTGTTTGTATTTTCTGTTTTATTTTGATACAAGAAGAAAGATTAAGTAAGTCAGTATTTGTAAAACAGGAGAAGGAGATTGATGTTGGAGCAGCTATTGAAGTTGAAGAAAGACAAGTTCCGACTGGATCCGACCCGCTCCATCATAACCACATTCCCTTTACTTCTCCATAAATTGATTCTATTATTTCTTTTACATCTTCTGTTTCCCATAATTCACTTATTGGTTTGTAACATTTTCTATATTCCAGTTTTGGGTTTTCTTTTGCGAATGTTTATTTAATGTAATTTCAGAGTTTAAAAGACTAACTTGGCAGCATTTCAGTTGAATAACGTATGAAGCATTCTTGTCATCTTCTCAGAAATATTGTTGTATAGTTTTTTTGGATATATAGAAAGATTCCAAAGGCGCAACTTCCAACTCATTAAAAAAAATAATGTTATAGATCATTTTTATTTAGCAAACTTTTATTTATTACAGTCCCTCCTACACCCAAACATATCTCTATAAGATGAAATATCAACTGATGCAAATAAAAAAAAAAACGAATCAATTTAATCTGTTATAGAAACCTTTGGTTTACAATTTAAAATTCTGACCTTATCCTGGTCAAAACTTTAAATTGCTGACCATAAAGATTGGATAAAACTTATAAACCCGATTAAGTCATACACAATAAATATAACTTATAAATCAATATATATATATATATATATTTGTAGCTACTCAATTATCTCGCTGTCAAAAAAAAAAAACGCTACTCAGTTATCTCTTTATTTCAAAATTTGACAAAGTGAATCTTATATTTTTAAAAATTAAATATACACTTTCTTTTTAATTAAATTTGTCTTTCTTTATACAAAATCTAACATAAGAGAAAACTAATTATTATTACTTTTTTAAGTTTTGTTTTTTCCTTTTTTTAATTAATTGAAATTATTTTTTATATGTGTCAATATTTTATTGATTGACTTGAAACGTGTTACAATTATATTAATTAGTAATTTTGAAATATTTACTCTTTTAATTGTATTTTTTTAAATCTAAAATATTTTTTATTAAAAAATTATATGTTAATGATTAATTTAATATGTATGATGATCATATTAATTAATAATTTAATACTTCAAAACTTATATAATAAAATTAAATTTATAGTGAAAATTGAAAGAAAAAAATTATATATTTTTTAAAAATAATATTATCGTTAAATTAGTATGTTTTAACGCGGTAAATAGAAAATGAAATTATATAATTTTAGTAACAAATATAAATATGAAATTATAATTTAAATATTAATATTTACTTGTTTGATAATTTTGACGCGACACAAAAATAGAATAGTAATATATTGTTAAAATAATTTATTTTAAAATAAAAAAAGTTTAAAAATTTTAATTTTTCCTAATATCGATTGCCTAAGTTTTAGAGTATGTTTTTCTCATTAGCTTGTCTTCATGTGAATCATATAAACTCCATTAATTCTAAACTCCATTAATACTCTTGGTCTTGGATAATATGCATCCCCATGTTGGGGAAGATTAAGATATACTAATAAACAATCCGTAACGGCAAACAAAATACAAACAAACAAATCCTTAACCGAGGAAGCGCGTGGCACGTGAGAAACACTACCTGGACTATAAATACTTCCCCTATCACTCTTGGTCAGTAGCGATTCTCTTGCGGCGCGTGGAGACGGTGAAAGCTATGGCTAATCTTCCTCCTTCACTCTCTTTGAAATCTGCCGCTTTCTCCGGAGCTTCCTCCAGCAACGATCGCAAGCTCTCGCCGGCGGAGCAGTTGGTGCTCGACATCTGCAATCCCGAACTCAGGGAGAATGCTCTTCACGAGTTGTCCAAGGTGATTTCTCTCTACGTAATTCGACTTGCTTGCTTCTGTGGTTTACGAATTTTTTTTTATCGTTTTGGGATATCGTTTTTTGCATTTTCTTCATTGAGAATTTTGAAGGTCTTTGGCGCTTAGTCCGGTGAATCTAGAACATGCTTTCAGATTAGCCATTCTTCTTTTTCCCTGCGTCAAATTTCTGTAGAGAATTTGTAAGATAATCATCGGGACTATAGACCTTTCCTGAAGAGCGGATGAGAATGAATATATTTTTTGAAAATCGGTATTGATTGAACCTTATCTGATTGTGAGCAACGTTATATGATCAACGTCTGAACAATTGAAAAGTTAAATGGTCTCGGTGTTCTGATTTTCAGTTTAATGTTTATTGGCCTCGTTACTTTTGATTTCATACATTAGGCAGAGGATACTTTGGTGTATACGTTCTTCTAACAGAGATCCATGTCTATCATTGATTTAACCTGTGTGCTGTGTTTTTGCTTCTCTTTCATTTTTTCAGAAGAGAGAAATCTTTCAAGATCTGGCTCCGCTTTTATGGCATTCTGTTGGTACCATTCCTGCTCTTCTACAGGTACTCTCTCCATGTTTGCTTCCCTACTTTTGGTGGCATTTGTTCCTTTATTTCCTTCAGTGGAAATGATCTATTGCATGACGGCTTCTCTACGTTCTGCTGTATCTCTAACATCTTAACTTTTGCGATTTGATGTCATTTTCTACCTTTCTTCTTTTCAGGAGATCATCTCGGTTTACCATGTCCTGTCTCCTCCAACTATGACTCCTGCTCAATCAAACAGGGTGTGCAATGCCCTTGCGCTTCTTCAGGTGCATAAAATCTTGTTAACCTTCTCTCTCTTTTTTTGAGGGAGAATGATAAACCGTTTATCTATGTATCCTCAATTTAGAAGACTCTAGTTTCTATTGATCCGACCCTCCTTTTTGACATCCAGTGTGTTGCTTCTCATCCTGATACGAGAATGTTGTTCCTCAAAGGTACAATCCTTTGCCTGCATCATACAATTACAATGAGTTTAAAATAATTTGCGGTGTTTGCTCTGTGACTAAAGTAAAGGCTTAGATCACATTACCCTATTGGTCGTTTTTTAATTATTCACATTTCTTGGATGTGTGTGGTTATAATATGCTTAAAGCTAAAGGCAGATGCTTTTCAAAATACAGCTCAGCTACCATTGTACCTGTATGCTTTCTTGAACACCTCAAGCAAGTCAAGACCCTTCGAGTACCTGCGGCTGACTAGCTTAGGGGTGATTGGTGCACTTGTCAAGGTATGTCTTGGTTTTTGAGTTTTGTGTTTTTCTAATTATAAAAAAATCTGTTTATGTCAATAAGGCAGGAACAGTCCTTGTACTTGCTTACCTCTGTTTAGCTATTAAATACCACATTGTCCTGGTAATTATATCGTGTTGCTTTGAAACAACTATTTTAGCATGCTAAAACCTTCGAGTAAATACTGTTAAGACACCACAGAACCATTGTATTTTTGTGACATTGTTCATTTGGTTTGGCAGGTTGATGATACAGAAGTGATCAGATTCCTTCTTAAAACTGAGATTGTCCCATTGTGCCTCCGGACTATGGAAAATGGCAGCGAGCTATCGAAGACTGTAAGTTTGTCTACCTCCGGATGCTCATCTTTAGATATCACATGCTTGAAACATGTACATCAATTTTCGCATCAGTTATTACAACCATTTGCATAGCTCTGAAATCGTTCCTTCGTATAAGCATTGCTTCTGCAGTTGATGTCTCTGATTGGTTTTGGGCATGCATAGCTCATCTGATTGATTTGTTTGAGCCGACTATGTCAGGTTGCTACCTTCATTGTTCAGAAAGTTTTGCTGGACGATGTTGGGCTTGATTACATGTGCACCACAGCGGAGAGGTTCTTTGCTCTGGGTCGAGTTTTGGGAAACATGGTTACTTCACTTGCAGAAGGACCTTCTCCTAGGCTGCTGAAGCACATCGTACGCTGTTATCTCCGCTTGACAGATAACCCCAGGTCCAATAATTATCCATTTTCCCTCATTGAAAACATATTTTTATATAAGCTCGTGCTTACACGATACAGTCTTGATAACATTCAGGGCCTGCGATGCACTCGGAAGCTGCCTCCCAGAACTTTTAAGGGATGCCAACTTCAGCAGCTGTCTCTATGTTAGTTTTATGTCTCTCTTTGATAGCATACTAACCAAATATTACTGATACCAAATACCAAATTGTTATCTTGTCTCAATTCTTTAATTAAAACTGGGACTTTGACTGTTTCAGCTAATCTTCTTGCTTGTTTTTGACAGGATGATCCACCTGCAAGGCAATGGCTGCAGCAACTGCTCCACAACGTTGGTGTTGGCGCTCAACCACCTCCCCGAGGAGGAGCTTTCGAGCGTATGCTTGTGAATTAATTCCTTCCCCAAAAATTATATATTCTGGGCAATAAATTTTTTATTCATTGGACAAATAAGTTAGGCGGAAAATCAGAATTAACAGAGGAGGAAAAAGAAACTCATAACCAAACATTTTGATTATGATGGATATATGTATTTGGATTTCCAGAACGCCTTATGATGTTTGCAATTAATAACTTAAAATTCCAATAAAAAGAAGGATCCAAGCATTAGACCCCAAGTTTTTAGAAAATTAACAAACGTTCTTTTTTAAAAGCAGATGCAGATAATAATGTGTCTATAATAAACAGTCAGATCTTGCAGGTAGCCTCCTGAGGAGATTGATGGGCACAGAGGGGAGTTTGTGCCTGAACCTTGGATGCCTCAGCACATAGATCCCAATAAGAAGTGCCACAACCTGAAACGGCGTAACATACAAGACAATAGCAGCTATGAGACAGAAGAACACAAACAATGTGGTTGCCCTCGGGTCTCGCCAGCTCAGCAGCGATAGAAACCTCTCTCCCTGTGTCGCTAGATCGCCTATCACGGTCTGAACCCGTCCTGCAATGCTCCTGAGCCGGTCATACCGCATCCGCACAATCTCAGAGGAGCGGGAAGTCGGGAAAGTATCAAACTCTTCATCGAGCTCGTCGGGATGGACAGCGTCTGCGTGGGACAAGCGTGTATCCATGTGTGGCGGGTGCCTCGGTCTCCACCGGAAATTCCAGATCCCGATCAAGAAAAGGTACAAGAAAACCGTTGGTAGGATGAGTTCCGGGTAGAGGACTAAGATTATGAAAAGAACATGAATGAGAATTGTGGTTATTGGGTTTCTCCAGTTACAGATCTGATCAAACCATTTTCCAACAGCTATGAGACCACTCAGGACATTCATGATCCTGAAGAAGTTGGCTTTACTCCTCCTCATGCTCCACATGTGGGAGTCCACATCGAGCATGTACTCTACAATCTCTTTGCGAAGAGGCGGCTCTGCTCGGTTCAGCCTCGCCGAGACAATGTTCATCGCCTGGTGCCTCAGGCTGTCCAGCTGGAGAACCGACAACGGATGGATGTAGTGCATTTTGGGTAGTAACGGCTGAGAATACATATGAAGCATGTTGATGACAGATAAGCAAGTGAACCGCACAGCTAACTGTATTTCGCCCGTTTTCTTGACCCCGGAAGGATGAAAGACGAGCAGCGGATATGAGTGTGTGTAGATACGGTCAGCTTCAAGGGTCGAGAGACGGATTCTCACTTTCCCGATTCTCATATCTTTGCCGCTTCCTCCTGGAATGTGTCCATTGTCGAATGCTCCAAAAGTTATGACAGTACAGGTATCAAACACTTCCCATGTGTACTGCTCGTTCCATTTAGGCGTGAAGCTATCGACAATTGTTCTCGTTCTGATCCATTTCTGCCCGTACTTTGCCACGCAATACGCATCTGTTGTTCCCTTCCCGTCTTTTGTCTTCATCGGCATCAGTCCGTGAGCGCTTATGATACCTACTTCAAGCAATCCAATGCTCGGTTTCCAAAGCTGTTTTGCCGTTGGCCTTAGGTCGCTGCTGTAGTGAGTTGATTCATCAAGAACATGGTATCCGCCTTCAAGAAAGATTCGTAGATGAATCCTGCTAGCGAATTTTATCTCTTTCTTCTCTCCTTCCACCATAATATGTTTCTCCAGGTTGAACCACCTCGAGCCAAGCGGCCTATGGTCTAACCTCCTCTGCACATTCTGCAGCGGGATCGCGCACCGGCCTAACGTTTCGTCTTTGTTCGGCGCAACCCTGTCCTCGACGGCGAGAATCAACGGCTCCTCGAAAGGCTCAGCAACAACAAACATCAGATCTTCATTCCACATCGGATTCAATGTTTTGGTCTGAGAGATCCGCGTTCTTAGAGTCTGGTTTCCGAGCATTGCTTTCACGTAAACCTCAGGGAACTTGGTTTTCTCATGAGGTATCAAATCTTGAGCCTCGATCACATTGACCCTCACATACCAGAGCTTTGGAGAAAGATAAACCTTCGAACGGATGTTCCCCACACCCTCGTGTCCAACCGTGGCTGCATCTGAGTGCCAAGCATCAGAGAAAGCTTCATCGGCTTGTGTCCCCATCCAAACAGCTAACATAAGCTCTCCTTTAACCTTACGACCGTGTCGATCCTCCAACCTATACCACTGAGGAGCCAATGGACTATCAGGCGGGACTCGCTTAGGAATCTCATTAAGATCAAACATGATTCGACCAATCAAATCATCCAACATGACATCTTTGTCTTTCACTACAACCTCCAGGATTGATGCTTGGATCCTCTCCTTTGAGAACGCAAACACTTGCTTCCACTCCGGATTCGACTTCTTCTCGAAATGCTTAGTCGTTCCTCTGTAGTTTCCGAGCCTCACTTCCACGTAAGGATCACAGCTACCGGTCACATCTTTCCCCGGTAATTCCTTCGCCTTCACGACCCTCACGTAGAGGTAATGCATCTGCTCAACCAAATCATAAGTGCTCGAGAGTTTGTCACCTGTCACAGCTCCTGCACCAATCTTTGGTGAAGTCTCCTTCAGTGCAAAGTCGATATTTTGCCCAGGTTTCTGCATCTTGTCTGAATCTTCAAACTTTTGCAATTCTATTACAAAAAAAATCGTCTTTTGAGATCCAAGAACTTTGTAATAAGAGCAGCAGGTTTCAAGGGAAGCTGCTTGGTTTTGTTATTTTAAGACAACCTCTTCTGGTAAAAAAAGACATGACACAGAAACAATACATCAGAGAGATTTTAACATACCAACATGAAAAAAAAAGATACTAATAACGTAAGACATCTCTGGAATCAAAATCAGATTAGTGAGCAAGGAGTTTGAGATCTACACTTCTGAGAAATAATATCAGTAAGTGTTGGAAATGTTTATGGAAAATATTGAAAAGGGAGAAATAATAAAAAAAATTATTTATATTTTAAATGTTATTTGGGGACTCTAGTTGAAGTTTTCTCACCAAACAAGCAGCTACCAAAACCAAAAAATGTTGACAAAGACATTTCACTATAAATAAATATTCCCAAAAATGTATATAATTCTTTCTTAAATAAAATTAGAGCGAACTCTCTTAGCTTTCTCCTAATCTGATCCGAACAAAGCTTGAAAGTAATTTTTTTTGTGAAAGAAAAATGCCGATTACTTTAAGGAAAAGAAAATAAGAGTAAACATGAAGATCTATCCATCATGTAACCCCAAAAAAAAGAAATTAATCTTTGTGAGACAGCTAAACCCCACAAGAAACATTTTGTTTTCATGTCTTTAACTCTTCCCTTTCGTTGTTACTTGAGCAAACTGATCAAAACAACACTACAACTACAGATAATATAATATCTACAAAACAACACTACAAGTGACCAATGAAAATAAATAAAGACATGGTAATGTACCTCAGGGGATCTAAGGAAGAATAATGAAAATCACTTGGAGATGCATTATTTTTTAATAAAAAGTTTAGAAGAAAAAGAAGATGCTGAAAAATGAGATGGCGAAGAAGAGTGAGAGTGAGCTTTAGAGAGGTGAATGAAGAAGAGAGTGTACAGTAGAAAATAGAATATATGGGGGCATGTGGGTGCTAAGATCTGCTGCTTTTAGTGGACCCTACTTCTTTTGACCTCTTCTTTTAGTTTATTCATCTTTTCTTTTCTTAGTTTTCTATTTGCCACTTCCATTTTCACTCTCTCTCCTTAAGTCCTACAAGTTTTGTTTTCTTCACTTATTAGTTTATTCTTATTAATGCATTTAATGCTGAATGTATTTGATTGAATGAAATCAATGCTCGTAGAAGTTAGAACTTGTTTGTTTTCTTGTCTACAGCTTGTTTCATTGCACGGAAATATGCTTTCTGCCTACAAACATTATTTTGTATTCAACATTTTACTTCTACAGAGTTTAAATGTTCCTTCTGGCGAAAAAAATATTATATAGATTTTTTTTTTTTTTTGCATTAACTAATATGCTTTTTTACTTTTTCGATGAGGGAAGGTAGTCTCACAGAACGGATCAATCCACTGCAGTCTAGTCTGCTCTATTTTTAGAATGTTTCACATTCAAGAATTATACAATAAAGATGTGCAATAATTATCATCACAATTTATATAAAAAAAACCTTGTCTATATATTATTGTAATTAATAACATGGAACATCATACATTTGTAGATTAAATTGCATAACACAAACCACCTAAGAGGCTAAACATCTAAACACAACCCTTATAGCTATTTCCGTAAGACTTTTCTTATTTTTCTCCCAATGTACTTGAAGGAGTTTTTAACTTTTTCTTTCTTCAATTTTGTAAACTGAAGTACACATTGTATGTTTCATCTCTTAAGCTGAACAATGGCGATAACACAAAGTTCCTCTGTGATCCGCTCATCACGAAAGTCATTGGATTGTATTGACTCATTCCTTTCCTTAACCTAAAGCTTGCTGCCTGTTTAAACTTCTCATCAGTCGCATCCGAATCACATTTAAGCATCAGTTTCAATCCCGCCTTTAGGGTTTGATCGCTGTACACAAAACAACCCTTTTTGCTCTCTAGCCTTAACGAAACGCTTCCTGCCTTCCCGTCAACTCCAGATACTAATCGAAAGGTAGAAGCTTCTTGGGCGGCAGAAGAAGAATCTTGAACCGCAAGGAAGCTATCAGTTGCTTGCATCACAAGCATGCCAGGGAAATCAAACGGTTCGATCATGACCTGGCTTCCAATTAGCTCCTCTGGACCCGAAATCCGTCCTTTGGAACCAGCACTCACGAGCCTGAAAGTCGCGGCAACGGCGTCTTGTGTCCCTGGCGCAGGCGATACTTGCATCGTGATGGTTCGGTTGCTATTTGACAAGACGTAAGATATGTTTCCAGATTGTTGTGAGAGTGTGACAAGGTGACTGTTATGAGTTTCAGGTATAGATTCTATCCATTTTCCATCTTTAGCCTGACTTGTTGTGATGCTCCAGTCTCTGCTCGTGTGTCCGGCTAACAAGTAGGGGCCATAGAGTATGGCCTGAAGAGATGCGTACTCAGGCCGATCATCTGAAACAATCACCAGAAAAGGGAAAATAAAGTGAAATCATTGCTCTGTCAGAACAGAGTTGTACACAAAGAACACGAACCAGTTTACCGGTTTGACTTAACCAACTCTACACAACAAAACTGATTCAGAGCAATGACTATATACCTTTTATAGCCTCTGTTCTGATACTCAACGGTAGCTCCATCGTTACTTGATCACCGGATTTCCAGTTCTGTTTGATTGATAGGAAATTGCCTGCAAAGCAAAAGGCAGGTCCAATATGATTCTCATTTTCACAATCTAGAGACTGTAACAGAAACACAGGACACTGTAGTCAAGCAGGTCCAATATGATTCTCAAATCACCTGAAGCTGGTACTTTCAGGGCTTGGCCATTCAAAGACACTTTGGCACCTTCAGAGTTTGTCCAGACTGGAATTCTTAGATTCAAAGTCGACTCCTTCCCCACTCCCTGCAAAGAAAAATCAGATCCATCAGACCCTCCATTCAAAGGAACTTGTTGCATCTTGTTTCTTCTGCCACAAGTTTACTTACCCCTTTGGAAGAAGAGAAAGAGAATGTCACACGCATGTACGGATCCCACGACACAACGGGTTTAACTTTCTGAGATAGCAAGAGACCAGCAGATTTCCAGTCGAGTGAGCTTGATATATATTGGGTGACATAAATAGCTGGAGATACACCATCTTCTTGAAAATAAATGGAATCTCCAAGCTTTGAAAAGGATTCAATTCCAGTGCCATAGCAACACCAGAAGGCGTTATAGGGCGTTCCCCAACCGTGATAAGACACGGCCTTAGAAACACCTTTGCCCAATGGGAGCATGTAGATCATCAGTCCAGGCTCGGTTCCTCTTTGAATTCCGAGCACGCCGTTAGTCAAAGCACGCTCGTAATAGTCTGCATAACTAACTTCTTTTGTCCACCTGAACAGATTCCTAGAGACCTGATAATTGTACAGGTTTTGATATGTTGTTACCTTGTTGACCTGAGCGAATAAACAGAGAAGCAAAACAACAACAAAAAAAGGTTTAGAATCTCACCTTGAGCATGTTATAAGTAGTACATGATTCCTCGTTTTCAGTTTGCAGCGTGGTCGCCATTCTCTTCGGATCTTGCCTGAAGTTTAACATTTCCAAATCATGGTTAAGAGTTACAAAAACCAAAGGTATTGTTATACTGAAACCAAACTCTAAAAGCCAGTGAAAGTTAGTACCAGAACTCGTTGACTGATGTTCCTCCAGTTGCATAGCTGTGAGACGCATTAACTATGTCCATGAAAAACATTGAGATTTCCTGAAAAATGAAAATTTCAGAAACCAACGTTTTCTTTAATAAATTTCACAGTTTTCTTGGTTAGTATGCTTCAATACCTTATGGAGTGGATCACCAGTGATTTCATACCGGAGTTGGGATCCAACAACAATGGGAATATGTGTGTTAGAGTGGAATCCGCTTATATCATCGGCCTGAAAATGAAATATGCAAAAAAGTTCTGTTATATATTACCCATTCACATCTATTGAAGCAAACTCCTCAATGTAACCTACCTGAATCGCAAGCACCCCAAGAAAGCAAGGCTTGTCAAAGAGATGCGCGAGCAGCAAATACTTGGAATCTCCCTGCAGAGTCCAACAAAACTATGATATGAGACAAAGCTAGATAGAAAATGTTAAAGGAGCTTTCTTTGGAGAGTCTTGATAAAGATTTGTGGTAACCCACAGTGATGCTGTAGATCTGATAGAGGACATCATTCATGCCACCAGTCTCCTCGTTTAGTGATTGCCAATGTCGTTCAACGCTGTACTTGTTTATCACATTACGAACACGGACATAGAAGTAATCAGCCATCCACGTTGCCATTTTCAGAGCTTGAGTGTTCCCAGCCAACTTGTACTGATCCACCAGACCGGCTAAAATCTGTCAAAAAATTCAAGACATAAAGTTGAAACCTTTTTCTTTTGTCAAAGACACAACAAGCATATTATTATCTAACATCTAAATCAGATACTATGAGTAGTATTCACCTTGTGAATGGTGTAGTAAGGAGCCCATACAGGAACTATAGCTTCAAACCGGTCGAAAAAACTGGAAGGGAAAGCAGAGAGATACCCTGTGCCAACTTTCTGCTGGCAAGCAGATAGAGCTGAGACAAGAGCCGACATTTTCTCCTTGAGAGTATCGTTATGAGTACTTGCCCACATATAAGCTGTTGCACTCAAATAGTGACCTTCAAAACAAACAAAACAAAAACAGAGTCAAATTTCATGAACCATGTAGTAAAAGATAACTCCTTTAAGAGGTAAGAATCCTCTAAAAGTCTATACAATGACAAAAAAAAGGTAATTTCTTTGCCTACGCAATCCTAAATGAGAAATCTTTGTAAGGGTCTAAGCAATATAATATTAAACATCAAATCTCTAAACCTTTTTTTTGCATACTACCAAAAACATGGATCAAGAAACTGTATTTGAATTAGGGGGAAAAGAGGCAGCTTTATACCGACGAAATGGCCGCGGAGTTCACTGACTGGACTCTCCCATCCTCCGTAGTAATTTCCTGGAGCATCAAGACCAGCTGCTTTGCGGAAGCTCCAGGACAAAGCATCAACATCCAGCATCAACAGATACTCAAGGTTTGTCTGCTGAGCCCTCCAGTGGAAGGTGTCTGGGTCCAGCCTAACGTCGTGCAGAGAAACATCCTTGAGGAAGCTACCAGCGGCGTTATCTGAGTTCTTGATCTTCCTATACATCATAGTCCAACCATATTCATCTTCCTCTTCTCTCAGCATCTTTCTTGGCAACAAACTAGACCAAGCTGTGTCATCAGTTGGTGTTAGATGGTAATGAGAGAACATCTCTGTCTTGAGAGAATCGTTGTTCGATTGCAGGAGGTCGTAGCGGAAAGTATGCGATGAGAGCTGCGAAGGAGTGTTTGTGCACTCTTTTGCGACAGAAACAAGAAAGCTTGTGCATAGTAGAGAAATGGTTATGATGAGACCAGACATCATCTTACCCATTCTCTTTTTGTCTTAAAGAAACAAAATCAAGCCAAACTAAAAAAAAAGTATGTAAGAAGAAAGATTCTGTACTGTTCAGATTCGAAACCCAAAACCCCAGAATCCCAAATTCAGATTCCCAAATTCAGACTCCACGAACAGAATGAAAAGACTCAGAACCCATTATACAGAGAGTTGGAAGAGGATTTAAGATCGTTGGAAGAGATTTGAATTGAAAGAGAGAGTAATGAGGGGTGATATTTATAAAGAGTAATAAAGCAAAAGAGTCCCGAAGATTTAAGCAATGTCTACCACAAAACAAAAGAAAGTATATGATCACGTGAAAGAGAAATGGAGAAAAAAAGAGGGAATTTGGATAAAAATTCCGAAAAAAAACCAGAAAAGAATCGAGGAGGTCACGGATAGTTTGTCGCTTTCACTGCGTTTTTGTATTTGACTCTGTAAAAAAGGAAGAACTGTTTCGAGAGAGATCAGTGGGATGTTTCTGGTTCTTCTCGAGATAGAGAATGGACTACTAATAAACAAATTAAAATGTTTTTTTTTGCGATTTTAAGGTTTAATTTTGTCTTTCTTTTTAAACCGCTAATTAACGAAAATGGAGAGAGAGAGAGAGAGAGAGAGAGAGAGAGAGAGAGAGAGAGAGAGAGAGAGAGAGAGAGAGAGAGAGAGAAGAGGAGGTTTTCCGTTGCAGAGAAGAAGATAGTTGGAAGTAAAGAGATGCAAAAAGTTGAAGGAGAGAGAAATTTGTGCTTTTTGTTGTATTAAAAAGAAATTACGGACTTAAAAATTAAAAAGAAAACTTAAGATTTTGTAAGATTATGTATACTATAATTCAAACTAATTTAACTGTCCAATTTTATAGAAAACGAACATAGAGGTTGACAAAATGAAATCTCTAATTACTAATTATTTTTGAATGGTTGGAATACAGCTGGATATATAAGTAACTGGAATAGGATTGCATGTGAGTCATTTCTATATAAAAAAAAAATATATATATATATATAGCTATTCCTTGTCTGAGTTCAAGATTTCTTTGTTTTTTTTTTTGATAAATTAAACTGTTAACAAAATTTTTACAAGATCTATAAATATCAATACCTATATATATACATACTATGACTCTTGTAGATCGTCTGGTCTGTGAAAGCTGCCTCTATGTCTATGATTACAACGCGTAACGTCTACACATGTTAGATGTACTAGCAAGGCATAGAGACAGGGAATGGGATGTCAATATATATAGCATGTAAATAAAAACAAATCTATCTCGTTTTTGTAAAATAACTTGCAGACAAAAATAGTATTATAGATCATAAACATCATTCACTTCAATCGAACTATGAACTTTAATATCAATAGAACAAGACATGTGGTTTGTGTTAATGCATGTTGTTGAAAAAAAAAATTTGATATCAATAATTTTTTAGTAAGCAATATCAATAATAAATTCTAACCGAAAGTACATAATGCATCATCGGATAGATGCTTCTATGTATATGCCAATTATAGACTATTCAAACAGTAAATGATTCTCTAACCCAATTGGGTTGAAATAGTCTTGCTTATGTAGTGTTCTTATGAAATAAATGATGTGTTTACGGTTTTCCTTCTTCCACAGGCGAAGACTCTTTCAACCCAATTGTACTAGAGACTTGTTTACAGTTTGTACTGTAATAATTTATTGAATTTTATTCTTGGTTGTTTATGACATCTCTCTTGTTTCAAGGAAGATTCTCTTTGTACAATCACATTCATTCAATAGTCAAATGCAAGATTCTAAAGAGGAAATTCGCGCTGCATGAAACGTGGATTATAAAAATAAGTAGGAGTGTTTGATAGGTTTCGTTTATACTATTAGGAGTAAAACAGAAGGAATACAACTAAGTAAATGCTACTCAAGAAAGCCCGATATTGATGTCCCATGGACTTGAAGGCGTGCAATTATTATGTGTGTATGTGGATCTAAACAATTAAAGGATAGACACTGAAAGAGTTGTTGTGTAGTTATGGAGAGTGATGGCTGGTTAGTTACATGTACTCGTCATTTGTCAATTTTAAGAAAGAAAAAAAATATATATCTTTTGGACATTCCAACAATTTAGTTATTTTCATCTCGACTAAGATATTTTGCTGCCGTCAATTATTGGATCAGTTAACTATTTTTGTTGGGAAAGCCAATGGTTCTTATAAAGTTTAAGGTAATTCCTGAATATTATGATGACGTTTAGTTTGTTGCTTTAAGAAAGGAGCATCATCTACACGTCAATCTTAACAACCAAACGTCTCTTTTTCGAGTATAGTGCAAATGATACACGAGTTACTTTTCATCCCCCCCTCTTGTGCACTGCAAATCTTTATATTCATAAGAAAATCACTCAAACAAATTATGATCACGAGTTGTTGAAAACAAAGCTGGTATATGTTGTGAATAATTAATAAGCAAATATTTTAGTTTAAAAAAAAACTCATTGGAAACGGTTTGAATGATAACACATAAATATAATTTGCGACAGTTCTCAACTACTAGCTTGATCAAATCATATGTATGAGATTTTTGATAAATTTGAGGCATTTTGCAAAACGCGACTTCTTTGTTCGCAAAGGCTAAACTACTATAAATTTTGTTTATCGTTTTGTGTACCAGATCGATCGATAAATACGTATGACCAACTAAAGCTGCTTTTATAGAATTATTTTTATTTAAGATCATATTAATAGTTCTTCAGAAGTGATCACAAATACGTTTTCATCTATTCCAAAAGTGCTTTCGGTTGGTAAGAAATTATATCTTGCTAACAAAATTATTGCACCAGTATACTGAAACGTGAATTACTAGTAAGACTTTAATAGCACAAAGACCAAGTTTATTCTTATTTTCTATGAGGTACGTATGAATAATGAGTTATTAAGAAAATTCTGTTGAGATTAGAATACACACGCAAACAGATTTTGAGGAAGTCTTCCTCAATAATTCCCTAGAAAAATTGATAGGCGCATGTGTTGCACGCTTACCATTTTACTTTGACTCTAAAACAAACGCTTAATATGGTACCGACATTAAGACATAGAATTCTCTTACAATCCCATAGTGAACTCCACACAAAGATTTACATAAAACCCTTAAGACTCACCCTAATTTTTTCCCTCTAAAACTTAACGAAAAAAAAAAACACAAAAACAAGTTCTCTCTTGATCTCTATGTTCAGGTGTCCCATCTTGTTGTGGGATAAGACCTTTTATTGTTCAAGACACTCTTCACAAGATGGACACTTTCCATTTTCTGTTTTATATATTTTTACTTTTCTTCAAAATTTGTAAATTCTTCTCTTCTTCTTAAAAGTAGAAAACTATTCCATTTAATATAATTTCAACACAAACTCCAAGCACTGTATTCTTAACAGTTTAACTCGTGCTTTGTTTTGTTTGTTCGTACTCTATCATTTATTCTGTATTTAGTTCTGTCATCAATACCCATCCCAACTCACATGTTTCAGTTTCAGCAACGTTTCTCAACCTCAACATTGTAACTTAGTACGGCAGTACCTCAATGAAGCTCTTGCTTTAACATTTTTTTTTTTTTATCTATGTAATATATATTCACTACTTTTCAACATAGTTTCTCGGGAAAAAAATTTGGCTAACATATAGTACAAACAAAAAAATGAACCAACAAAAAAAAAACAGGCAGTTACGTTGAAACTTACTATAAAATTGAAGTCAGTACTAAGCATAAATACTTTAGCTTATAGGATGCTTCGAAGCATACTTTTAATCGCATACTTGTTGTTTTAAAATACTCTCATGTACGGTATACCTGTTAATAAGAAAGTAACTTAAAAGCATCACATACGTGTTGTGCAGTTCTCTCCCGCACGCAATTCATATGTTCTTTGTGTCGTATCTTCTTGATCTTCTACAAAAAAAACTATGTCTACTTAATAGTTATGATGATCTTTAACGGGCAATGCATTATTGCTTATAGCAGAATCTAAATAAAAATAAAACACATACCATAAGTTATGTAACCTTCTTTTTTTCGAAAAGGGCCTCTAAGTTATGATGATCATTATGTTTGTTTGTATCACGTCTACAGTACGACCCATGCACCACCGACAATGGACAGAAGCCCACCAAACCAATTTTCCCTAGTTGGACCCGTATCACACAATAAAAAAAGCCATCAAGATGAAATTTCGACATAAAAGCAATTTGCTTTTGTAACAGAGTATTTGTTTCCGTGGTAAAAACATTTCCATGATAGAAAAAAAAAACAAATTAGAAGAATTGGAGAATCTATAATTGTGTTTAGTCACTAATATGATATGGTTCGTTTGATAAGAGAGAAAGAAGACTAAAGAAAACTCCAAATCGAAAATATATTGCTTTGCCTCGTTTCAAACGGCTAGTTACATGATACTGTGATATGAAAGTATATCCAAATTCAAAGCTTTTGATTCCTCAAACCTTTTTTTTTTTCGTTTTTAATAATTATTATGTTTTTTTTTAAAAACTATTTCCCACACTTCCCAAGAGGCTTTCCACAGAGGCAGCTATTGTAAGTGAACGACGTCGCTTCAAGATGATCGAAAGGAGATCCCGTCGGAATCTTCCCACACAGCTGATTGTGGCTCACGTCGAGGTGCCCGATAAACGACGCCCCCGTTATACTTGCCGGGATCGGTCCCTGGAGACGGTTGTTCGAAAGATCCAGCACCGTGAAGTACGATCTTGGTCCGAACGTGTTAGGTATCTTTCCCGCGATACGGTTCCCGCTCAGGTTCAAATTTGATATCGAAGAACTCATCAGAGTCCCCGGAATCTCGCCGGAGATCAAGTTCCCGTCGAGGTTGAGCGTCGCGAGCACCGACATTTTCCCGAGGGAAGCTGGTATCGGGCCGGTGATTCGGTTCATCGAGAGCTCCAGATCCGCGAGACGGTAGATTCGGGTCAAGGATTCGGGTATTTGACCCGATATTTTGTTACCGCTTAGGAGCACACGGCTCAGCATCTTTAACCGGCCAATATCTCGCGGTATGGCTCCCGAGATATTGTTATTCTTGAGATCCAGATGCGCTAAGAACTTTAATCTCGTAACCGACCAAGGAATCCCACCGGATATCTGATTATCGGCGAGGTTAAACACTCTCAGCCTCCAGAGCTTTCCGATATTCGCCGGAATCACGCCGGAGATTTTATTCCCGACGAGATCTATATGTCTCAAGAAAACGAGACCCGCGATGCAGTTGGGAATCACGCCGGAGACTCCCTGCCAGTCGGCGATGATGATGTTGGAGAGGTGAGCGAGTTTACAGATCGCCGGCGAGATGGAGCCGGTCATGAGCCCGCTCCGTTTAGCCCTCTGGAAAATCGGGTCCTCGGATTCCCCACGGAGGGTAATGCCGGAGACTCGGTGGGTGTCGGGATCGCAGCTGACGCCGTACCAGCCATTGCAGCAGTCCTGGCCTTTCCACGTGTTGAAAACGCCAATGTAAGGCTCGTTGAGCTTTGATCGGAACTCCAGAAGCGCCGCTCGATCGGAGGGTAGACAAGCTTGGACCACCGTGGCGCCACCGACAAGAATCAATACGGCGACGTAGCTCAGTACGAGCACTAGCGACTTCTTGGCATCCATTGTCTCTATATACGTGTATATATCTCTCTCTCTCAAAGAATCTTTGTGAGATGTGTTTATGAGCTCACATGAGGTAGAAGCACGTTGACATGGAAGCCACTTAACTAGTGTTGTATTTATACTCATACTGATGGGCACAAAGACGACGAAATATTACTTTTGTTGTTGTCCCCTTTGCTTCGTTGAACCTTCTCATTTATTGCCACGTCACGTCCTTTGGAGGGATCAATAGCACATCATTACTAGTAGAAATAAGTAATAACATGGTTTTGTTTGTTTCTGTCGCCCGGCTGTACTAAGTGTTAGAAGTATTTAGAAGATGTAACAAAATGTACAGACTCATATATATCGGTAGTAATGTTACAACTATAGGCAAGATAAATCCTAATAAAATCAACTATGGTCTAGTGTTTTTTTTTTTCTTTATACCTGACAATGAAGACAACATGCAAGTGGTTTTGCTAGTTAATTTATCATCCTAGTTTCTTATATTCTTTACACTACTACTAGTTTATTAACATATATTGTCACTGATCTTATCGTTGTAGACGAACATGTGATCTTTGTCCATGTTGGCAGTTAACACACATAAATAATATCCAACTTCATATAATGATGTTTATTTATCCCTTCGACCTCTCTTCTTTCAACCTTGAGTCAGTGGTACAATTTTTTTTAAAAAATATATATCATTGTTGACACATGACACTATATATGACACTACACAAGACTCTACGTTTGATTAGCATTTTCCACTGCGGTTGTAATTAGTACATGTCTGTTTTCGTTTTATTCTCGATTGACGATGATTCAGTGGAAAATTACAGCATTAATTTAATTCAGACATCTTGTATTTTCCAAAATACATTATATTATTTGAGATTTGTATTCCAAAAGAAAATATATCTAAATAATGTGTCAAACACCCAATTTTACATTTCCTTTGAGGTTTCTCAAAATTCATGGTCGGCCCAAAAAGATAGGATAGGTTTGGAGACAGCTAGAGTAAACGTGATACAGAGATTTGGCAGTTGTTTAATTGTTTCTAGAGATTTAGAAAGACGTGAGAGAAGTCAGAATGGAGACAATATTAATATGGCTTTAACGTTATTCGAAACATAACTCATGTGCCCTCATGTGCTTGAGTGCTTCTTCTTCATCAACCTCCTCCTCTTCATTTTCATTTACTCATCTTGCTCATATAAATAATTTTAAAGTACACTGTATGCTTTTTAGATCAAAGTTCAAACCATGTAAATAGTTTTATGAGTAGAAATTCAGAATAGAAATTGATATTGTTGATTGTCACTACAGCATATTACATATATGTAAAATTATAATATTTGTTTCTAAAAACAATTTTTCCCCTCCAGATGTAGACGTTCGTTTTCCGTTTATTAATGCATATTATAAGTTTTTAAAATGATTTATAAATATTCAATTGATTGAAATATTAGCATGGACAATTATGACAACAATCATTATACATACAACTTTATGAAATGATTCACAAATCATTACTTTCGCCGGATATTGTGTAATTTGTTGACGTGAATATGAGAAATTTGTGGAAACTATATAAATTAATACTCAAAATGAAGGTAGTATATAGGGGAGTCAACAACAGACGACTTTTGATCGTAAATCAGAATGACGAAGATAAAGAAAAGAAGGAAAACAAAAGGAAAGGTCGATTTCCCAAGGATTAGGACATAGCACGTGTCTAAATCGGAGGAGGTTCACTTATTAAGACATCACGTGTAATGTAATCGTGTAAAATGTCTGAAGCAAATGTTTTCAATACTGTCTGTTCTGTCTGCTAGGCTGCTAGCCATATTGCAAATAAAATTTGGGTTCGTGATAAAGGAAAATAAATATTTATCATTTAGCACATTATAATCTGACAAATTTTTCAATTTAAAGAACGACAAAATTAAATATGAAAATTTTTATTTTAATTTTCTTTTGCTGATTCTTACAAATCGTAGATGCGTTTTTTATTTATTTACATTATATAATCATATAAGAAATGAAAGTCAAATATATTGCCCTAAACAACTCAGTTACTCACATGCATGTGCAGATGTACTTAGATATCTTAGATAATTCAAATATTTTCAATGAAACTAAAGCAGGGCCTTTGAAGCCTTGCCACATTGCCACATAGTCAGCAGTAAAGAAAAATAAACAAATATCAATCATGTTCTCGATCTTGCCACTGCCACTGGTCTTCTCAACTCTCACTCTCAACTCTCAACCAATTAAGAGAAGAGAACTATATAACGTGATTCCCATGAAACATGTGCATGAAACAAGCGTATCATCATCATAAGAGATATACCGAGAAAAATAATGCATTTCTCCAAAATCACTCATGAGAGTGCTCTCATGGGAGAGCCGAGAAAGATAAGATGCCGTCAGTAATGTCATCGACTTCAAATTAATACTCCAATATGTAGTACAGCCAAGTTGTTATCTTATAAAGGCGAATAAAGAGAAGACATAATTGCTTTGAATAAAGTCAAACACACTTGGCCACCTTTTTATCGGAATAAAAACACAAAACAAAAAAAATTCGAACCGAAATTGAGATCGAATTCAGACGATTACGTGGCTTTACATGGAGGTAGACCCCAGTGGCTGGCTGCTTAGCACAACGTTAACCTTCAATCGCTTCGCCTTCCCTAATCCCTGACGGAGGGAATTCTCAAATTTTGAAATTACAGAAAAATCCAAATCCGACAGGCAAAATTGACAAAATCTCCTTTAAACAAAAGAGTCTCATTGAAGACGAACCGTTCTCTGTAACCTCGTATACTCCTCCTCCGATCCGATGGAGGAAACCGGTTCGGATCCCGGATCCTACCCGATTCCACCCGCTTCAGTCCATCTCGCCCCCTTCTCTCTCGTTCCGCCTCCCTCTGCTCGTCTCCTCTCAACCCACTTCACTCGTAGTACCCAGCCTGTGCAATCGTCTCGGCGCCTGGCCTACATATCTCTCCAGGGTTTGCTCGTCAATTCCCATGAAGCCAGCTCGGCGCGGTCCATCGGCGGCGGATTGAGCCGAGAGGAAACCGTCGCGTGGGAGCTCTTTACGCCTTACCAGAGGTTCCTGCTCGTGGCGGTCATTGGCGTCGCCGCCGCTGAGTCGAAGAAGAATGGTGTGATTCGGCAGCTCCAGAAATCGGTCGATCTCAGGGTTTGTATCCTCTTCTTTTATATCTATCCGCTAGGGACTGAGGAGATTTTCGTTAAAGATTCGCTTCTTTGACGGTTGATTTGATTAGAAAAAAAATGTAGCGTTTTTCTCGGATTGTTTAATTAAAGCTGTTGGTTAGTTCATGATTTTGTTCAATTACGCTTCAATTTCCGTTACTTGTTTTTGAATTCCATGCTTACAATTTCTAGATCTTAGACGTTTAAATGATGATAAGTCCACTAATTAGTTCAATTTCTCTACTAAATATGTTGATTTTGAGAGTTTTGTGTCTGAATTCTGAAGAGCAAGTCTTAACCTTTTTTCATCAACTTATTTTACGAATTTTGAGTCTGAATTCATAAGAGGAAGTGTTACAGGTCTGTTCTGTAAGTGCAAATGTTGTTTTGATGAATCTGTGGTCTGAATTCTCCAGGACCAGGTTCTTTCAAGCATGCAACAAAAGCTGGACGATCTGTGTCAACAGCCAAATCTTGCCAAGGATCAGTCTGCAAAAGGATCCAGGGTCTCGGATCATGATGATCTACAATCAACTTTCAAAGAAGATTTCGGATCTGAGAAAGTTAAATTCGTAGATTGTGGTTGCTGGTTGTGTGATCAACATCATCACTCATCACCTCCTCCTATACAGGTATGTGTGCTCTCTCTTGCTTTTTCCATGGAAACCACTGAGCATCTCTCTACATGAATCAAATTGATTATGTTTTTCCACTTGGTTCTGCTGTTTAGGATAAAGCTCCCACAAATCTGGTGATTGACGTAGAGCCAGAGGAAAGGCGTATGTCTTACATGTCAGACTGGTGTTCTAGTGTCACCTCTGCTGCAGAAATCCATGTATGCATGATTAATGATATGCGACTTGCTGAAACAATCTTTTGTGGTTTTTGTTTTGCAAATGAAGACCACTTGGTTTATATGTTTATTGCAGTTCGATAATCTTTCACTCGACCAAGACATGCTTTCTCTCAGAAAAGAGTGTCAAGAGAAAGATGCAACAATAAAGGACCTAACTTCATTTCTTCAGCTAACTAACAAAGCTGGTTCTAAAGTAAGAGACTTTTTTTCTTTTCAAAAAGCCCTAAAATTTTGATTTTTTTTTTTATCTTATAACTTGGACAAACATGTTTCTATTCTCTGTTTACCAGCGAGAAACAGAGCTTGAAGAGATTGTTCGCAGGAAGAAGACAATAATCAAGAAGCTCAAGAGGGAGGTACTGGTGTTAGAAGAAAAGGTGAGAAACTTAGACTAAAACGTTCGATATTTCATCCCAAAGTAAAAACTTTCAAGCATTGAAAATATTACCGTCCATTGGTGTAGGTGACACAGCTCACTAGGTTCCGGAGGTTCTCCTATTCAGCTGCAGTCCCAAGTAGCCGTGAATTCCCAATGAGACTGGACAATCTTCTTTACGATATGGATGTTTCTACAGCTTCTTCGTCCTCTGATTCAGAAACTCCTGGAAACACACCTCGACGAACTGTGTTGAAGGATGCTCCTGTCGATTCCATGAAGGAGGAACCCTCAGCTTCGGGAGAAACCCATAAATCAGCGCCAGCTGAATCATCGGCCTCACTTGTGAAATCTGTGAAGCCGCCGCCTTCAGTAGTTAGTCCATCAACTAACCGGAAGCCTGTCTCATCAGTTTCTTCTTCTTCTTCTTCTTCGAGGATGAGACGGGCTTCTTCTGCTGGCGATTCAAAGAAACCTAGAAGGCCAATTCAAGTTGCCGCAAGAGCTTCTTCTGCTTCACATAAGAGATGGGTTTAGTATATTACATGATATATAGATTGTGTCTACTCGTTTTGTCACTATAAGTAGATGATACATTTATTTTCAGTTATTGACTTCATAAGAGGCTATAAAAACACCAGATGTTTCTTATTAATTACTTGGAAAAAAAAACAGGTAGTGTGGGCTGGTTCAAACGTTTATATCGAATCTTGTTTTTACATTAGTTATTTTTTTTAAAAAATATTATTTTATGAATTTATCGATTTATGTTAAATTTTAAATACTCAATTTAAAACCAAAAAAAATTATTAACTCATTTACGGGGTTTTTTTTAATGTAGTTGTATGATTGTATCAGACTAAAACGACAAGGGAAAGGGCGGGAAAATTAAGAGTGCCCCAATTTATCGGTCTGAGGTCAAGCAATGGAGAAATTCTTGGTTCCGATAGAATCGTCGCCACCAAAATCTACAACTGTCGTCAGGTAATTCAATCTGATTTACTGGGTTTTTTTTCTTTCTTTCCTTCATCTTCTTTGTTTGTCAAATGGTGATTTCGTCGACCCTTGAAGGCGACCATGGAAGCGATCTCTAATCGAATTGAATGGACGATTCGAGCCACACTACCGACACGAACTGTATTCTCTGTTTGCTCAATCCTACTCCGAGGTTTACTCTCTCTCTCTCTCTCTCTCTCTCTCTCTCTCTCTCTCTCTCTACATTCGCTTTCAATATGACATTTTTTGTTAATTGGGTTTTGTTTTGGGTGGCCAAAGATTGGGAAATTTTCACATCTTTATCACTTGTACGAGGAACCATGCCAAACCCATGTACGAATTTGTCCATCTCTCAGTGTTTGATTGTGTTTTTTTAATTGAGTGTTTGATATTGTCTGAGAGCTAATAGTTTGTATAATTCAGATCAACGAGATCCTTCACCAGCATTCCTCGACAATGTCAGTCTCTTTTGTTTCTAATATTTACCCTTTTGACTTTGTGTGGAATTTGAAGCCGAATTAGTAACAGATTTGTAATTGAATCACTTGCAGGCGAGGCGTTGTGGGGCTTGAGTTTGACAACCAGGTGACTTCTCAAACCAAATACTTTCGGTCTTATGTTTCAGTTTCGTTTCATCATAATTTCTCTCATCCGCGTCTGTTTACTCTTGAGAGATAGGATCTGTCGAGCTCCTATGTTATTTACTCTACTTGTTTGATTATTTCTTGTTACCATTTGTAAGGCAGAGGTGTCTGTTTTCAGGGAATATACATAGTGTCGGTCACAAGATCAGGATGCTTGACCGTGCATGACTTTGACACTCTATATTGTCAGAGTAAGCTTGGCCCAGGTGAAGCTTTTTAACACTGCTCTTTCTTCGAAAAATCAAAGCTTGTGCTCATATTATGCTACTTATACGAGTTGTTGTACATCACAGTTTTGAATCCTAAGTCATTTAATGATAGGTTCTGTGGAAGATGAGAGTAAGCATGTTGTGCATTTGTCTTTCCCTCTGGGTAGGGAATTCGATGTCGCTAGATGGAATCCTACAAACCAGAATGAGGTATAGGCTCAGAACATTATTAACATCTTAATTTCTAGTCGGAACTTCATTTCAAAACGTATTTGTACTGAGCAATTATCATCCCTGTAGGTAGCTTGCACATCGAGGAAACGGGATAAAGTCTCCATCTTCGATATCAGTTACATGTCTCCCAAACCAACTGAGGTATGATTTGGCCCACATGTGATTTTGAGATCGTATGGATTTAACTACACATGGTTTTTTTTTTTTTTCCTTCCTGATAACTACTTCTGGTTCCAACTCCTGAGACCGCATCATCATGGATTAGGACGTCTTTAGTGATTGTTCTTATTTTGATTCAGGAACTGCAAACCAGACAGAAGCTCTCAATTATTGGCCGCAAAACTTCTACTGGTTTATCTGATGTTGCCATTACTAGTTATGGAGATTCAAGGTTTGTAGAATGGCTCATCCCTGGATGCAATACTGTTGCAGCTTCTGCGTAGCTACTTTCTTCAGCATTTGTTCTTTATGCAGAATATTTTCTCCAGATACACTTGGTACAGTACATGTGTGGGATAGAAGAGCAGGCGTGTCTCCATGCATTGAACTCTCTACAAACAGATATGATTCGATCAAGAGTGTTCAGATATATGTGGATAATCAGGTAATCATAAAATTAGACATTTTCGTATCCCCACTAAAGTTCTTCTGATCCATGAAAATTGCAAAAAGCGTTTGATTTCAGATTTAGTTAGGCCCCCAAGCTTTGTTTCGTCCTAGCGACTATGTTTGATTTCATCTACCATGCAGACTATTTTTGGAGCTGGTAAAGAAGGAATCATTCATATCTGGGACCTTCGTGGAGGAACATACTCTACTGCTTTTCAGAGCCGCAAAGATGTAAGTCTTACAAAGGAAGAGCCGGAATTAACTATGGCAGTATATTTTATCTGTGTCTTTACCTTCATTCTCGTGTGTTTGTCATCACGTTTTGATATTGGTAACGTTCAGATGAGCCACTTGCCCATAGCATCTATACATCTTGCACCGATGCTGCGGAAGATTGAATCTCTTAACGTAAGTTCTGTATTTTGTAATGTGGTAAACATACATCAGATGATCATAGTGAATCTGGCAGCATTAGAAAAAAGTTTGCATCTTAATTTGAATCCACCTTGCAGGCTCAGTCAGAAATCGTCCCCAAGGAAATCCATTCCATCAATGTAAACCCGTCTTCTCCTAATCAATTGGCGTTTCACCTTGACGATGGTTGGTAAGTCGTTCTTTCATCAGCAGCTCATGGTCGCCTTGGATGAAATACGGTTTAACAAAACATTGTTTTCATGTTTCGTTTTGTTTGTTGGATTCTATATCATTTTCGTTTGGTGTGGTTTCTTTACTGCAGGTCCGGTGTTGTTGACATTTACAAATCTGAAGTTACTCATGTACATTGCCCTCCTCCAGCTTGGTTGTAAGTAACAAACTCTGGAACTTGCAGCTTAATTTGTAACAAGAAGCGATTAAATTTATCTTAAACTTGGGAGAGAGATGTTTTGATATTGGATTTTGGTTCGTTAGGGATGGTTCCAACAATTCAGCTGACTTGATCTTGCGGAAACCATCATGGCTTCCAACATCATCTGTAAGCTCTGCACTTTGTGCTTCCATTAACAGAGACAGCATCAGATTTTCTGACCTTGTCCATACAAAATTACACGTTTCCTGTTGCAGATCTATGTGGTTGGTTCCATGAGCGAGAAAGGGATTCATGTTCTTGATTTTCATCCTAGCTCTAAGTCTCCTTGTCACGTTGACTACGAGTAAGGATTTCTTGGAAACTCCGCATATGTGTGATGTTCCATCTAAACCATCATGGGGTACGGTTCCTGACGTTGCTAATATCTTGTTGCAGTGAGGATTCACATAGAAAGGAGAAGAGAGAGAAGTGTAATCACAGTAACAAGTTTGTTTCGTTGTCTGAAACTGTCACGGGTTGTGCTGCGCATCCTCTCAACAGCATGATCGTAGCTGGAACTCAGGTATTATAGTTTGCTTACAGTATCAATCAATATAATAAGACAAACTAGTGAAGCAAATGGACCTGTTGGTAGTCGTAGAATGGTGTAATTGGCACTCTGCATTATATCTGACGAAACATTTTTTTGGAATAAATTTTGGTGATTCTGCAGAAATCGTCGTTGCTGTTGATCGCGCAGAGACATTGCTCATCTACATCAGAAACTGTAGAAGGTGAATTGTAGCATCTACTAGCTCGAGTGGGCTTCTAGGCTTGTAACATAGAAATCACTCACGAGATACATGTATGAGTAATAGTTTTGCTTGAATGGGTTCTAAAAGTGTGAAAGACGATATACGTGCTCTTGAATTCGTGTTGTGTATTGATTAGTATTATCTTCTATATTTCTGCAAATCCCTTTTTTTTGTAAACTCTAAAAGTAATGCGAATGAAGAATAATACATGTAAAAAGTCAATATTATTATTAAGTGAAGGAGTCTATAAAAAAAAAAGATACAATGCATAACATAGCTGATCCACCGTTCCATTGGCTTTTCGATATGTGTCACTGAACTTTTCATAATAAAAATAAAATATTAAATAAAATAGATTTTGCAAAAACTTGTATACTTCGGATAAGAAAAGTTCAGAGCTCATTTTGTCCACAAGCGTTTGACAAAAAATTACTTGACTTTAGAACATGAACCATCAAAACTAGGTTATGTATGGATCATATGTCCACGACTCACGAGTTTCATACTTCTTTGTTTATCATTGTAGCGAGTGTCTTGTAAATATAACATTGTATATGTCATATGTGCATGATAAGTATTACTTTTTAGTTGCTAGATATTCAGTAGACAAATCTAATCAAGAAAAAAATGTCAACCAACCAAAATTTATTATTTCTTTCAAAGAAGCTGAAATGTAGTACATTGAGATGTGAGAATAATCAATCTCCAAATCTAAAAAAGAGACAAAACCATGATTTCAAACACGATCACCCACGGATCCTTCGAGCAAGCTGCATGTCCTTAGGCGTGATAGCCACTCGCTTGGCATGTAAGGCACACAGATTCGCATCTTCAAACAATCCAACGAGAAAAGCTTCAGCGGCTTCTTGGAGGGCAGAAACAGCCATGCTTTGGAACCGCAATTCTTTCCCGAGGTTTAGGGCAATTGCTTTCACAAGTCTCTGGAATGGAAGCTTCTTGATCAGTGGTTCCGTGCTCTTTTGGTATTTCCTGACCTCTCTTAGCGCCAAGATTCCTGGCTTGTACCTATGTGGTTCCTTGAACACGTTAGTGTTGTTGTTCCTTACCTGCTCTTCTGCTACGATCTTCCTCGGAGCCAAACTTCCTGTTGACTGCCGAGCTGTCTGTTTGGAACGAGCCATTATGAACAAATGAAGTTTGAGTGTGAACGATGTTTGTTTGAGAATTTGTGAGCAGAAAACTTTTATTTATTTCTGGAGAAACAATATGAAAATTAGGAAAAAATCTTCATTACGGGAATTTTAAAGTAATTCTTATCCCTATAAAAAGAATTTTGACCAATCAAAATAATCGGTTTATTTTTAGAGTAAAAACAACCGTAGATTAATCAGAAAATCAACGATCAATATTTTTTCTCTCAATATTGGCATTCAATAACCAATAAGAATGCAAAATATAAATGGAATTAGTCAGAAAAGTCTATCCTTAATTCATAACAAAAGAATAATGGTCAAATATTTCCTCTAAAAAAATTAGTTAGTAAAGATAGTTAATTTTATTTCATATTTGAAGAGTGAAATTAACTGTACATTAGTCACATAACCAATTTTCAATGATTTTCATTCAATTCGTGATATGCATTGACTTAAAGTGAGAATGCAAAATATATAGAGATTGAATGGTATATAGTTTTTCACGTGATTTCACTATATACATATCATTCATAATATTAAGTATTGAATGATAAAAAGTAAAAATTAACACATTATTTTTTAAATCATTCATGTACGTTTTAAATCTATAACTAGTTTAGAAAAAATTCATTCATCTATTAATTTATTATTCATCTATTCAGCTATTCTATTATTAAATTGATATACCAGTCAAATCCATAAACAAAAAAATAAAAATAAAAAGAACAATGAAAAATCATTCTCTAGATCTTTGAAAAACCAAAAAATTAATTTTATGAAACAATAACATTAAAGGGAAAATATGAGGTTAATGTTGTTATGTGTAAAAAATGATTAAGCAAATAAAGACTGTTGATTTGTTTATGCTTTTCAAAATATTCAAACAATTATAAACTAGACAAAGACCAAGAATCGATAATTTTTTCTTTAGATTTTGATCCGCGATGATTTGCTAATGATCAATAAAAATGGAACATATCGTACTTTCTTACAAAATCCCAAACTCAGTTCATAACAAAAGAAAATTGATTTATAAATGTTCCTCTTGACATTTGTAAATTATTGTGTTTTGGTCATATGAAAACATGCTAAAACTATTGTTTTAAACGGCTAAAATATTTTTTATTTACGATAACAATAAAATAAATCATATGAATCATAAGTGTTATTTAAGTGAATAAATTCTATCTTTGCATAATAAAGAAAAAACATTATTTATTACAAAGGTGATGTCAAGTTGTGAAGAAATGTGTATGTTTCTTCTATGACATAGTTCTGAACTTAGCAAAAAAAAAGATTTTTTAAAAAACGAAGATTTTGTGTTATTTTAACCACCCATTAATTAGTTTGTAGAAGTTATATAACTGGACGGATGCGCATTTCTTGTTATGAATTAGTAAATAAATAAACATCGGCCTAAAGAAAAACACTGAATTCAATTAATGCATATAGAAGTAGTCTTTTTTTGTTTGCTAAAAGATGTATCTGGTAGAATACATATGTGAATTCAGATAGTTAAGCAAGGTTGTTCGTGTCAAAGGATCAGATAAGAAAATAAAATCTCGGAGATTGACTTCAAGTAAAATTTATTTGCAATATCAAATTCGTAAAAAATTTTGTTTTAATATATTGTTTTTAGTTATTAGATGAGGTCTGAACTCACGCATGATACAAAACACATACTGTATCTAGTTTTGTAGTAAATTAAGCGGGATGATCGTCTCAAGTGAATAGTTCATTTTACGTTTTCTTTCTGATGTTGAAGTTTAAATGCGAGAGTATTGGATGTTCTGAACTTATGAGGCTTTTGAGTATTTGCAATAAACAGTACTAAGTACATCTTAGACATCTCCAATGTATTTCTTCATTTTCTACTCCAAAATAGAGTAATTCCAAAATGGAGTTGTATTTTGCTCTAATATATCTCTCCATTTTCTACTCCAAAAAGGAATATTCTAAATAGATTCTTATTCGATTTTATTATAAATATTTTTTAGTTTTAAAATTTACAAATAAATTCTACTTATTTTATTATTTACAATTTCTTTCAAAAACTATAACTTAAATATTTATCAAATAATAAAAATTACATAACATCACAAAAAAACATATACAATTTTTATTTAAACATTACTATTACTAAAAAAATTATCATTAATTTTTTTTGTATTTGTTGTTTTAAATTTATGTATATTGTTTATCTTAATTTCAGCAATTATTATGTATTTTAAAGTTTATTATATTTTATAATTTTTAGAAATAATTACAGTGTTTAAATATTTAGAATTATCAGTTTTATAATATATTTTATAAATATTAAATAGTATAAAATATAATTATTTTAAATATAAAGGGTTAATTTACAAATAAAAAAGTCTAACTCCAAAATGGAGTAGAGTTTAGATCTACTCCAAATATGGAGTATAATTTAAGTTTACTCCACTTTAGAATTAAAAATGGAGTAGGGTTGGAGAGAATTTTACTCCAAAATAGCATTTAGAGTTGAAAATTGAGTAGAATTGGAGATGCTCATGTTCAAATTTGAATAACAAATTTTGTTCATTGAATGGTCCTCCATTGGATATGGACCACTAATAATATCTTATTACGCATGATTTTGGGTTAGTCATTTCCATCTTTTTACAAGGTACTACAAACTTCTTTTCAGTGAAACATTTACTCAAATATTATTTGGTTTAAATACACTTTGCAAATTATACACTAAAGAAACCATGAATTTTTTTTTTCAAAAAAGGTTCTTTTGGTGATTTAGATAAACTGTTAACATGTCTTTAATTTTTGGACTTGTACCATCGTTTGTAAGAATCTAGAATAATATGGATACGAAACCAATCCCAATCTTAAAATATTTTGAAACTGTTGAAAAGATGTTTAGAAACGAGCCTTAATTAAATGGTAACAAAGAAATGTAAATAAAAATTTAATAGTAAAAGCCATGCCCGGTTCATTCGCAAGAAAATGGCAAAAAGGCTACAAGGCATACTTTAACGCATGTGGAAAGTTTGACAAAACGCTTTATTAGGTTAGGCTCTTTGTACTTTATATATGGGTTTGGTGGGTTTGGTTTTGAAAGTTAAACACAATTACTTAACAATGATTTTATCATCATTATATTATAAACATTTTAATACTATTTTTTTTGCTTATAGTCTTGACTTATTTTCTTGCTGATGTTAACAACTCGACTTTACAACATTTCTGCAAAACAACTCTCAAGAAATGATCAATCCCATACGGAAATCTATCTTCTACTAATAATAATAAATCTGGTTTTGTCAGAAAATCTGATTCTACGAATTCACCACGTTGACGCGTTCTACAACCTCTCCGACTTCCATCCACACAAATTTTCTACCAAACTTGCAAACTTCTTTTTCTTCTAAATTCTAAGTTTGATGCGGTTATATATATATATATTTTTGCCAAATCCGAACCGATATCAATATATCATGTTTGTGAAGTTTGTTTCTTTATATAAGAATGTTTATTCTATATTATATAGATAATCCTTGGTTGATCGGGCGCCACTTAAACCGCCTAAGATTAGCTAAACCTAAAAAAAAAATTTAGTTGCTAAGCATCAAGTTACAATTGATTAGCATATAATGTTTCTGTGAACATTTTGATCGGTCTATACGCATTTGAACATTGACAATTCGTCACCAACATAAACACAGTTCACAAATGCGCTCAAGATTTAAGCTACAGTTATGACACACCAACTACACTGTTCTACAAAACTAATTACACTACTCAACCAAATACAATAATACATGTAAAATAGTTATGAAAAAATTGATTTTCGTTACTCATATTATGAAACAGAAACCAACATTATGTTATCCCTGATGTGTATTAATATTTAAGTATAAAATATATACGCCTACTTTCATTAAAAAGAGATTTTATTCCTAAGTTTTAAGTTTTATTTCTAATTCTCAGTTTAAATTTATATAGATCGTTACCATATTCTATAGATTTTCTATTATCTTTGTACTAGAAGTTTGGTTTGGAAACAAATCTAGTAATCTATTTATATCTAACAAACTTTTTAACCATTCATACACACACAAAAAAACTTTGAGCGAAGAATTATAAACGTCATTTTGATCGAAACTTGAGACTGTTCAATTGTTCTGGCATTTAGTCATCATTTACAAAAGAAACAAAAAGAGAGAGAGAGTGAAAATGAAAGGGGAAAACAAAAAAAACTGAGGGGTATTTTAGTAAACTTAAGAAACTGGTCTCTGCCCTTCACATGCGCTCTTTTTATCAGTCCTTTTTAGAGAAGGGAGACAGAACATTCTTTGGATTTTCTCTCTCTCACACACACACAGACATCATCCTCATCACACCCTTCCCTCGCACAATCGCATTCACAATCTTCTCTCTCTCTCTCCCTCTTCTCTCTTTCTTTTGTGTGACATCTTCTAATCTTGTTGTTCTTGTTCTTACCATGGCTGCTTCTGAAACAAGAATGAACAAAGGGAGAGAAAAAGAAGAGGCCATAGCAAACGGAGTGAAGTTGAGAGCACTTCAAGCGGGTCTTATGCAGAAGTCAAGCCCATCCTCTACTTACAGTATCAGAGTCCCTTCTTCCTCTTCTGCTGCTTCACCAGCTTCTCGTCCTCTCCCCAACCTCTCTGCTCACGATTACCCTGTTTTCACTCCTGTAACTTCTCTCTCTCTCTCTCTCTCTTTCTTCTCGAGTTCCATGAGTTTCCTTCGCTTTTTCTTATCTCTAACTTGATTAATTTCGACATCATACATGGGAATTTGGGTTTGTTTGAAAGCTTTTGGACATTTTTAAAAATTTCATCGAACCCGAGATTCATTGGTTTAACCCGGTTCGGGCTCGTTAATTGCGGTTTCAGTATCCAGAATCCGACTATATTATACCTTTCTTAATTAAATGTACGATGTCGCTGTGCGTTTTGGATCTTCACTGGCCGTCCATTAATTACATTATATAATTTGGTTAGTCCCTTTAATAATTTAACCACTGTTAACGTACAAAAGACAAACAGAAAAGGCCTGAATTTGGTAGAACCAGGTGTTTGGTTTGGTGTATATGTTTTTTTTGTCCTTAGCTGACACACTGTACTGAATTTGGACAAAAGTTACTGTCCTTTTTACTTATATACACGTTTTCTCTGCTAACTTTATCTTTTGGTCTTGAAACAGAGCTATGAAGATGAGCCTGTGTCTGCATTTCGTCACAAGAATCTCACTTTATCTGAGAACTGGGATGAATCTGGTGTTGGTTTAGTGGAAGGAGATCATGAAGATGAAGACTTGAGACATGCTTACCTCTCTGATTCCTACAAAACCTCAACTTCAAGAAAGACTTTAACGCCTCATCAAGATTCTCATCATCATCATCATCATCATCATCATCATCAGTCTCATGTTTACACGATGTCGGACGCTCTCAGATCCCCGCCGCTACATTTTTATACATCCGGCAGAAGCAACTGCGGCTCGGTCGACTTTAGATCGGTCTCTTCTTGCAATGAGTACAAACAAAAAGGCTTCGACACCAAGACCTCGAAGAACTCTAATCTTATTGTGCCCTTGACGGATTCGCACTCTGCTGTCGTTTCTTCTCAGCCAAGGAACCGTGGAGGAAGAGTGATGTCTTGGTTATTCCCCAAGTTAAAGAAGAAGCAAAAGAGCAATTCAATCTTTAATTCCCCTCATAGAACTGAGAAATCGGAAGAAGTTTCTGAGGCGTTGAAGGATTCTGGCTCAGGTGTTGAGAATTTGAAGAGAGAGTTGATGGAAGCAAATAGAAGTAGGGACGCTGCGTTAACACAAGTCTCGGAGATGAAATCTTCTTTGGGAGAGTTCAGTGAGAAGCTTCAGTACTTGGAAAGTTACTGTGACAGTTTAAAGAAAGCTTTGAGAGAAGCAACAGAAGTAGTGTCACAGGGGAATAATAATGTTGCAAGAAGCTCAGGGAAGAAGAACTCAGAGATGCCAGTGAGTGAAGATGTGATGGTTGAAGGGTTCTTGCAGATCGTGTCGGAATCAAGATTGTCGATAAAGCAATTCTTGAAAACATTAGTGGCAGAGATCGACGAAGAAGACTCGACTCTAATTGGTAACATCAACACTCTCCTTCAACCCCACAGCTTATCATTCACCTCTAAGTACTCCAAAATCATTCAGTACCACTTAGAAGCGATCATAAGCCAATCGGTATACCAAGACTTCGAGAACTGCGTCTTCCAGAAGAGCGGTAAGCCGAAATTGCTCGATCCGGAACAAGACCGGCAAGCGAAGTTCTCGTCTTTTGCTTCCTTGAGAAACTTGAGCTGGAACGAGGTATTGAAAAAGGGTACAAAATACTACAGTGAAGAGTTCAGTAGATTCTGCGATGAGAAGATGAGTTTGATCATTACAACACTGAGCTGGACAAGACCTTGGTCCGAACAAATGCTTCAAGCCTTCTTTGTGGCAGCAAAATGTGTATGGTTGCTTCATTTGCTTGCCTTCTCGTTCAATCCAGCGTTAGGGATCTTGAGAGTGGAGGAGAACAGAGTGTTTGAGTCGAGTTATATGGAAGATATGGGTGCAGATAGAGACAGGCAGAGATCATCATCGTCCCGTGGACCGGCTCGGGTTAAGGTTATGGTGATGCCTGGGTTTTATGTTCAAGATAGGGTTTTGAGATGTAAGGTTCTTTGCAGGTACAAGTCATAGGCTGAAGAGAGCCACACTCTATATAGTCTAATCAAATTTGATTGGTTATTTAACTTTTCTTCTTGTTTATCTCTTGTGCACTTTTCTTCTTAGGCTTCTTCAGTGATCATTTTACATTTGTCTTTGTTAAGAATTATTATTATAGGTTATTTGAATTATTGTCAAATATTAAGATGTCAAGGAAATTTTGTTTCGTTTTTTCTTCAACATATCTGATCACAGTATAGCTGATTTTTTTTTGTCCATGTTGAACAAAAGTGTGTTACCATTTACCTTTCTTTTTCAAATTCAAAAAATCCTTTTGTGTTTTCTTCGATATAACAAAAACTTATTGTGGAACAACCACAACTATAAAAAGGAGACACAAGTTGCAAAAAGATTAAATGTGGGCCTAAATTAGTAGATCGTTAGGAAGGCCCATCACGTTCTTTTGTAGCCTCCGTCTTTTTGTGTGTGTGGTCCACAAAAGAAATTATGAGAGAAGACCAAATAGTACAAAGTCCATAAACATTTAGTGTTGGCATCTTGTTATTCAATTGTGTGTTTCAAATGTTCTTCAACTATATAGTTCAATGAATTTATCCCATAAAAAGGCACTTAATCAGAAATAATTGCATGCCTAAAAAGTTTGAAATACACTAACATCGGAAATTGCATGCCTAACTTTTTTTAAAATAATCAAGTTTCAAAAAAAAAAAAAAATCCTGGCTTTGAAATCTGCCAAATATAACCGGAAAAAGTTAGAGAGGAACTAAAAAAGCCAAACGTCACACATAAGTCATGAAAAAAGAATAAAATAAATAGACGAATGAGGGAACGAAGAGAAATATCTAAAAATCATTTGACCAAAGACTCCCCTCGTAAAAAGTTAGCCAATCTTAAAGCTTCTTCTCTTTCTCTTTCAGTTCAGACTTCATACCAAAAGTCCAAAACACACATTTTCTTCTGTCTGAATCTGAAACCTTACCAATACGGCAAAGACTCAATCACAAATCTCGTTTTTTTCTCGGAAATGGAGGACGTTAGACCCAGAAATCTGAACTTAGTGATGTTCCCGTTCATGGCACAAGGCCATATCATCCCTTTTGTAGCTTTAGCCCTTCGCTTAGAGAAGATGATGATGAAGAACAAAGACGAAAACAACAACCATCAATATCTCAACACCATCATCTCTCTTGTCAACACTCCTTTGAACATCCCCAAGTTACGCTCCAATTTTCCACCTGAATCCTCCATAAAACTCATCGAGTTACCTTTCAACAGCTCCGATCACGGCCTCCCTCACGACGCCGAGAATTTCGATTCTCTCCCTTACTCTCTCGTCATCAGCCTTCTGGAAGCTTCTAGATCGCTCCGTGAGCCCTTCCGAGACCTGGTGAAGAAGATTTTGAAGGAAGGAGATGTTGAGCAGAGCAAGGTTATGGTGATCGGCGACTTCTTCTTGGGTTGGATCGGTGAGGTTTGCAAAGATATGGGTGTTTATTCTGTGATGTTTAGCGCTTCTAGTGCTTTTGGTTTAGGCTGTTACAGATCGGTATGGAGTCACTTGCCACACAGAGAAACCAAACAGGATCAGTTTCTCTTAGATGATTTCCAAGAAGCAGGGGAGATTGAGAAAACTCAGTTGAACTCTTTCATGTTAGAAGCTGACGGAAACGATGATTGGTCGGTTTTCATGAAAAAGAATTTGCCCGGATGGTCTGATTTCGACGGATTCTTGTTCAACACGGTTGCGGAAATCGACCAGATAGGATTATCTTACTTCCGTAGAATAGCCGGTTTTAAACCGGTTTGGTCGGTCGGGCCGGTTTTGCTCTCTCCGGACAAAAAGCCGGAATGGAGGTCGACGGAGGAAGCTGTGAAGGCGTGGCTTGACTCAAAACCGGATCGTTCGGTGCTGTACGTATGTTTTGGTTCCATGAACTCGATTTCTCGAACGCATATGTTAGAATTGGCTTTGGCGTTAGAGAGTTGCGAGAAGAACTTCATTTGGGTCGTGAGGCCGCCAATAGGTGTGGAGGTGAAGAGCGAGTTTGATGTGAAAGAGTATTTACCGGAAGGGTTTGAGGAAAGAATCAAAAGATCAGACAGAGGAGTGATTGTGAAGAGATGGGCACCACAGATCGATATCTTGTCACACAAGGCAACATGTGTGTTTTTGAGTCATTGTGGATGGAACTCGATATTGGAATCGCTTAGCCACGGTGTGCCGTTGCTTGGATGGCCAATGGCGGCCGAGCAATTCTTCAACTCGATGTTGATGGAGAAACATATTGGGGTATCGGTTGAGGTGGCGCGTGGGAAGAGATGTGATATCGAAAGTGATGAGATTGTTTCTAAGATCAAATTGGTGATGGAGGAGAAAAGTGAAGTAGGGAGAGAGATTAGGAAAAAGGCTAAAGAGGTGAAGGAGTTAGTGAGGAGAGCAATGGATGATCATGGAGCTAATGGGTCTTCTGTCAATGGTTTAGAAGAGTTTCTAGGTCAAGCAATGGTGAAGAAAGAGAAGGATTAAGAAAACAGGTGGTTTATATAATCATCTTATATAGCGGAATCACGTATAGGAAAAATGAATAACGATGACAGGTAGTTATACCACACAAGTGTTGTGATAGAGGAGCTAATGTTTTCAAATATAGTTTTTTTCTTAATAATTTCAACTGATATTTACAAAACTCTTAGAGAGATAGCCTTGATTCGTTTGTTTGTCGAGGTTATGTATATATATGCGCCATTGAGTTTAGATCTATCTTTCACATTAAATAATATGGAGTAAAATTCCACAAAGTTAATTAGATTCCCCCTCGCAAAGTTAAAGTGATGGTTATGATGTAAAATAGGACGATTAGAGGAGTTTGAAAGAAAAAAAAAGAAAGGAACCGGTTGCAAAAGTCTTTGGCTCTTTGCTATGTGTTTCTCTAAATGGCAAAAACATATATTTTTCTAAAGATGATGTTTTACAAGTTATATAGTATCCTCTGTTTTTTTGTTTGCTATGTTTTAACAACAATGTCTTATTGTTATTGAGAAACAAATAATGTCGTCTTTTTCTGTATAATTAAGTTGCCAACGTCTTTAATGTCTCATAACCTCTACATATATCTATATACTAAATAAAAGAAACTATTTAGGACTCCTTAAGCTATCCACCTTAGCTTTTCAAACTACTCTAAAAGTATGACACATCAGCAAAAAATAATAATACAAATTCCCACTTTAGATTTTTTTGGAATACACATAAAGTAAATAAATAGAACCAAAATTAATATAGTTAAATACAAGAGTAAATAAAAATAAATTATTATTTTTTGAATCAGTAAAATAAATATTATTTAAATCTATAGCATCAATATATACTCTTTTGTTTGTAATATAACAAATTAACAATAATAAAAAATTTCACTTTAGATTTTTTGAAATACACATAAAATAAATAAATAAAACCATTAAATTAATATAGTTATTAGCAAAAACTAAATAAAAATATATATCATTTTAATCAGTAAAATAAATATAGTGATAGACAAAAGACTTAAATAATAGTTAATAGGAACAAGATTACAAAATAATAATTTCTAAAATAAAATTTAAAACATTTGTAAATTATAAAAATCTAAAACATTCACATTTTAGAAACATACAGATTAAACATCATAGTACGTTAGATTTATGGCAACCAACAAGACAACATAAATTATAGGAAGCTTTTCAAAGCATCTATCTATATGAAGATTTCGATCATTGTTACTATTTACATTGCAGAAAATGATAGACAAAAGAAAAATTTCATGCACTGATATTTATTCAATGTGTGTCTTAGTTGGCTTAAGGTAGTCAAGTTACTACAAGCGATACATGTCAACACATGAGTTAAACAGTTTATAAACAAAAATGAAGTTTTAAATGACAGTTAATTTTTATATATATCAAGTTAATAAATTCTTAAATTAAATAATTATGCATTTTTGAAAAAATAACATACACATTTTAATGTAGAAGAAAATGTCTAAAAAAATCTTTAATTATCCACATCAACAAAATTCCTTATAAATCCAACTTGAATGAAAACTAATATAGTTTTTTTACTGGGTTAGGAAACTCCTTTAATATAATATATATTACTAGTTTAATTATAAAAGCTCATCAAAATATATATGTGTAGTTTAAGAAAAAATGTTTAAGTTAAATTACAAGCAAAATGTTTTACATCTTTTGAGTTTTGAGAAACTCAACATACTTTATTTAACATAATGAGTTAGTATGAAATTGTATTTGTATATGTATTATTTGTCTTATTCATCTATATTTTTTTATAGTTTACGTATACTTCATAGACCAAATCAAAATTGTATTTTATCAATATGATTGTGATTTTTTATACTATGTAAATATTATTTTTATTTATATGAATCATAGTTATTTTATAGATTTATAAGAGATTAGAACATTGAGTGTTGTTTGTATTTGAGATTGCTAATTAAATAAAAACACTACACGAACACAGTTGAAATAAAAATAAAAAACTAAATTAATTAGAACAATAATAATCAAATTTAGTCAAAACAAAAATAATTTTAATAATATTTTGAAAGTTAGTAGTGAATAACAGTGAGTTTATATATAAATATTAAGTTTTAGATTAACAGTTAATTTTAGCATATCAAGTAGCTAATTCTTAAAATTATACATTTTTGAATATGTTAAAATATTTTCGATGTATAATCATATCAAAACAATTTTAAAAATTAAATATTATATTTAAAATATTAACTTAAAATGAAAATAATAAAACTTAAATAATAATCAAATATCTATATAAAAACAGTCCGCGCGTAGCGCGGAAACATCTCTAGTAATAGTACATACACTTAAGAGAGGATACAACGTTAGAGGATTAAAAAGCACAAGAAAATAACACATTTTATAGTTTCTTAATTAATCAATTTTTTTATAAAAAAAATAAGAAACTAAATAGAAAATAATTGCAAGATTATAAATAA